ACTTAAAATAGAATCTGTGAATGGACAAAACCTAACAAGTTGAGGTTGAATATGGAGAAGACAAAGGCAATTTTAATAGGCTCCGATTATCAACTTAAAATATTAACCCTTCTTCTACATGGTAATCCCATCAAACTCTATCCCATCATTAAGAACTTAGGAATAACTTTTGAACAAAACCTTTCTTGGGAAAAAATATATCTGATATGTTCCAACATATCTGCCTTTTCCACTTTAAAACGTCTAAATTACCTCCGCCACCTATTTTCATTTGGTACTCGTGAACTAATCATCTTAATATTTTCCCACTTCGACTATTGTTGTCCGGTATATGGAGGCGTCTCTGAGTATCTCTGGTGAAACTAAATTGTTTTGTACGATTTATCTTCGGGATCCCAAAGTACGCCTCTGTTTCCCGTTTTGATGAACAACTGAAGTGGTTTTATCCTTCCTATTGTCGCATTTTATATCATCCTTCCTCTTCCAAATCATACAATCTCGCCTCCTTCATACATCTCCGAGCTTTTTCAATTCAAATTCTCTGTCTGCTCCCGGTCTTCAGATCTGTATCCAAGGGCTCACTGAACCCCTGCTTTCTACAGACCTTTTAGTATTCGATCCTCATCCCTATGGAATTCTATCTCTTCCTACATCAGTCGCTCCAATACCCTCTCCACCTTTAAATCCCGCCTTTCAATCACCTCTTATCCATCCATTCCCCATAAAAATGTAAAGTATTAAATAGATGTTGTAAATATGTACATAAATTTATTTGCTTGTTTTAAATACTTTTGTTTCAATTTTTCTTAATTGAAAAATAACTAAATTTTTTTTCCCTTTTGTTTATTCATAATATTTATCTGTTTATTTTGTGATTATTCTCTGAAGCCCCAAAGCCCACATTTCCATTTCTGCATATTATTCTAAAGGGACTTTTCCCAGAATAAATAAAGCATTATTATATTAAATTTTATTACTTTCAATGTCTCTAATTCAGTTACTTTATTAATGACCTAAAATCAATTGTTCTCATATGATTTTTTTATTCCTAACAAGTGGCGAGCGCCCCCTTCCAGGTAGGTGCCTGGGATAATTGCTCGAGTTATCCGGTCCTAAGGTCGACACTGAAATTATAATCAATTCATTTCTTGAATAAATTTATTATATTCAATTTGAAAGAACATTGAATTTTTGAACGGACATAGATAATATTAATCCATTTTTTTCTACTACTATCAATGAGAGATCTTGACTCATTAATTAAATATAGTTAATAAGAAAAATTAGGTACACACAATCCCTGAATATCTGATAAGCGGCAATAGGTGATTTGACTACAGACGCTTTTTTTTTTTTTTTGTCTTCCCTTCATTCCCTTTTAGGCTAAACGGAGTTTTCTCCAGAGAGAGCGTGGGAATTATGCTGAGTTAAAAGTCCAACCGGGCACCGGATTTCATTAATTGGATTTGTTTATCTCCGAACTTTGGTTATCAGGTTGCCGGGCAACGCACCGTGCTCTGCACACGCGTTAGCCCGCTCCCTTGAATACAGACACTGTACCAAATTTGATTTGATCCTTGATGGCTGAGATACAAAACGCAAGTAGAAATTTTTGGTTCTGAACCCCTTTTTGTTTTTTTAACTTCCCTAAGAATACAAAGCTTTCCTACTTTTGGTAGTGAGTAAGCAAAATTAATTTTTGTTGAGGGGTTACGTCTTTGCACGGAGAGCGCCTATTGTCTAAGGCTGACATTGATCTTTATAGTGTATTTACATTTACGGCAGCACTTATTTTGATTCCAAAATATATATGTATTTATATTTATATGTAATAACAAAGAGGTACTCACGATTGAAATTTTTTTCAAATCTAGATGTTTTGAGGCGATCTTTCTTTGGAGTATTGCGTGTTTTTTTCTTTATTTTCGATTTCTTTAATATTTGAATAAGCACTTACAGATTACAATTTTTATTATATTATAATTTTCTGTCTACGGATCGTTTATTAGCTTTTGAAGCAATGAATTAGGAATTTCGCATCGGATATTTTTTCGCGAATGTATTCCAAGAATTTTAGTCACCTTAAATTTATTAATTATAGAAATAATTTAATCGATTTCCAATGATACTAAATCTAGACATATTAGGGACTTTTGTTTTTAGTCTGTTCATGTGCAATATAATTTTATGGCTACTCTTTATTTTCATTATGCATATTCCTCCAGAAATTCTAATTTTTTTGAAAATTAGAGAAATTTACATGGATAAATGTCCAAATCAATTTTATATTTTCTTCACAAACCTACTTCATCATTTCGTACACTTTTTTTTTAGTGTACCGGACCGCTTAATCTGGTCCAACGTGGCATAAAATCCTTTTACAATATTTATACGAAAATAAACTGCTCTTAAACATAAGATTGTATCAATATTTACTGGCAATTTATTACTAAAAATTCTGCAAAACTATAATGCCTTAAAATATTGAAGATTTGTCCCGAAACGGATTAACATCCTTTGATAAAAAAGCCCACCTACCATTCGTAACTTATCTGTCCAATACATTCGCGTTAATTTCTGCAGAATCACAAATCAAATATACATCCAAATTTGAATTCCATAAAGTTTGCATTCACATAATATTATCCAGTTTAGCTATTAAACCATAAACTGCTTACTTCAGATCAGAGAAGTTAGTGAAATCGGTTTTAACAAGGGTGTCATTAACAATTCTGTAGCAGACTGAAACGAACAGAGAATATGTGATACAATCTTATTAACTTAAGATGAAGAAAAACGTTTAGTGAAAAGGCACCTAGAAGTACTTACTAAAGAAAAGTATTTCCAAGAGGTAAGATAAAAATCTTTCTATTTTAAATAAAGTTTAAAAAATATAGGTAAATACGTAATGTCTATTTAATGTTTTTTTTTTTTTTTTTTTTTTTACAACACGTATTCCGCTGGTGTTATGAGGGTTCCAGTCGCTGTTGCTCAGCGAAGTAACATGTTTACAAACATGGAATGAGTGGATCACATGCCCCTATTGTTAAAGCCACCATGATGAACAAGAACTATATATAAGGATACTCTGGTGTCCGTCGATCAGTTCTTTGCCAAAGGTAACATTGAGTGACTTCGCATAGTAAGTATATGGTTGCAATTAACATATTTTTAACAATTAGGCTTTTGTTTTAATATTTAATAATTTGCTCGGTCTTCATCATCTAAGACCGACTTCCTGAATTTCGAGAACCGAAATATAAACTCATATTCGGTGAAACTGCTAACCACCTTTTTTTTTTTTAAAGATTTCTCCTGATATTTTCTATTGTTTCATCGCTCGTGGGCACTAGTGAATCCAGCATTTAATTTTGGGGAGGCTTCAGCCCGAAAGCTTTTTTTTTCATATATATATATATATATATATATCGAGAATTAGTTTGGAAAAAAAAAAAGAAAGATACTAACTACATGTATGAAATGGTTTTTAAGTGATTCTTGAAGTCCCGTTAAATGTAATTACACGAACAGTAATACTTTATGAGATATATTTTTTTTTACCATAAAACATGGTTCCATTTTACCATTTTGGAGGTGCTTCAGCCGAAAGTCCTCCCGGTAGATCCTTGCCTATGCTCGTGGGACCATTACATCACTAACTTCTAGACAGATACCGTTTACCATTTATTAATAATAATAAAGTAATTAATGTCATTAAAAAAATTAAGTTATGACTTCGTGGGTTTCGCCAAGTGATTTTTTTTTTTTTGTGGTATATAAAAGCAGTGCCAGACTTAGACATTTGGAGCCTCCATACAATGACGTCATCTCCCTCAAAAATTTAATATATTTATTAAACTGTTTTATATTAAGTAATATTTGACTTTTATTTCATTTAATATTACAGTAATTGCTTAAATATAAGTATGTCACGAAAAAATATTAAAAGTTGATTCTAATAAGGATTATTGCTCCTTTAATTTCTGTTTTATATATATATATACAAAAAGAAAACTTGATTTCGGTGACATACATGCCTTATTTCAGCCTTCCTCCACCATTTTGTTGGCATTTAAAAAGTAATTTATCATGTTTCACTAAAATCAACTGGGTCCTTCTGAAGAGCTGATGTGGCCCTACTTTTGGCTGAAGCCCCACCCCTCCAACAAAAAAGGAAAATCTTTTCTTTTTTTTTCATTGGTCCATATTTGTATCAACGAGTAATCTAAGCCAAATACTAAAAAAATCCCAACATGTTCTCTTAATTATAACACAAGTACTTCAGCTACTAAATGAGCCTTTCAGTTGACAGAATGACCAACTCCAATTTCAACATTTTTTATTATTAATTTTATTGATATTTCTAGTTGGAAAATTTATAAAATGTGGTACAGACAGTAATTAAGTTGATTCCAGAGTAAATGATTGTATTGTTGAAATATATAACTGTTAATAAAGTTGTACATTTTTTCCACTAGAAATATCACTAATATTAATAATAAAAAATGTTGACATTGGAGTGTCATTCTGTTAACTAAAAGGCTTAAATATAAGTATGTCACGAAAAAATATTAAAAGTTGATTCTAATAAGGATTATTGTTCCTTTAATTTCTGTTTTTTTTATATATATATAAAATACCCCCCTCCGCAAACATTAAATTCTGAATCTGCCACTGATTGATAAATAAAAAACTAACAGCATTAAAAAAAATAATAATACAAAAAGAAAACTTGATTTCTGTGACATATATGCCTTATTAATTACTTCAGAACTCCACTGATGATTCTTCTTAATGACAGTTTTTCACATTTCAATAACATAAATTCATTTTTATTTTTAAAGTCAATAAATTATTTTGAAAATTTCATTTGAACTCGAATGGTGGAGTTTAAAACTGATAAGATTCATAAACTTGAAATTTTCGACTCATGAGGGTGTGTTAAGTAGAATGTAATAGCAATTATATTATTTTTTTTTATATTTTCCTTTCCATTTCAGATGTCTCATCTAATCAGATTCATACTTCTATTAGGTAAATAAGAGTTTACATATTTAACAAAAAGGACTAATTATTTTTAAATCATCTATTATAAGATAATTTATTAACAGCAGTTATTTGCAGTTGGTGCTCTGTTAATTATAACAGAAAGCACATGTGGCTCAATCATGGATGATTCTTCGGAAGATATGATTCCAGTAATGATTCGCAGGAATGATTTTTTCCTCAAAGCAGCCAAATCTGTCCCTAGAATCGGTAGAAGAAATGACTTCTTCTTTGCCAAAAATTTAAAGTCTGTTCCACGCATTGGCCGCAGAAATGACTTCTTTTTAAAAGCAGCCAAGTCTGTTCCTCGAATAGGTAGAAGAGATGAAATCACATCAGTGAGTACAGATTATGTATATGACAGATTAAACAAGACCTATTTTAAAGAAATAGTTAATCGATTATTTATACAGGTTGAAAAGGAAGCTTCAGTCGCCTGGCCATGGTTTAGAGATCATGATTTCATACCTAGGGTAATGAAGAAGGATTTAGGTAACGTTTCATTCAAATATAATATATAATTTTAATATTTTGCTGTGTATTGTAAACAAATGGCTAAGTTACATTAGATAGATAAAACACTACCTAGATTAAAAAAACTATCAATAGAGCTAACTATTAATATTTTTGTATCAATCCTCCATTTTCTTCTTACTACTAAAATTGCAGGATGGTTAATTATTTCAAATAAACAAATTAGAGGAAGCCATTTTGAAATTCGGCATTTAACCAGGTCAGAATATCACTAGTTTCTAGAGATCATTTTTAAAACCATGTAATTGTGTATTGATATAATAATATATCAGTTTAATCAAAAGAGTCAATCAGAGGCAAATAAGCAGGTGGCGAATGCAATGGGCATGTTTTTTTACATATCTCATTGATAGATAAAAAGTTTCTATAAAATCCTAGTATTTTATTTTGATTCAATATATTAAAATATATTATTACAAAGTTTGCTTTCTTACTTTATATATATATATATATATATTCATAGAACACGGGTTCTTAAGTTTATGTAGTCCGAGGACCTCTTGAAAACTTTTTTTTTTAGAATTTCAGCTCATCTTTAGGCTTGTTATACTGTTATGTTTAAAACTATTTAAGCAAAAACAAATAACAATAGTCTAGAGCAGACGTCTCATTACAATCCATGGCCCATGAGATTTATTTGAGTTGTTGTCTAGAGCATGTAGTTTTCATTAAATTTTTTTCTAAAAAAATTCAAAATGTTATGTTGTTAAACTCAAGTCAAAAATGTTTCTTGAACCCCCAGTAATGACTAGGAGACCCCCATTTATTAACCTAATAATATAAGTTAAGCCACTATCAAACTTTTTTTATTTAAACCTTAAGAGACCTCAAAATCAAGTAATTCATTTATAGGAATAGAAGGTAGATGAAAGTAAAAAAAAAAAATACTATACCTTTCAAAAGGAGTATTTTACTGCTCCAGGTAATGAAAAGAATCTCTTACCAAAGACTGTTATTTGAACATTGGAACTGATTGCTTATTCGGATTAAAGAGAATTTTTGGCTGCCTTAAATATTTTTAGGACTTCATCCTTTTTAAAATTCTTAATTATCATAACAATAAAATTTTATCCTACGTCCCATTAGTAAGCAAAGAAGACAATCCCACAACAGTAGCTGAAAGTTTCTCTCGAACCATAACAAACCATCATTATTCTGTTAAGAGAAAACTCTAAAAGAAAGAAAAATTTGAACAACAGATCAGTGTAGTAAGCTCTCCCCCTCTATTCTCTAACGATAATTATTATTAATCTATTAAAAAAAAAAATTGGAATATTTTTATATATTCATAGTTAGTAGAACCAGAATATTCATAGATAAATAAATTTTGTTAAGCATAAGTATAAATAACCAACTGATTTTTATTTGTTTAAACAGGAGATGAAGATGTTCCTGTCGATGAACCTTCTAAAGAAAAGGAAGAACCAAGACTTCAAGCAATCGTATAAATACCATGAACTTATACCTACTATATTTATGATACTAGTCATATCAAGATAACTTGGTAAACGTGTGAAATATATATATATATATACAAACACACATGTATACCCAATTTGATGTAATTTTGAAATAAAACAATTGTAACAAAACTTACATTAAAATGAGTTGACAGTTCACTTTGTTTTCTTTAGCTTCCCTGTATGAAGAGTATGAACAATTGCTAATTATAATGAAAGCATGACATTTTAATTCAGTAATTCTTATGGTTCAATAATGTACTTGTTTATTTTTAAAGAGGTATGTACTAAGGCTGTTTTACCCATTTGTTATTTTTTGATCTCCCTCTTAAAAATAAGGTTCAGAAAAAAAAAAAAGTCAACTGCAAATAAAATTGCTGACAGTTTCAGACTAATGTCTGTCTCCAACCATAGAAAATAATTATTTGGGAAACTCCTTTATATCATTAGAAAAAGTATTGACTAATAGCACATCCTAAGCAACAAAGGAGTAAAAAAGTGATATTTATAAAACTAAAATAATGTAAACGATTCATCAAAACCAATCTTCTAAAAATTATTTACAGTTATATAAAATCCCAAGAAATAAGTAAAACAATATGGACGGCCATATCCAAAATAAGGTTTGGATTTTACGCCTTAACAGCAAAAGTTATTCTTCAGTAAACGTAATATATATAACAATTTATCGTAACTAATTACAGGACAGGATGGTGGAGTGGGCACATGTATCTGTAATAACGTGTTGCCCAGCAACCAGATAACCCAAACATTATGAGTTTGAATCTCAGTGCTGAAGGGACTTTTAACTCTGGAATACAATTTATTCCTCCCCTGGCCCATGAAAAAAAAACTTACAGCCTAAAAGGCGACAGAGAAGAGAAACAAAAAATAGGAACTAATTAAGTCAAGTCCACTTATTAAAATGGAGACTAATTTACTTAGATAAGTCAACTGACTTTAAAAGGCAAGAAATAGCCCAAGACAGGCAGAGATGGAGCAGGCTTGTTCCCAACCAGGAGAACCGAATGGGGTAAAAACGTTAGGGTAGAAAATTTGATTTTCACTTAGTTTAAGTGAATAACTTAAGTGAATTTTAAGTAAAACTCTGCTTTAAAGGCATAAGAATCATAACATTCAAACAATAGACACCTAAAACATGTTAACATAATAAATAAAGGATAAATACATCAAACAATAATAAACACCATTTATCAAAATAAATATTCAAACAGTCTTTTAATGAATCAGATGTACAAAATAACAACTTTATTTCTACTATAACTATATTTACAATTCAATATATTTTACTTTATACATCAAAATATTGCGGACAATGATAAAATAGATCATAGCAAAAAAGGTCCAATTATATTAATTATTTACAAGATTTTTCTTAATGTTCTGATCAGATAAAAATGTTGAATAGCAATCAGTTTATATTATGAAACAGTAGATGTAAACATTAGGACTATACAATATTATATACAGATATTTAGAATGAGAATCTCAAGAGTTTATAAAATAAAACTAGAATTATAAGCATAAATTATATATGCTCATTTAAAATGAAAAGTGTAATCACATAATATGCTTGTTTAAATAGCATATGAATGTTAATGTGATTTCTCCACAGGTTTAAAAAAAAAAGTTATACATATTCTATGTATCGTAGAAAATTTGAAATATTAACATTTTGAAATACATATAATAAAGATTAATTAAAAAAATAAAAAAATAAATAATTTAATATACATCTGAACAGTAAAAAAAAAAAAAATTGCTTAGGAATTTTTCTTGTAAAAATACTTAGTAAAGTAAGCAATTTTATGGAAAACAACTATGTCATTTCAAGATGCTTTCAACATCTGTTTAGTAACTGAGTGATAATTTATACCTATTCTGGACTCATCTATGACTATTGTATTATCCTGCCAAAAAGTTTCAAGCCAGGCCTAAGGCAAGTAAGTTGTTATTTTTGCAACACAAATATACAGAGATACCACCAAAATATTCTTGGTAAATCCTTGACACATATCAATCGCCTAACAGCAAACCATAACATCATTTATCTATCTATCTCAAAGTACATGGTACTTAATGCTTGTCTCATTTTATTTTATGAACCTGCCTGCTACTTTTTCTATTTTAAAATAGGAACATCTTTCTGTATAATACGTAGGTAACAGAAAATTTTAGGAGAATCTAACATACATAGATTATAACTGATTACTTTTAACATGGGTCTATAAAATTCAATTTTGTATTACTGACTAATCCTATTTCTGTAATTATTTTATAAAAAACATAATTACAGCAACAAAACAGATTGTTCCACAAAGAATAATTATCATAAAAACCCTGTAATTAATTAACAAAAGAAGACTAATCAATTTGTATTAATCAATAATTAAATAAAATCAATCATGTTTGAAAAAGATCTTTTACCATTACCATTCTTGATATATATTTCCGTTTAGACATTAATGATTCAGGAGAGCTGCGAAATAAATCAACTAGCCTTGAACTTGTTTCAAGGGCCCAGGCTGCATTTCTTGCCTCAACACGTATTCTTTCTACTTCTTCAAGACTAACATTCTTTGTAACATTGAGATTTCTATCAAGAGGATTAACAATATACATAGGAGAGTAATCGAGCTTATTAATTATTTTTGCAGAACATAAACTTATAGCTTTATTATTAAAGTCAAAATTTTGATAGAAATTAAAAAATCCTAACAATAGTTCTGCAGTTGTTTTACTATGATCTAACTCTAATCTTACATTTCTTAGATCTCTGATAAAGCTGCAGTTTATTTCTTCTGCATATCTTGTATCATTTGGACCTGTAAATAATTAATATAAAAATAAAACACAGCATATTAAACAAATACGTATATATTGTAAATTACAATGCTATTAAAACAGTGATAGAGAAATTTTGGAAATAATCATCGATGGAAATATACCTTCATGCCCAATATAAAAAATATTGTAATATAAAGTATATCCTAATTCATGAAAATCCTGTTAATTTGAGAGGATCCAGTATGAATAAATTTTAAGTAAAGAGCAAGAATATGGTGGAATTTTATTTTTCTTTCAAAAACAAGGAAGTTAATATTATGTTTATAATATAAGAAATCACACTACCTAATTTCAGTTATGCATATTATGATAAATGTTTAGCCTGTTAGGGTGTTAAACAGTTATCATAAATCTTGAGTAAACAATCTCTGTGCTAAACTACTTTAGTGATATCAGCTGTAGTAAGTTGGAACCTCCACTCATTATAACTTGAGTTTCACATATTAATTTCAATTGGCTAATTTTCTGTTATTTAAACACTGATTGCTACCTGAAGTATGGCAAACTATATAATCAAAGCCAACCCAAAAAAAATAAATAAAAAATATGATAGGATTGCAAAAACTTTTCATTAACCTAAACGTGATCATTTCATTTCATGTCAATACATTTCTATTATTATCACATTGTCTTTGATAATAGTAAAATTTTACTAACACTAAACAATATATGACAAAAATCAAAGATAATATACCTGCTAATTTGAATAGATCATCAATAGAGGGTAATCTCCTTTCATTCTGCAGATAAAAAAGAACAAGTAATGTTAGAGAAAAGTTAGTAATCCATCTTCCAGGAGAAGGATTCGTAAGACCTACGACTTTAGCCCAAGCTTTAATAGAGAACACCAATCTCTGAGCAGCAGGATCCAAGTGAGCAAAGATATAAAGAAGTTCAGACATATACATTGCGCTCCTAAAAGGTAAAACAGAAATTTAATAAATTCCAAGAAATAATTATTAACTGCTAAAGAATGCTATAGTTTGGGATAATAATTAACAAATAATTAAACTTATTTCTTTATTAGACTTATTATTAAATTAAATGTTTTCAGAAATTGATATATTCTTAGGTCAATTTTAAAAACCAATTTTAGCTGTGAACGTTTCATTAAAGGAATTTTCTGAGTGAAGGCGAGACAAATTACTACATTTCTTCCTCTTCGAACAATAACAGTTAATTGTCAATCATTGATTGAAGAAAATAACCACTTGAGTGTTTTAACAGTAGCAATATCTATGTCCCAAAAGGTAAGATTCCTAGCTCCATTCCAAGTGCATTCTGTTCGAATATCACAAAGGGGAAATTTATCAAAATATTCACTTATTTAACTTTCTAAAAGGTTACATAATGATTTTTCAGATTAAATGGACGATAGATACCTAATTATTTAAATATAATGTCAGATCTAGAGTTATTAAACTACAGTAAATATATTTAAGGTTATAAACGTATCAATGAAATATTTTTATATTTCACATCTTCATTCACACAAGTACAATGAAATAGTATCTTAAACAATGTAATTGCCTTGAATCCGTGGGTTTTAAATACTTTTTCAAACTTTAAACAATTTTTAAAAGTTTACATTTAGTAAGAAAATTTCATTTAATTTCCTTGAAAACATGTTATTATTTATATTTTTTTCGCCAATCTCCGCTACCTTCTATAACTTTCTATATTACATATTGTTTTTTCTGAAATTATCCGTTTTCTAACAATATATTACAAGTATACAATCTGACTTATATTTCCGGAGATTTATTTATGACCTGTATAAGTATTTTTATTGTTTTCTCCTTTATTCAATTATCAAATTCTGTCAAAAGTTATATTTCACATTTTTTCGTAACTTTTAATAATGAGAAATAGTTGATTATTTAAAATAAAGCATATTAAAGGTACTTTAGAGGATATGCATATGAATATAGAGCATTTGAGCCCTATAAAGTGACATCAACGGGGATAAAACCTAAATGGTATTAAAGAGCACTTAATTATATAATGATATACCGAGTTTAATCAAAATCATTAGAGACCTTTTTGAGAAATATGTGTTTCAGCGTCGATATAAAGTGGCACTTCCGGTTAGTCGATTTTAAGGAAAAAGTTGCCAGGACATCTAAGGCATACATCTATCTTAAATATGTAATATCAGTTTCATGCAACTTTTCGGTTTTGAGCTAGTGTTCACATACACATAGACCATTTTTCAGGATTTGGTTATTTGGACTCAGGAGACCCCAAAATGTGTATTTCCGTTGAAAACTAAGATTCAAAAATTTTCTCGATCGCAATACTTACACTTACTATATATTACATATATAGGTAAGTGAAAGTAAAAATTGAAAATAAGTCTTAATCTGCTTTCTTTTTTTTTGGTTTTAACTCCATGAGTGCGATAATAAAAAGTAATTAATGAGCTCAAACAAAAGAAATAAACAGATTTAGGTATTAATTTTTAAAAAATTACAAATTTTAATTGTTAAGAAGATGGATTTTAAAATTCTGTTCAAAGTTGCGACAATTCATTCCGTTTCTAAACAAGACATGCCGAGCAAAATTATTTTAAAAATGAAATGGTTTATCTTTGGTTGGTACATCCCTCATCACACATACACACACCTTGAAGGATGAAAATTAAAAGAAAAAGGAGCTCATACAGTCTCAGACATCATCAACCAATAATGAATTTTAATACTTCCTAGAAAATATTATTACGTGCCTACAAATTTAGATGAAAATCAACTATCTATAGTGTGATTATTAAATAGAATACTTCTTTCAATTTATAATTTAAAAATTACACTTTTTCCACATCTTAAAAGATGAGTTTTGGTTTAACATATTAAGGTATTATGGACATAAAACCCATTATTAGGAAAGAACTTACATATTGGTCAGAGAAATGTCAACGTCAACACCAGTGAATTCATGGGAGTACTTAATGATTGGTACCCTGGCTCCAAGAATTCTTTTTACCCCAATTACTCCAGGAACATATATTTGCAATAGGTCTCCAAGTAACTCCATTTGCCTTTGTGTTTGTCCTCGAGAACTAATACCATTGATCTTAGAGTGATGAACTAACCTCAAGTCATCTGAATTTTCCTAAAAAATATATTCAGAAAACAAACTTATTGCTAATAAGTTGTATAAGAAGTATTATATTTTAAAATACTAATAAAAATGTTGTCACTTATGATAAAACTGACTTATGATGTTGCCACAAAGAGAATTTTAATAATTAGAAGTTTAAAGTTAAATAAAATTCGTATATCAATTATGCGAAGTTACCAAAGTGGTAATTCCTAAAAACCATCTAATAACAGAGCAGTTAATAGAATTTGTTCTTTACTAGTGTAGAATATTTACTATATAGGAAGTTTATTCCATTCGTAAATGGTAACATGAGTTCAGATGAATCCAAAATTCGCTAAAGAAAAACAAATTCAATCAAAATTAACTAATAAAGATATACTTGAATCTATGAATAAAAAAACAGTTATTCTATATCCAACTTATTTCAGAGGAATTGAAAGAATTATATATTTTATTCCATTCTTAGGATAAATTATTGAGTGCCCACAAATTTAGATAAAAATTTAGTATCTATAATATGATTATTAAATAGATAACACCAGGCCCATATAGATTAGTAGTTTGATTAAATTTAAAAACGATTAATGTCGATTTATTTTATAGCGACACGTACTTTAGAATAGTCATAAATGGTTTATACCACTCCATTTCTTCCTCTATACCAGCTGCTCCTAACCTTTTTAGTGGTCAGCGATCCTATGAATCTTAAAATAATCTCTCCGTACCTTAAAAAATGTGGATATATTTTTTATTTAAGAAAAACATTTAGTGCATTAACAAATGTTGTCTTAAAAACATTATTTAAATTATAATGGCTACTTTGAAATTGTTCAATTGTAATAATTCCATTAAAACTAGAATTTTTTTTAATTTCCGCACGTCTGGAAAATGCTCAGCACCCACCCAAAGTTAAGAACTACAGTTCTACATTATAAGAGAACTTGTTTCAGAAATGTAAAAAGTAGATAACAATTTTAACAATATTTCTTTTAAAAAATATTTATTTTTTTCTTTGCTATAAAACAAAAAAAAAATTGAATGTTCATTCAATTATTAAATTAAATTATTAGCATGACATAATCATCAACATCCTTAGCTTCTAACAAAGTAAATTAAAACCTAGCGACAAAAATGAAATAATTGTAAGCAGATCCACAGGTATCATATAGTTAATGATATTATCATTTTGCAATGGTTATGAATTAATTCATTACAATTTATAAACTGCTTAAGCAAAAAAAAAAGGTCAAATTTCTTCAACTTTTCCCATTAATCCTGGAATTTCAAGTACTGTAACAACCCAATCAACAAATGATTAGTTCAGATATAACTAAAAATAATAGTAATATCAATTACCAAGATAAAAAAATATGCTATGTTTCAAAATAAATAAATTCAGTGTAAATCAATATTTTAAACTCAAATGACCAATCTGCTAACCATGATAGTAGTTCTATCTTTGGTGGAAAACAAAACCACAATAAAAGGGAAGATTACAGCTTATTGAAACAAATTAAGGTTAAAATAGTGAATAGATACTGTTAACACTGTAACACCCAAAAACTTGTTAAGCAATCTACACCATATGGCAACTGCTTTTACGCCATTGGATTACTCTAACAATAGAGGCAATAAAAATTAAACTCTAACCAAGGATTTAATTTTAATAAAGTAATATAACAGTAATCTGACCATGGCAGATTTCTTTATCTCCAGAGAAAGCAGAAATCAAAGTATTTTATTGATTTTTTTTTAAATCTATCATAAAATACATTAAACACTGCTTCTGAGCATTATTAAGTTTTTAAAGCTATAGGCAATTCACCAACTTTGGTTAACATACAACCACTGCTATGTTCGCTCAAAAGAAAAAAAATCCTATCATATAGCCCTTGTCGACAGATATGGGACATAACATTTATATGGCTAAACTGCCATGATGTTAAAATAATAAAATTAGTGATAATGTTGATATAATAAATGGTTTTAGTATATTTAACAAAGATTATAATCAACCCTCAATATTCATGTCAAAAATTTCAATCTAAACAACAGAAAAATAAGAAATTAAAATAAAAGTAATATAATAAACAGGAAATGGTAATAACTTACATGAATTTGAATTAAGTTATATGAATTTGACACATATGCTAGGGCAGTATGTGTTTTAATATATTGCTTGTCTCGAAAATGTTCAGTTAAAAACAGTTACACCAATATCAAGATCGAAAGTAAAAATAAAAACATTTATAAAGACAATTACTAACAATAATTTGAGAATAAGTAAGTTATACCTGAAAATACCTGAGAAAAATTATAACGAAGTACAAGATCAAGGTCACAACCTTCTTTTCCAAAAGAATTCACAGTAGATCCAAAAGGGAAGGCTCTAATATTAGGAAATAGTCCAGACAACATCATTTCCACTTGTCTGGCACAAATCATCCTTAATTTAAAACCTAGCTGGCTCAATTTTGTTGACTGATAAAGAATCTCCATTTCATCTAACAACTAAAAAACAAATGAATACAAAATAGATAAATACAAAGTGGTCACAAACAAAATTAAATAAATAGCTTACCGATTGAGCTACAGTCATCCATTCTATGATCTCTAGTTCTGTTGGTCCTTGAGAAATATTTATGAGTGGTGAGACATTTACTGAGGACGGAACAAGTTTTTTCTTTTTCCCAGTTCTAAACCAAATAAAAGGTGATACCACAGCTAGATTGTTTGGATCAAAAGATAACTTATGGGCAGCTTCCGAGTTACTGAACTCAACCAGAACAAAGTGCTACAAAAATATTTAAAGTGCAATCAAAATAATAAAGTGAAGTTCTCTTCCTATATAACATTGTTCATTCTATCTCGCTACTAGTTTCAGTCCTTTATCAGGCTTATTTGTCATAAATAAGCGCAATAAAGGACTGAAACGGGTAGCAAGAAAGAATAAATAATTATATACAGGAAGATTTTTGAATTACAAATTATTTAATTATAGATAAATAAAAACTTGGGAAAAAAAATCTAAATTTTAAATATTTAGGATATAAATTTACATAGAATGATGGATGATAGAATATATCCATGATTGGTAAATGGTTGACTGTCGTGAATAATGAAGAGAAGAACAGTTGGGGTGGTCAGTCAAAAATAAATGACAATATTTATTTTTACATATGGCGACGTTTCGACCTGAAGTTCAGGCCTTCATCAGGGCTGTCTCCAAAAGTGTTGCAGGGAGAATGTATATATTCGATAGAATATATCATTTATGATCCTTCGATTTAAATTTACGATGTAAACAAACTAAGATACTAGTTCATAGGTGTCATGTCTGGTAAGATGAGAGACAAGATCACAAATCAAATCATGAACCTGAAAGTAGCGATGAGTCCAAAAGTATATGGGAAGGTCAATCTTAATAACACTCTAAGAAATAAATTATACAAGAAATTTAATGGGTGATAAATATTCAGGATGCAGTCATTATAAGGTTTTTATTAGTGCCGACGTTTCAAACCAAACACGTAGGTCATCATCAGGGCATGATTCGCAGAGTACTTGAATATCTTCAGTGCTCAAAACACGCCCTGACGATGACCCACATGTTTCGATTCAAACGTCGGCAATAATAAAAACTTTATGACTGCGTCCTGAATATTTATCACCCATGATATGTAGAACAGTTGACTAACTTCCTCCAATAAACAAGAAATTTAATGTTCAATTGAAAACAGTCAATCCCCACCAATAAAAAATTCAAGGTAATTCCGACATCTACAATTCAGCAAATTCCATTATAAACAAAGAAATTAATGCAGATAAAATCATATTAAATTACATCATCTTTCACTCGGTAATAGAACATATTTTCAACAGTACAAATACTTTGACAATAGTCATGAAGTTCAATGCAAGAGTTTTCAGAATTGACCTGAACAACATAACTTCTTTGAGCAACTTTTCTTCCTTCCTCTATCATGTCATCAAATTTAATAAATTGTGCTGTTTTATTGTCAGGAATTGTTTCCTTGCCTAAAAAAAGCAATATACAGTTTTAATCAGCTAATAATATATAAATAACATTACTTTAAATTTATCTTCTAAGAAATGACATGTACCAGAAATATTTGTACTGTAACCATTTTTTGAAAAATTATTGGAGCTGTAAATAACATTATCAAAAGTAATATTGGCAATATGTTTAACAATGTTTCTACGAAAACAATAAACAAAATCAGGTTTGATTTTCAAGAAAATACTCATTTTAAAAAGTGGTGGAACAGAAGGTTTCACCACAGCTACCATAATCTATTAAGTATTTAAACTTATCGTTTTAATTCAATTTTGCCAGTTTTATTTATTTATTTACCTATTAAAGCTTATTAATTATTTTTTTGTATTTTGGCTCAGAAATATACTGTATAAAATCTAAAATTTGAAATCAATTTGTGTAAAAAATTGAAAGGGCAGGGAGAAATGGCGCATTTGAGAAAACAGGCCACCGCAGCATCCTTCACCCCTTACAACGCATAAGCTGCACGTGTGTTGGGACAGTCTTCTGCTTACATTCTGGTAAGTACTTATAACATTGTTGATATTGCTATTTTAAGGTATTCTTTTACTACTATTAAGGTCGTGTAGCTAATTATTGGGTGTATTTTAGGTTTACCAACATCGGCGTGAACATTAAACCTGGAGCGTTACTAGTATGAGCTCCAATACCTGTTATAGATGTAACCGGACTGGGCATTTCGCTAGAGAATGCCCAAATGGTGGTGGAGGAGGAGGTGGAGGTGGATTTGGAGGTCGTGGTCGAGACAAATGTTATAAATGTAATCGTTATGGTCACTTTGCAAGGGATTGTAAAGAAGATCAAGACAGATGTTACAGATGCAATGGAGTGGGACACATTGCTAAGGACTGTCAACAAAGTGCTGATGAGCCTTCTTGTTACAACTGCAACAAAACTGGGCACATAGCTAGGGAATGTCCCGAACAAAGAGATGGTTCTAGAGGTGGGTTCACCTCAGCTTGTTATAATTGTAACAAAACTGGGCACATGGCCCGAGCATGTCCTGATGGATCTAGGTCCTGTTACAGTTGTGGGAAGACAGGACACATTAGTCGTGACTGCGATAAGAATGACTGAATGATTTGTCAAAATTAAGCAAGTTATATATTTGTTTTTGTAAGGGGCAACTTTTTCTTTTTCTTTTTTACTATTACACCTTGAAGTATATGTTTATTTTACATAGATTTGCCATTACGCTTTACTACTGTACTCCAGAGCATTTGCAAGTTGTTGAAGTTTTGTATTTGAAAAATGCAGATTTGTTGTAATCGTATTTAAAGTAACATTTCATATGTGACTTATTAAAACCCTACTTATAATAAATGAAAGATGATTTTTAAGATGTCTTATTCATTTTGTAATCCAGTAATTTCCTAGTAGTAAGTTTAATTATTGTAAATATGTTATGTATATATTTAATATATATATTTTAATCTTTACATTTTCCTTGTAATCAAAATGTATGTAAGAATACATTTATTTTACTACACTTTTGCATTTTATTATGTGGAAAGAGGGAGTTGGAGATAATCCTAAGTTCCAACTAGAAGTAAAACTACTTTTAAACTCATTTTTATTTTATAATGGTAATTCTTAAATTGTTGAATATTCAGAGTACAACAGTTTGAAATGAAATGTTTTCCTTGGATTCATATTTATTATCAGAATAAAGTAAATTTAAATCATATATAAATATTATAGTAAGTTAAAAAATGTTAAGGTATGGTAATTTAACTTATGGTTGTTATGCAAATAATGCATTCACCAGGTGTTAGGAGGGGGATTGTTTGGTAAGGAGGGGATGAAAGAAGGTAATTTGGTGGTTATGGTGAGTCCTAGTTGAGCTGGAACTGATGCACTGTTGAGACATGGTGCTGGATTTGGATTTATTCAGAGAGGAGAAGGGTGGAAACCCTGAAAAGATCCGCCAAAATCAGAAAGATCGTTTTAAAGATGTTGGATTAGTAGATCAAGTTGTTAATAATGACCTGAAATGGAGACAATGTAAGTTAAGTTTTCTATGACCATTACTATTTATCAGTCCAATATTGGAGCTATTTATTAATTAGGATTTGCTATTTCTGTAGCGAGGTTTCAAGCAGATAATCTCAACAAGTTAAAGAACCTCTGCAGTAAAGAAATTGGTGAAAAAATGAAGGTATTTTAGTTGTTTTGTATTTTGTTCTGCATTTTAGATGTAGACTGGTTAATAAATTACGGATTGTTACAGAAAAATAGAAATAGCCATACTCCACATGAGTTTAATTTTTCTGATTTTATCAATATTAATGACAAAAATGTACTAAATAACTATCTTGAAGATAAAAGTTATATCTATGGTTTTGAACCCACTCAAATTGATACACAAGTGTATTTAAGTATAAATGAAGATTTCTTAGTCTCAAAAAGTAATAATTACCCCCATTTATGGAGGTGGTATGTTCACATTAAAAGTTTTGGAGCTGGGATAACTTATTTTCCTGTTTACGATAAGGTGAGAATTTTGATATATCTCCCTGGTTAAATGCTTACAAGCATGAAAGCATGTATTTCTTAAACGTAGTTTCGCTTTTTTATATTTTCATTCTGTAATTGAATGCTACAAAAATAGTTGGGTTGTCATCAGTGTTACTTTTTAACTGTTTAAATTTGTGTTCAGTATAAAGAGAAATAAGGTTCATATATTATTAGCAATTCTCATCTTTAATATTTGGGGCATAATTCTTTTTTTTTTTTTTTTGCATGCTAAAGAGTTGAGAGGTGTTGACCTGAGGATTTTCCATTTTCAAGAAAGAATGAATATATAAATTTGACTTAAGATCAGTCTTAAAGCAATGAATGTAGTATAAAAGATGCAAGTACAGCAATCTGAGAAATATTTACCATATACTGTTAAAAAATTAAATAGTAGTAATGACTTAAGTGTTGAAACATAAGATGATAGGTAACAATTAAAAACCACTGCCACTAAAATACATTACCATCTGAAATGGTACTGATCTATTTAATGTATTCTATGAAATAAACACAGAATGAAATATTTAATTTATAATTTCCTTACTGCTATTTGATGCTCATTTTTGTATTACTGTTAATCTGGGTCCTTGCATAAAAAAAATAAATTTTGAGCTGCAAGAGAATTTAAGTTTTATAAGTCTTAAAATTTAAGTCTTATACCATATACTTGTTCTTGTATATGGTATAAGATTTGCCTTCATTATCTCTTGATCTGAATTTAAAATTTTTTTCTCCCGATTAGTCGTCTTTAATATATTTCTTATTTTTATATTTAAAGTGTATCGTTGTTTTATGATATATTCCATTAATAAATGTGATATTCAAGCATTTCTTATCTATTCCTTCCTTACACAATCTGCTTTTATAGCATTGTTACTTATTATTATTTCATCAAACTTAGTTTATTTTACTTCACACTTGAGCAAATAAGCATGTGACTCATTTTGTGGAATAAGCAGTTATTCCAAGTAACTTTTAAGTTTTTTTTTTGTTTTTTTTATGCCATTATACTAATCTGCCTTTTCTTAAAATTAAGATCTGAAATTAATGTGAAGTAAACCAATCTCACAATAGCTGATGGAAGAAGCAGACATGATCCTCTAATCATAATCTAATTTGGTAATTAGAAAATGGTTTAAATCCCACATTTGAACTACGATTTATTTATTTCCTGTGTTGGGCTTATACTTTCTTGACAAAACCAGCTAATTTTTTTAATCTAGACAATCTCTTGTATGCCACACCAGGAGAAGTTCAATTTTTAAGTTATTGCTCTACTTGTTTTTATCTAACTACATCCAGTGCCCTCTTACTCATGAAATTTAAATATAATTACTCATTTTAATTTACGAATTATTTTGATTATAACAATCTGTTCTTAAATATTATTGTTTTATAAACAACATTTATAATAATCTTAAAAATGTTTTTTTAATTTACTGATGCTGTCTATAATCAACTGCTTAAAAAATAAATTAAACCATAACAAAACCTGAGGATAGGAATGATGCAGCATAGGACAGGACATTTAGTGTTCAGATTAGAAAAAAAAGTCAGAGATGACTTAGGTTATATTCAAGCATGCATTTTATGAAAAATAGAATAATAGCAAAGCATGAAGATACAATGAATTATTTCTACTACTTGATTCAATGGGAAAAAAAAAAAAACAATAAGCCGTAAACTAGTTTCTGAAAAAATAATATCAGTGGCTGAGTGGATTCTAGTATTTATACATTTTTCGAATAGGGTTACTTAAATTTGACTCGTTTCTAGTTGAATCAAAATTTATGATGTTATTCAGATTTCTACATACTTTAGTTAATTAGCTCGAAGTATATAAGTAAACTTAGTATTAGGTCGAGGATATGATGACAGCATGTTGGGGCGAGTGTCTTAGATTTCCCCATTCAGACCATTGTGGTTTCAATAACCACTTGGATCAGTTAATATTTATTTCTCGCTGGCCACGAGAAATGAATCTTGATAGCCTCTTTCTGAGTATGCAGCGGTAACCTCTTGGTAGCCATCAAGAGTTGACAAAAAGAACCATAAGGTCCGCTTGCCAGACTAGTTCTCAGTACTTCTTCACTAGCAGGTCAGGACTGACTGTTATCTGCCAATGTTTATAACCTGAACACTGATAATTCTGATTAGGCAGTGATAATCCTTCTGGTATTTCTTATCTTCCAATTATTGTATTATATTCATATTATTGAAAGTTTAAACAAAAACAAATGTAACAACAATAAAAATACTTTTATTTTACGACACATACATTAATGAAATAATAAAAAAACACTTAAAGAAGATATCTACATATAAAAGAAAAAATATCAACACTATAAACGACATATGTACAATTTATTTTTATTTTGGTACACAACATAGTTTTATGCTATTTAAAATAGTTTGCTTCGTTCAGTTGTCGGGTGTTGTATCCTTTTCAACAGTCCGAATAAATGGTCATTCCCTCTTCTATATTGTCTTTAATTGCTTGTAATAAGGTTGTTGCCTTTCTGTCATTTATTTTGACATTAAATGACAATAAATATAACGAAAAATGACAATAAATAAAATGAAAAATAAACACAAACGGGCCAAAAATAAAGAATTTAATAAGTGAACGTAATAAGGGAATAACTGAAAAATAAACAATGTAATAACTGAAAGGTTTCGCGGGATAAGAAGATGGAGGTTATGTGATATGACTTTAGATAACATAGATAAGAAGTGAGGTTTTGACCTGGCCTGCTAGTGAAGTAGTACCCTACTTCTCCTCCCACCCTCCTTAATATTAGTACCAGTATCAATAGTATTAGATTGGAGTCATGCTTTTAAAACTTGTTCTGAAATTAATATAAAGATCTTATAACTGTAAAATCTTTTTCCACTTTCTTTGGAAATTTAATGATGTAGATCTTAGCAAAAACTAATGATGATTAGTTATATTATACTTTTTAAATGAGATATATTTAAAAAAATTCATCTGGCAATATCATACTGCTATGGTTAATGTTATATCTTGTAGCAATACCAAAACTGATCAATGTACAAAATGAATGTCATGTTGAAGTTCAGCTATATTATTTAATATGATTTACGACCTTGATATGAACCTTTCAGTTAACAGAATGATTTAAGTCAGGTCATGATGGCCGAGAGTATTGGAGCATTGCTCTGTTGTAGCACTCTCGTGTGTGCCGGTTCGAATCGAACCTTTTCAGCAAATATCCTAAATATTAAAAAAATTGGTTGAAAACTTTTTTTTTTCAAGAAATGTAATGATACTTGCATTTTTAAAAAAAATAATTCATCACAAGATTTTTAACCTTTGTATTAGAAGGAAAATAAAAAAATGATTTATTTTATTGCAAACAAAAACTTAAAGTTTTATAGTACAATTTTAATAACTTTCCACTCACAAATTATATATCATATTTTTTCTACAAACTGAGCCCCAAAAAATCTTTTTTATTGTTCCAAAACATACATTGAAATTTAATTTGTTCCAAAAGCAGCCATATTTAAGTTTCAACATTTTTTAATTACTATAAAATTATCAATGATTTTTGTAAATGTGTGTTATAAATTAAGACCTGTTTAAATATTAGTTATTGATGGCACAATTGAAATAGAAAATACAGTTTTTTGTGTTTACTGAAATTTTGTTAATTGAGATTATGGTTCATTTTGAAAATAAATGACACAAATAATGAGAAACAGTTTTATCATCATCAAAAGCTTTATGAAGAATTGAATAATTAAGATGACTTGTGAAAGAAAGGTCAGACAATATCTCAAGATATGAAGGAAAGGAGGTTAAGAAGGGCAGCGTATTTATTGTTAAGATGTACCTCGAAGCAATCCATCAGAACGCTTCAAGATAGTAATGAATGCCACAATAGTTGATTAGGGGTCCTTGTGGGAGTCCAAAAATCATTTAGATAGAATCATCAAAGATGCCTAGAAGCTGAATGCTGCAAACTGGAAAACAGAAACACAAAATAGGCAGAGAGGTAGAAAAGATTGGTGGAGAAGGGCAAAGATCTACAAGGTTTGTAAAACCAATCAAAAATAAAATAAAGTAATTAGGATAAGTGTAATATATTTAAAGGAGGGGCATAGGAACTTACAAACACTCAGGCCAAAACTAGGCAGTCAGCTTTATAACTGAGTCAGAGATAAAATTTGTTTTATTTTTCGATATTTTTATGGATATATGTTAAGGTGGTCTTTAGTATTTTATATTAAGGGCAGGATTTTATACCTGCTCTTTTGACAGTATCAATTCAGTTGATCAAATATTTGTTTATAATTTACATATAGAAAGAAATCTTACATATTTATTTATTACAAACATCTAACAGTGAAATCATGCCAGTTCAAATATTCATGTTAATAATAACTAGGACTGTTTTTTAAATGATATTTTACCTAATGTTATGTGAGAATTATTGAGTGCTTTTCATTTTGTTTGGAAACAGTTATGATAAATGTCTCAATTTATAATAAAAACGATTGTCTGTCTTAAATAAATACATATTTCTAAAAATTTTATTTTTAAAATTTTTGAACAAATTTTGGAATTTTATATAATGTCCAAATTATAAATATCCATTGTCATTTTAAAGTTAATATTTGTATTTCTTTTTATCATTATTAATATTATGTTCTCTTAATTTCCATCCTAAATACTGCTATCCAATTATGAGCTCTAGATTTTTGTTCTAAAAAAAAAAATTGCTCTCTATTTTAGGCATATTTTTCGCTGTCAAAATGGTTAACCAAAAAGTAAATATAAAAAATAATAAATGTACAGAACCTTCTTAGGTGCTTACACAAAGGAAATATAAGAATCATTCACAAGAAAATATATCTGTAATTTAAGCTCACTTGCTTTGATTTTTCATTCTACCATCCTTTTTAAGGACCTTTTTTTTTTTTTATCTATTTATTCAGAAATATAACAATATATCACACGGACAATAATTATAGTGCAATATTGATACATTCACACCATATATACAGAACAACATAAATAAATGAAAGTTGAACTTTTGTAATAAATCCAGATCTTTATTACAAAAAAATTTCTTGGAAACTGTTTAAACATAACTTTTTTAAAATGTTACATAAGGGATTCAAGATCTTGTATTTATTTACTATTATTAAAGGTTCCATACTATTTTCTATAGGCCAAAAAGAGGAACATAATGAAAATAGACATAGAAATCTTAAGATTAATAAAACTCATTGATAGTTTCTGAGATACAGAATTAAATATAAATGTTACTATGTAAGGGTCATAATTAAGGCCCCAGCAGTCTTAGTAAAGAAAATAACTTATTACAAAATCATCCAAATTTTTGCCAATTCAGCCATCTTCAGGAATAAAATTTAATTTTAAAACATTTTGGTAATGTTTGGGTATAGTCCCAGCTTTTAATAACTAGTCCCATACACACAGAATAAGTATGCAAATGGGGAATCGCTATAAGTAAATGAACATTACCAAAGTGTTTTAAAAATAAATTGTATCTATGAAGATGACTGAACCGATCAAAATTTGGATGAATTTGTAATAAGTTACTATTTTTTTATTGAGGCCTGAATTACAACCTTTACTTCTATAAAGTCTCTTTCACTTTATCCTCATTTACTATTTAATAATAAAGTACTATGAGGCTTCAAAACATTTCTTCCTTTCTAAAGTGGATCTAATCACATTTGTGCTTTATGCAATGATAAAAATACATCATGGCTGCAATCTCTGATTCTTGGTATGTGAACTGATAAAGATAAAGTTTTATATTATTTATGAAGTATTATAAATCTGTTCTATTATATTACATATAAATATTTAACATGTATCAATATTTTTCAAATTATAATTTGATATATTTTGATGCGTCTGGCCTTAATATTTCCATTCTTTGAAAATGTTAGGGATGTAAATATTACTATGATATTATTATTTCAGTCCCCGATGTTTTTAATAAAAAAAAGGGGTACAGGCTTAACATTGAATTAAAGTCATAGGCGTTTATAAACAACTGAATATTGCTTATTAAAAAATGTATTAATTTATTAAAATTTGTTAGTAATGAAAACAAAAACTTATTTCCAGAAACTAAAAATTGAAAACTACTTATGGAAAAAATTTATTAAGTAGCTTTAATATAAAAAAAATAATTAAGAAAAGATGGAAGTCAATCAATATTAAATGAATTATTAAAAACCTAGGTATATTAAAGAGTAGTTGGTTTGGGTGTTCAGTCAAAGAAATAAAAATAAATTTCCCATTTTATAATGGGAAACATAAAAATAAATAAAATATATATTTATTTTTGCTTTGTTTGACTTAACACCTTAACCAACTCTTCAATATTAAAATTTATTATTAAAAAGACTCATTACTAAGAACAAGTGAAAAATTAATTAAATTTCTGCAATAAATGAAAAAATTAAGAAAATCAAAATGTAATTAATAACAATTTGAAAAAAAAATTACATTTTTGTTATAAAAAACAAACAAATCTTGTTATCAAGATATAAAAAAAAGTAATGCAACAAACATTTTCCAAGTATTGTTTATTAAAATAATCTTATTTTTATCTGCCCATCAGTCAGGTATATTTCCATTTCTATTATACATTTATCAATAACAACTTATAATCATTTTAAATTCCTCAGAGGAAAGAAAGTGGGGATGGAAGCAGCACATTGCCATCAGATTTTGATCTGGAATCTTTGACTCCTGAAACATTAAAAAATTTCACAGTTCCGCAAATAAAGGAAGTAAGAACTTTAATTGACAAAGCAATATCTTCAAATGAAACTCTCCTTACTACAACTGCCGCAGAAAGGGATAAAGCTCTTTCTGAACTTGGAAATTTACTGCATCCTTCTGTTCCTATTAATGATAATGAGGTACGTTGATGAAAATTGTTTTATATATGTAGGCTTTTCTTAATTTTTAATATATTTTCTTAAAATTTATAAAATTTATTTCTTTTCTTAATTATTGTGATGTTTTTATCCATTTATTCATTTTCTGTTGATATCAGATATCAAATCCCTTCAGTGAACTTTATCTGTTATTGCGAGATACAGAACTAATGTTGGATCATAAAAATAAAAATAACCATAGATGACAGGAAAACTTTGTGAAAACTACATTAAATCAATCGAAATATGCTCATTTACAATTTATGCAAATTTTAAGAGCTTTTCCATTTCCTTGGAATAAAAATTATTACTTTTAAAAAGCTTTTTTCAAAAGAAATTTAACGCTCTGTTTATTGAACATGATTCGGTAATCTAAACACTCATATTATATAAGACATACTGTGCTGTAATAATATCATTATAAACCAATAATAGCATGTGAAAACATTTTGGAATAATCTGTTGTTATTAAGTATTTATTTATTTTTTCTTGTGATATTTACATTTTTATTCTACGGGTTATTATTTTATAAGTTGATATTTCACCTTTTTTTCCTAGGATGAAAATGCTGTGGTTAGGACTTTTGGTGATATTTCCATTAAAAAGAAATATTCACATTATGATTTGATACATATGATTGGTGGAATTGAATCGGAAAAGGGAGCTGCTGTTGCTGGAGGAAGAGGCTACTATTTAAAGGTGATTCATTTTAGACACACACACTGCTGTTGTTTTTGAGATAAACAATTATCCTATTTTATTTTCTTATTAACAAGTTATTGTCTGATTATATTCTAAAACTTTATTAAGAAACCATTTCTATGCTAATGAAGGTAATTAGCTTTTTGTTTATTAACTCACTGGGGATGGTTTATAATGATCTTGAAGGGATCAAGTAAACTTCCTTACTATAACTAATCTAAGGCTATTTATAAAACAAATGTGGTCATTATATACTGTACAATGAAGTGTAAAATATAAGCAAAATGAAACTGCTTTCTTTGAAACTGCAATAAAAAATTATCGACTCTATTTACTACATATTGACATTGGAATGAAGAAACCTCTTAGCCCTTTAACTGCTAAGGATGGCTATAACCTCCACAACTGAATGTATCTCTGTTGCTAATGATGGCTATAAGCTTGTCTTTGGACAAGACTCTCCACGCTTGTTGGATTGAACAGCCCTGATGAAGGCCTGAATTTCAGGCCAAAACTTCGGAAAATGAAAAAATAAATATTATTTATTTTTGCTATTTTTTATTTTAACCACTCCAACCATCCTTCTCTTCAATTATTCACTACAGTCAACCATCAACCCACAATTATAAATTATTAAATAAATATTTAAAAATAAAATAAGGTTAACTGTTAGTAATAAGAGCCGATAATGAAGGGTGGAAAGCAGAAAAAAAATATGTAACACAGGCCGGTAGATGGGTAGCTGTCTTACTTAGCACTGGTAGACATAAAGCACGTCACTCACAGCAGTGAAAAGGTTAAATCTAACAAATTGAGAACATTAGAATTCTATTCAGAATTTGAATGTCATTTGTTCCTCTCATTTTCCTTCTAGTACCCAGGAAAATAATTCATTAACCTTCTTTACAAGTTTTTGTGTCTCCTGCAAAATCATGTGAAATAAATATAGTTTTTCTCGTACTACTGCTTTTATTAAAAAATAAAAAATATTTTGATGTTCTGAGCTTAACTTAAAATCAGACAGGGGTATGTTATCCAGGTAGTCTTCATCCACTTTTTATGTGCTTCAGAAGTGGCACTCACAAAGCTTGGATCAATTCATTGGCATAGTTCCTTAAGATGTTTTCAGAAATTGTATATGTATTTGATTATTGATAACGAGGTTGAACCCAATATGAAAAGTTTGGTTCTGTTTTTCATCAATAATGTCAATAATGGCGTATCCTTAATGTTTTATATTATAGTAGCTGAAACATTACGACATGATTTTTGATCATTCAGATTTCATCTATAATAGAGAGATTTTGGCTTCATGCTCCTGTTGCATACTCTGAAGGTTGCATAAGATCTGAGAGATCCGTCAAGCGGTCGATTTGATGTATTTTTATACTGCTTGGGAGAGAAGTACTCTCCCTCCACGTATCCTCCTGGTTCTTGGAGCCTTACAATCCACTAGTGGAATGACCTGTGTTGCATCCAATTTTTGTGCCAAAACCTAAGGATTGATAGTGGACATTTTTTATAGGAAAGGGATGGAATGGCAACAGATATAATTGGAATAAAAGCCTTTATTGGGCTATTATATATTGCAGGAATGCATTAAGGTGGCGAAAAAATCTGAATGATTTGTGGAACTCAAGTGGCACAATTGATTTAAAGTTTGGAATCGCAGTATTTCGTCCCACTATGACTGTACGAAGGTTTCAATTTTTACTTTGATCCTTAAGATTTGATGATTGAGGAACACTTCAAGAACATTAGGAAATAGTCCAACTGACACCTATCCAGGACATATTTGAAATTTTATTTGTGGTTCAGAAACTGCCAATCTTGTTATTCAGTTGGAGCAGATGTGACTATCGATGAGAAATTGGAAGACTTTAGAGGCTGATGTTCATGTTGTGATGATGTTTGTATTAATTATTTTTGTATCCAATTTAATCCTATCATAAATGTTCCTAGTATTCAGTGATTTTTGTGTTCGTATTTAATGGTAGACAGAATTTAATGTTCAAGTTCCTAATTTGCTCAACGTAGTCTTCGTTTTGATTTTTTTTTAAATTATGTAACTGTGTTTTACTCAATAAATATATTTAAAAACTCAACTTATATCTTTTTCTTTTAGTACAATGAGAAATTTGTTGGCATTGTTTTTTCAATAAATCAATTTAATAAAGTGGATTTCACAGTAGCGACCTTTGGTGTGTTAAATGTTTTGAACTATTAAAAATTCCATAATAAGCTTCCCTTTGTTATTATTTTTCAGTTTTTTTAGAAACACTCTGATCCATTTTACACATAAGTTGTATTTTGGTAACTTTGATGAAATTTCAATAAACTAGAAATGGGATGTTTATACAAAATATTTAGTAGTTCTGATATACAACTATTGCTGTATCTAATCATTTTATATTACGAAATTCGAATTGTATTTTGAACTGTTATAGGGACCAGCGATCATGTTACAATACGCATTGGTGCAGTATGCCTTGTCAAAGTGGATCAGCTATGGCTATACACCTGTTTACACTCCCTTTTTCATGAAAAAGGACATCATGCAACAAGTTGCCCAACTTTCACAATTTGATGAAGAGCTTTATAAGGTAATTGGCAATTAATTGTTCTGCTTGATACTTTTATCAATTTTTTATATCTGTTCTATTGTAATTAGTAAATTACTGTGTGGAATGCAGTAATTAATGGTTAAATAATGTATGTGTCACTTCAGGTATTGAGTTTTAATAATAAATCATAGTGACTTTAAATACTAAACTATTTGTTTTGTTAATTTCTAATAAAATTAGTGCACATAACTTAAGGCGTGGTTGAAGGTAGTAAAATATTTTTAATGTTGTGATGTTAGAATTAAATAGTATATACCACTGGTGGGGAACTGAGGACTCATTGCTGTAAGCTTGTTATGTCTGACATCCAAAACTATTGAATCACTACATAGTCACCACTAAAGAAGTTTTATTTCAATAATTTATTATTACCTAATATAACCGTTAAACACTGTATTTCATGTTGCACAACTTACACTTTACAAGAAATTAATATGAAATTTTTACCCAAGTATTTTTTTATTAGATTTAGTATATTGAATAATTAAGTGTATTTGGGACTGAAATTCAACTTCATATCAAATTTAGGTTGTTGGTAAAGGTGGCGAAGAACAATACCTCATTGCAACTTCTGAACAACCATTGGCCGCCTTGCACAAAGGGGAGTGGATTGCGGAGTCTGATCTTCCCATCAGGTATTTTCTTTCAACACTCCTTTAGCTTATTAGAAGAAAGAAAGCATCAATGTTGTGTATTGGTTCAATAGAAACAATAATTTATTTTCCAGGTTTTTAAATAAAAAAAAATATCTCAAGAAAGAAAGGGCTCCTGAGTCCAGATAATAACTGTTCAGCTATTTTTTTATTTTTTTTATTTTGATTTTCACCAGTGGTGGAGTTTTACCACTGGTAGTAATTAAAATTTATATTTAAGATTTCTCTTACTATACAAGCTTTAGGATAGGTCTTTATTATTGGGAAGAATAATAGATAGATAGATAGAAAATAACTTTATTCTGGGACAAAGTCCCTTGAGAATAACAAAATAGAACAAAATCAAAATATTATATCTGGCCTAAATAAAATCAATAGAAAAAAAATAATGTAAAGAAAATATTAGGTAAACATACTATATACAAAAATAACTAAACTATATACAAAACAATTAACACTATGACAAGACACTTAAAGCTATTTGCAGTGATAGAGACCAGTATACACTTTTATGAAAACAATAAAGAAAAATATATTAAATTCTTCATTAAAATAAGCTTTTTGTTTCTGTTGAGAAAACTGAAAGCTGAATCAGACAATATGAAGTGCCTGATTAATATATAAATGCATTATCATTTAAATGTTGATTACTATTGATTACATCATAATCATTTCTTATCATAACAATAGGCAAGAAATTAGGGGTGTATAAAAGATAATAGTTATAAACAACCAATAGATATGTTCAGTGACATCAAGAGTTGGAATATCTTCACCCTATAACAAAATTAATATGCCTAGCAGAGAACAGCATTGATATTTGACAATGAATGGCATGAAATAAATGTATGTTGTCGAATGGTTGGCAACTATCTGACTGTTTTTGGGATAGGAATCGGAATAGAAGAGTTTTGAATGTGGATATGGAGGGGGAATATTGAATTTTAATAGGGAGGGAATTACAGAAACTGACAGAGTGAGCAATAAAGGAGTTTTGGAATGAGGCAGATCTGTGAGAAGGCATGTAAATGTTAGAAGGTCGAGATCTTGTGGAAAGGGAATGGACTGAGGATTTGAACTGAAGAAGGTTGTAGGCATAAGAAGGACGATGATTGTTTATGATTTGGTAGAGAAACATATCTAGGAAATATTGTCTTCAGAATGAGAAGAAAAGCCACCTTAATGATGGCTTAGTGGTGAGAGACATGGAAGTATCTTGGTCTCCCAATCACAAATCTTATACAGCTGTTCGTTAGTCTTTTCAGTCTATCATGGAGCTCCACAGAGATGCCATCATACACCACACAGCTGTACTCAAAGTGGGGGCAAAATGAGAAAGGAAACTAGGAGTCATGCGTATGTTGAGGTGGAAGATGGCAAAAGCGATGGAATAATTTGAGGGTAGAAATGTCCGTCGAGAGATGTGAGAAATATGGTGATTCCAGAAATGTTTTGATCAACGAAAAATCATAAATTTTTAACAGAAGAGTAGGAGATTGGCTGGTCATTAGGAAAGTATGCATGGGATCCACGAAGAGGTAATGACAATGGCCTGAGTTTTGGCTGCATTTAACCTTAATCTGTTTACATTTGCCCGGGTACTGATTCGATTTTGGTCTTCTTGGATCTTGGCAAATGCTCCCAATAACTCAGGAGGGGAAAATGATAGGTAGATCTGAGAATCGTCTGCATAAAAGTGGTGGGAACAATGGAGAATTGATTTATGTAGGTCGTTAATGTAGGAAAAGGAGCTGAGAAGGAGAGGAGATATGCTTGAACCGTGGCTGGGCTGCTCTTCATAAATGTGTTAGTTTGTTCTTAAAACCTCTAGATATTTTTCAACAGTTAAGTTCCATTATTACAAACCCACCAAGAGGTAATAAATCATGTGAGGAAAGTTAATGTTGTAATCTACCAAATATTTATCATGCTTGTTAACAAGAAAGCTTAACTCCAACTCAACAAATCAATTTTTCTTCCAGCTATTGATTGGAGAGCTGAACTGTCATTGACAAATGTAAGGCTATTATTTTCAGCAATATCTTAATTGTCTGGGACAAGAATGGGAGATAAAAGATGGGATGGTTTTGCAAAACTTACTATCTGGAACTGTCCCGAGTTGCAAGCCCTAAATGCCCTGTGATAAATTTATAGAGACTTAAAAGAGCTAGAAGAAGTAGCATGGAAAGCAAAGATGAGGAGAATGGAAAGATCAAACAGTCAGGGATATTATTTTATGAGCTTTAGCATCTGCGGTACCAATCAATAAACTGTACAATGTCATAATAATGTTATTAGATTACATATGTAGTATGCAAAGGCTAAGTAGGTGATGTATTAAAGCTATATTAAATTTACGAGTGATTTGTGTATATATCTATTAAGTAATTACTGTAAGAGTATGATTTACCAAATTAGTAGTAATGATTGACTTTCATAGTCAATACGTTATTATCATAGCCAAAATATTATTAATAAAAATTGTCTTATCATTCCAATCTTACAGGTACATTGGCGTTTCCACTTGCTTCAGGCAAGAAGCCGGCTCCCATGGAAGAGATACAAGGGGTATTTTCCGTGTTCATCAGTTTGAAAAGGTTAGTTTATTTTTACTATAATATATACATATATCACTCTTATTTACAAATTGTTTAATAAATTATTTGAAAATCAATTTCAAAAAAATTATTGAAATTATGGGATTTTTTTCACCCACAGGCCTTAAAGGCTGTTTGCTCAAGGGAGCGCCTTCCTTTACTTATCTCTGTCCAAACAATCTTGGTCTCTTAGCCCCACTTGGTCCATGTCACCCTTAACCTGTTTGAAATACCCGCTTAAATTTTTATGACTGTGGATTCGCTGAAAAATTTTATAATTAAGTCCTTCAGGATTCATCCTCATCACATGGCCATAGAACCTCAGCCTTCCCACTCTAGCGCCAGTTTCTAGATCTATTGTTTCCTTATATATTTCTTCATTTGACCTCAACTTGTATCCTTCAGGTGTTCTCCTAGGTCCATAGATTCTTCTGAGAATATTTCTTTCTATGTTCAGAAGGCTCTCTAGGCTGGGAAGACAAGAAGTTTCTGTTGCATAGAGTACCACTGGCTTGACTACCATGTTATAATGTTGTATCCTAGCTTTTAGAGACAAGTTCTTCTTTTTATAAAGATCACTGGTGGCGAAGCTTAATTTCTCTATTTTGGTAATTCTTTCCTTAAACCCTTCTCTCTCTGACCCATTGCTGCATATGATTTCTCCAAGGTATTTAAATCTCTGAGTTACTTTAATCGTTCTGTATATGGTTGCAATTGTTTTTCTCTTAAAATTCGTGTCTGTGGTCATCAATTCTGTCTTCCCAAAAGATATCTGTAAGCCTGTTTTCCTCGCTATTTCCGAGAAGGTGTTTATTTTTACAATCGCCTCTTCTTCTGTTTCTGATAAAAGGTCGATGTCATCTGCGTATGCGAGGTATCCAATTTTGACGTTATTGTTCTTAGTCCCTAGGGTTGCACCTGAATTGTTGATTTTCCATAGTTCCTTTATGATCTTGTCGAGTACCACGTAAAAAAGTATTGGAGACTACCGTCTCACTATCTGAGTCTCGTTTTGATCTTAAATGGTTCACTGATATTTCCTTGGAATTTAACTTTAGATTCAGTCCCTGTCATCGTTAGCCCTATCAATTTTCTAGTTTTTTGCTCAACTCTGTATTCTTTTAGTACTTCAAGTAGTGTTTTCTTATCTACCGAATCATACGCCTTTTTAAAATCGACGAAAGAGATAAAAAGGTTCTTTTTACTTTTAGTCCTGTAGTGTTTGATTAATAGCTTAAGGCTCAAAATTTGTTCCTGACATGATCTATTTTTTCTAAAACCACCTTGGTATTCCCCTATTTTAGAGTCTACTTGTGGATAGAATCTGTTTAGTAAAGCCTTTGAGAAAATCTTGTAGGTGACCAGTAGTAGGGAGATTTCCCTGTAGTTATTCACATTAGTTTTATCTCCCTTTTTATGTAGTGGGTGTATTAAGGCTGTTTCCATTCTTGGGGAATCTTTTCCTCGCTCCAGATATCCATCATCAGCTCCATGATTATCCTTCTGAAGTCATCTCCAATCATTTTCTACATCTCGGCAAGCACACCCTCATCTGCCGCTTTGTTGTTCTTTAAGGATACGATGATTTCTTCCAGTTCCTCATCATCTGGTGGATACGATTCTGCTTCAGGGGGGGTGTTATCGATCCTTGTCATTCTTTCCTGAGGTTCTTCACAGTTCAACAGTTCCTCAAAATATTTTGTAAAGATGTAACAGTTTTCCTCACTAGTCTGTGCTAGGGTTCCATCCTTCCTCCTCAATATCAGTCCATATGCCGTAAAACCCTTGATTTTCTGTTTACAACCTTTGTAGAAGAGGCTGGAGTTGTTGGAGCCTTGAAGTTCGTCTCTATTTCAGATAGTTGGTTATTGAGGAACTTTCTCCTTCTTTCCCTCAGGATTTTGTGAGCGATCTTTCTTTCTATTATGTATTTGTTGTGGCTTTCCTCCGTTTTGTTCTTCTTCCACTTTTTCCACGACTCGAACCTGTTCCGGATTGCCTCCTGCCACTCGATGTTCCACCATTCCTTTCTCTTGTATTTTCCTCCTGGAGCTAGCTTTTCGGTCAAGTCCACCATATTATGTCCCTTGGTGGCTTCCTACCAATTCTGTGGTAGTCCTAATTTTTTCCTAAACACTTCCACTTTATTTTTGACCAGGTTTTCGCTGTCTATTTTTCTGATTTTGATACTGTTCCCGATTCTCGAACTATTGCTGCTAAAGTCGACGACCGATCACAAGAGATCCTTCCTAACCATAAAATCCGTTCCCAGGTGAGGTACGTTCTTCATGATGCGCTGTTCTACTTTTCTTCTGAAGATCCTGTATCTCTCGTAATCAGTGACTTCCGTGTCCGTGCATCTGGTTACTTGAAATGCCATAATCGATATATTTAACTGTTTAAGTTCTGATGTAAGCTCTTAGCTTTCCCACTTGTAATAATGAATTTATGTTGTAAGTTCTGAAATAATACTTCTTTTATTGTTTAGTTCAATAATATTTTGTATTTTTGGCCTTTTTAAGAGTAAAGTTTTTAGAATCAAACAACCAATATAGATTTTAAAACATCTGGTGTGTCCAATCACCCAACTTCCATACCACTTTGGGTTCCAAGTCCATTACAAATACTGTTTATTATATCTTCGCTAATATTGATCCAATGTCATGGCTTTCCCAACAGCAGTTACAAGGAGTCCTTGTGTGATAATCATTCAGTGTTGGATACCAATATTCCTCATGTCATTTACCACACAGTCTCACCATCGCAGTCTTGTCATTCCTGCAGTTTCATTATATCAGTTACATCAGGTTCTTTTAACAACTTGTACATTTCTTGATTGCTTCTTACTCCCCAAACTTCTACTGAATTGGCAGGTCCTCTACCTAATTACAATACCTCTATCTAGTAACTATAGGAAAGTTAAAAAAATTAGACAGCAAATTCTGAATTATTGAAATTCTATTCTTTGAAATTTAATAATAATGTTGGTTATCTTATTTATGTTTATTTCTAGGTGGAGCAGTTCACCCTCACTTCACCATTTGATAATAAATCTTGGGACATGTTTGAAGAAATGATAAGTAATGCTGAAAATTTCTATAAAGAATTGGGCATTGCTTATAGAATAGTTAATATAGTGTCAGGAGCCCTTAACAATGCTGCTGCCAAGAAGTTAGATCTTGAAGGATGGTTTCCTGGATCTGGTAAATTATTTTCATTAACTTAATGTATTCCTCTTTGAATAGTAATGATCTGAAAACCATGGAAAAACCAGTACCTTTTCTTTTAAGATGAAAACTTCTTTCGGTGCGTTTTGCACTTTTTTCATGCAGAGTAAATTAGATTGAGCTGTCAAATCTCTGATGTGTAACGCTCGAGTAAAGTCGGCTGGAGTCGACTAATTGAATTGTTTTTGCCTATGGATTAAAATATCTCAAAAACTAAAAATCGGACCTGCCTATTGTTAATGTGGGAAATGTTCATCATTTCACTCTCTTTGTAATGAGCTATTTTCTAAATTGTATCTTAAGGTAACACTGTGTTGGAGAGGCAAAAAGGGAAAAAGTAGTGACGAAAATCAAAGGTTAGCGAGTTTTATTGAAGATAAAGATTAAAATATCTCAGAAACTAAAAATCAAAACTGCATTCTGTAAGTGAGGAAAATGTTCAGCTTTTCATCCTCTTTAAAATGGCAATTATTTATCATTTAAATTTTATATTATAAATCTCACATTGTTGATATTTTGACTTCTATAGTGTGGTCTGAAGCACACACCTTAGTTGTTTTTGTTTTCTGTATTTCTTTAACAATCTTAAATATCATTGATCGGAAGATCAAATTTCAAGTTCCTTAAAATAAAGAAAGTATTATTCTGGTGTTTTCCCTCCCATCAGGCAAGGTATACAAAAAAAAAAAAAAAAAAAAAAAAAAAAAAAAATTCCACTATAAACAGGATTTTAACATTAATCACAAATACTTGAATATACTATCAAGAAATCTATTAATGTTAACTGCTATCTGAATATGAGCTTATATTTGCTTATTACATAAATTAATTTTCTGATGGCAAATTATCTTGTCAAAAGTTATTTTATATAATAAATAATAATTAGCTTCTGGTTATGAACAAAATAATTTATTTTGTTTAAATTTTTAGGAGCTTTTCGAGAATTGGTTTCTTGCAGTAATTGTCTTGATTACCAAGCTAGACGTTTGTTAGTTAGGTATGGTCAGACTAAGAAGATGAATACACAGGTTTGTTATTTTTTAGTTAAAATACTTTGTATAATAATTTACTAACATAAGTTAAAAATTGTAGAGTTTTTTTTTTCTTTGTTTTTGCATAATTAAGTGGATCAATTTGTGGATTTTTGGTTGTTTAAATGCAAAGCTTATAGTTTACTCTGTCCCTGCTGATGATCAACAATGTTTGATTAAAACAAATGGTAATCCAAAAAAATAAAAAAGGCAACTTTTTTGTCTTATTGTTGTCATTATATGGTCAGGTTGACTGATTCCCTACTAAATTTCATTATATGATCACTTTAACTGATTCCCACTAACATCTTAAAAAATAAGATGTTATCATAAACATCTTAAAACTTTTTTTTTTATATTATTGAAGATATTTACAACTGTATTACAAGTAAAAATACATTCAGAAAATGTGAACAAAGGAATAAAATAGCATGAAATCTTATGTTGAGAAACTACCAATTGGTAGCACTCTAAAAATGTATTTACAAAAGGAGATCTCGAGGCCATCTTCTTTTCAGACGCCTCTGAGGGTTGTCAGAGATCGAAGAGCAAGCAAGGTTAGAAACGAGAGGGTTTGGATGGTTCTGAAGTTTGTTATGGAAGGATAGGTATCTGGATTGGGCCAGGTCAGAAACATAAGGAACATTAAGGTCGTTATGGATGATTTTATTTGTGACAAAGTAAGGAGCAGTGAGGATTTTACGAAGGATTTTGGATTGTAAGGATTGGATACGAGAGTAATTCGATGGCTTAGTGGAGCCCCAGAGCTCAACTCCGTAAGTCCAAATAAGTCTTATTGTAGTCATGTATATGAGTCTTTTGTAATTGACTGGGAGGTTAGAGCGTTTGTCTAGTAAGTGCTGGAGTAGTCGGAAACATCGAGCTGTTTCTTGTCGTTTCAGTCTGGTATGAGGATTCCAAGTTTGTCTAAGTGGAGTCCAAGGTATCGAATTTGTTCAACAGGGAAAAGTGGGGTATTATTAAAGGATACTGTAGGACAAGAGGACATAGGTTTACGACGAAATCTTAAAACTAAAAAGAGAAATGTGATACTCTTGTCTATTGTCTTTATCTCCTGTATAGAGCTAAATTAAGGATAAGAAAAAGTACAAGAGATGTATTTAGTAAAATGTATTTCATTATTTATTCATTAAATTGTGTAAATAAATATAGAGTACTACCAATGGGTAGATTCTCTACCAAGTCTTTGTACAATAGCATGACCATTGATTGTATTTCTCTGTATCACATTTACTGGATTTATATTTATATTTATACAGTTGTAAATTTCATGAATAACAAATATATATATACAGGATAAAGGAAGGAGATGGTCTGGGGTGGTGGTCATAAATAGGCTGAATAGTGGCAGAACTATTTTATTATAAGCCAACGTTTTGACCCGACTATGCAGGTCTTTGTCAGGGAGGTGTATTCAGCTAGAAGTTTCACTTAGAACTGAGTTGCGGATATATCTTTAAAAAACAGGGGGAATAAAGGGGACGAACCAGTTGGAGGTGGTTGGAAATCATGTTACTGATCCGATATAATTCTCTGTCCTCTTCGTTAACTCCAAATCGGTTATCTGTGTATCCTTCTAGATCTGTAATTAGGCTAGGGATGAGATGGGAGCATTTGGAAAAGGGGAAAGAAAAATTGAAGCCCAAACTTAAAATATTGACTACCTGAGGGGGTATATTGGTGGAGGAAGTATTGTTGAGCCATTTTTCACTGCCTTTGAGATAAATTTTATTTTTAAGAGAATGTTGATATATTTCATTAAATTTAGATTGGAGAGACTGCTTTTTAATGGTTTTAATAGAGGAACAAATTTGTGATATCTTGTACTTATGTTTTGTAATATTTTCTTCACCAATAACAGAGTCAGGGATGTGGTGAGGGAGGAAATTTTTGAATTAAGAGAATCTAATTGCTGTATGATTTCTCTTATTTTTAAATTTAACAGTTTTTTTGGAATTTAATAATGAATGTCATAAATTGGATTTTAATGTGGGGGCAACATGAAAATCATTAAACCGGTACTCGATACATTTAGGGAAGACTTGGGTTGATCTACATTTTAAGAGGAAAATCCGTTGCTCAGTTTTTATAGTGAGCTGTTTATGGAGGTTGCAAAGATTATTAAATTTGGGTTTATATGAATGGAATTTCATTTTAAGAAAATGGAAGGTACCTAGACAGCTGGGTTCTGTTAAGTCAATGTGTTGCCTCATATTTAGTATACCTGGAGATGAGCGTGATGAAGGTGGAGTAGGCGAATGATGTGAAGCTATCTGTGGAGAGTATGAGATGTGGTGATGTTGGAGTAAAGTCTGTGGTGAGGATCTGTTATTACCTTGGAGTTTGGAACTGCGGCAAAGAGGTGTTGAGTTTAAATCTGGCCGTTGTAGGCTCTGTGGTTTATGAGTCATATTGAATATTTAATAGTTGACCGTTGCATTATAAAGGAAGGCAATGGTCCGGGGTGCTCATAAATAGGCTGAATAGTGGCAAAACTATTTTATTAAAAGCCAACGTTTCGACCCGACTTTTGCAAGTCTTCTTCAGGGAGGTGTATTCAGCTAGGTGTTTCACTTAGAACTGGTTCTAGTTCTAAGTGAAACTCATAGCTGAATCTAGAATTTCACTTAGAAGTGGTTCCAGTTCTGAGTGAAACTCCTAGCTGAACACACCTTCCTGAAAAAGACCTGCATAGTCGGGTCGAAATGTTGGCTTTTAATAAAATAGTTCTGCCACTATTTAATCTATTTATGACCACCACCCCGGACCATCTCCTTCCTTTATAATGCAACGGTCAACTATTAAATATTCAATATATGCAGGATGTTTTAGGGTTAAGTGGCCAAACTGCAAAAGGAACTACGGACTTCAAAACAAGAAAAAAAAAAATCTCTGAAGATATGTCTGCAAACGCTTTGTTTAGGAGATATTCACACCTAAAAATTTTTGTTATGAAATATTTATGTTATATGAAATAAATAAAGCTATTCATTTGTTCTAACTACTTTATTAATTGAATGTAAACATTAACATCCATAATAAATGTGATTCAAAGTGATTTCCTTGGGCATTAACACAGCTTTGGCATCTTTCTTCAACAGCAGCAGTGGCAGAACAGTACTGGATATTTGTTATTGTTTCACAAGATTCCATTATCCTTCTTCGTAAGGAATCAAGATTATTGACTGGACTTGCATAAACTTTTTGTTTAACCTCACTCCAAACAAAAATATCCAGTGGTGTCAGGTGTGGAGACCATGTAGGCCAAGCCACTGGTCTTGCATGGCCAATCCAGTGATATTAGGATATGGGATATTTTTGTTTGGAGTGACATTAAACAAAAAGTTTATGCAAGTCAGGTCAATAACCTTAATTCCTTGCGAAGAAGGATAATGGAATCTTGTGAAACAACACATATCCAGTTCTGCTGTTCTGCCGACTGCTGCTGTTGGTTGAAGAAAGATGCCGAGCCTGTCTTGATGTTCAAGGAAATTACTTTGAACATTTAATATCAATGTTAATGTTTACATTTCAATGATAAAGTAATTACAACAAATAAATAGGTTTTATTTATTTCATATAACTTAAATAATTCATAAAAACGAAAAATTTTAGGGAATATCTTCTAAACAAAGCGTTTGCGGACATATCTTCAGAGGAAATTTTTTTCTTGTTTTGAAGTCCTTAGTTCATTTTTGCAGTTTGGCCACTTAACCCTGAAACACTCTGTGTATTGACCCTGACAAAATTGAGCTTTCAAAATTAATTATAATTTACTTCAGCTACATCTTAATTTTAATTAATAACATTGATCATAAAATCTTTGTTAAGATAGATTTAATATTTCATGTAAGGTTTAAATGTTATTAAAATTATTTTAAATTTAGTTTTTACACACTTGATTGTCCTTAGCACACAAGAATAATTGCTTTGAGTTAAAAAATGTAAAACTTTGAAAGAATATAATGTTTTGAATGGTTTCTATCAGTGAAATATTCATGAACTCTTATACCTGTATATGATTTCTGTCACAGGCTGATTATGTTCATATGTTGAATGCAACTGCTTGTGCGACAACACGTGTAATCTGTGCAATACTTGAAACATACCAAACAGAAGAAGGCATTTTAGTTCCAGAAGTTTTGAAACCCTTCCTACCACCAGGTTAGTAATCTAAGATTTACAATATATTATGTATTTGTTGAACTATAGATCTAAACTAAACTTCATTCGATTGGGAGAGAGAGGAGGAGACAATAAATATGTAGTTAAAAAAATATACAAATAATAGCAATAAAATAAAATAAAGTAAAACATACTTATATATGCTGTATTCTTAGCAGGAGTTCCCAACCTTTTTTCAAGCACATTTGTAGATTATGTGTTAGTTGGCGGGTACCTTGTTTTTATTCTATGTGAAGTTTATTATTTAAAAAATATATACAAACATCTCTATTATTTGCAAAACTAATGAAACCTTTTCTACACAAAAGGTGAAAACACCAAGTATAATGGATGTTATTAAGTTTATAAAGGGTTTTTATAATTGATTAACACATTCTTAAATTATAATTAAAAATTAGAAGTGATGTGGGTTATAACTAGGTATAAAATAAGTTTAAAGCAGTGTTACCAACAGTGTCATTCATTTTTTTTTTTCTTTTTCAAATAATTCATTTATACTTTCGAATCTTATATCTAAAAAATCCTGTTAGATTTTTAAATTTGCATATATTTAAGAAACAATTGCAGAATGTTTGAATTGGAAATTCTTCTGTCTGCAGCATGCCACATTAAACAATTATGACGAAAAAATAAAAAATTAAATTACTATTTCAAAATAATTTATCATAATAGTGTACAGATGGCTGACCGTGATTATGATGTGAGGAGTTGATCTTGTAATTAGCATAGCATAAAACAGTGCTAACACCCTTTGAGAAATGCTATAAAATTAAGATATTATTGGAAATTGGGGTTCTTCACTGGAAGCCATAGAAAATAATTAGTAGTTTAAAAAGGAGACTATTTCTTGATAGAATAATCTGCTTAATGTTGATTCTAAATATTGAATATGGAGAAAATCGTTTGGTTATGAGTCGGAATTTGGAGCTACTTTTTGTTGTGGCTAAGAAGGATGATAGAGAATTGAGTTTAGGAAGGATTAATTGAGGCTCTAGAATCTGAATGAAGCAAAAGTTACTCAACAATTAGAGGTGGGTTAGGTAGGCCCAATCAACATGAAAACCTACAAAATAAACATGTCAGAAATTGTTTCAGAATTGATTGAAAGAACTTCAAGGTTTTCAATGTTAGAACATTAGAGGATTGGCATGTTATTTAATTATAGAAAATCATTGTGATAGCTACTCTACAAAATTAAGCTCTTAAACAACTCTCCGAAGGTGATCATAAATTATACCGCTATATAAAATTGTTCATTAAACAAATAATGAAATGCTTAAAATGTTATTGATGATTGTATTACTGGAAGAAGAGATAGGTTAAATAGAAAACCTTACTTCATCTTATAAAAAAATGTTGCTTACAATTTCTACTGTGATCAGTGCTTAATTGTAAAAAATAAATTTAGTTATATCATTTTTGAAACCTCTAGATTAAGTTTGGATTCAAATTTTAAATATTTCCTTTGTTTTAGTGTATAAAGATTCCATCCCATTCGTTAATCCAGCACCTATTGAAGTAGAAGAGACTAAGAAGAAAAAGCAACAAAAAGATGGGATTAGGAAAAAGAATGATGGAGGAACAGGTTGATACTACATTTTTTTAACAATGCTTTGTATTCATTGATTAAAAAAATATTTTATTATTTTTTTTTATTCATCTTCCTTTTTCATTTTATGATCATTCCTCATTTCTAGCATTTTCAAAAACTCCTTTTCTGTAAAATTCAATCCTTTTTCAGTTTCGGCAATATCCTAAAATTAATCATTAAATATTTTATATTATTTCAAACATAAAAATTGCTATTAAATTAAATTATTGTTACTGAATATTAAATGGGCCTAAGAAATAAATTGTAAAATAATGACTTACCTTTTGTTTTTTTAAATTTTCGATTAGAATCATTTGTTTTTTTATTGAACCTAAGAGTTCGGACTTCTGTTTTTCAAGCTTTCTCACCATGACTACCATATCATCATTTTTTGTACGACATTTATCCCGAGCTTCCTAGAACATAAAGTACAAACAATTATTAGTAAATCTGTGTCCCAGTGAATAATTGAATAGATGGACTTAAATGAACTAAACCCTCCACTTGATCATAAAAGTTGACTTCAACTTAAGTTTTAATGGCGTCATAAATAGTTCTGATAGTTATAAAATTACAAGATTGCTATAAGACCTAAAATTTATTAAAAAAAAAAAGTGTAAATCATTGTATCGGAACTAGTACATTAATTGGAAAGTGTTTCTGCATTATTCAGTAGTTTGATTAGAGGATGCCCTGTGACCCAGAACAAAAACGAAATTAATTATGTTGCAATTGGTACATTTCTACATAACAACATTCAGACTACTTAATTTAAAAAAATTAATATCACTAGCTTGGAAGAAGACTTTAATGAGACTTTTTATGAGATTTTTTTTTTTTCTCACCCTTACTATTTCAATAGTTCCAGGTAGTTTCGATTATCAAAAGTAAGATATAAATTTATCAATTTAATTATTGTTGTTATGTATGAATTATGATTTAAATTATTTAATTAGAGTTCCTGTATGTAATAAATAAAAATATAATCTTATCACTGATTACAGCCTTCTTTACAACAAATTCATTAGTTCTTGAATCTATAACTGATTCACTAATTAAAACTAAACTAACTCACTTTTCAATCTTATTTTCAGCTACTTATAACTGAACTCGTTTCTTGAACTAACTACATCTATATTCTGAATTCAACCGAAATATTGATTGCCAGTATGGTGACCTTTAACCCGAGGTGGTACTGCTATAGCATCCTACGTTAAAGGTATCACTTGGTCAAATGGACGAAGTCTGTTCTTCGACATTCATTGGTTTTTTTGTTCTCTCTGATAATATAATTCTTATAAAACTGTTTATAAACCTTTTGATGACATATTTAGATTAACCAATATAAGAAACGGTAACTATAACAACATAATAAATAAATAGAAATCTGTTTGTCAAAATGCATTCAGAAAAGAATTTTTTATATGGAGGTGTGGGATAAAAAGATAGTTTAGTGTTAATAAACCAATTATTTATTTTATGAAATATTAAAAAAAATAAAATAAACATGTAATAAATTATTATTTCAAGAAACATTAGTAGATACACTCTAGAGGTCTAGATACATTTCTAAAACTAAAAGATCATTATTCTAAGGAACATCAGTAGAAACATTACAAAATATGAACTCATTCTAAAAAAAACATTGTAAATGTAAAGATATGATATGAACGATATTAAGGCCCAGCATACTCTAGGGACTAGAGAAAGCATTCCTTCAAATAAAAAAAATCAAATGTACTTTAGAGGAAGCTAGTATTGAAAATTGTCTATTTGAGCTCTGCTAGAGAACATCGATCAGAATAAAACCTAAATAACAATAAAAACTGCTTAATTTTACACTGATATGATGAATTTAATCAAAATCATTGGAGCTATTTTCGAGAACATCGTAAAAATTTGTTACAAGATTTTGATGAAAAAGTTGCTGAAATACCCCAGATATATAAAAATCTTAAATATGCATTTTCGCATTTAGCTAGACTGTTGACATACACATAGATATACTACTTTTGTGAGACTTGGTTATTTGGACTCAGGAGACGTCAAAATGTGTATTTCTGATGAAAATTGAGATTCGAACATTTTTAGGATTGTAATACTTTCCTTTACTCTATGTTTCATACATTGGTGAGGGGAGCGGGGTGGCCGAATGCGAGTTGCCCGGCAACCAGATAAACGAAGTTGTGAGAATTTAAGAAAAGAACGAGTTCGCGTCCCTGTGCCGGAGGAGATTTTAAATTCCTCTGTCCGGAAAAATACCATATAGCCTAAAAGGCAAGGTAGAGACAAAAAAAAACAGGTAATTGGAAGGAAATATCCAACAACTATTGATGTATTATTATTAACGGTACAGTTAGGCGCTACAAAAAAGAAAAATTAACACCAAAGGATATCGCTTCATCGTTTAGGCGATGTCACCTCTACTAAATAATAAAAATAATCAGACTTACTTGCTTTGGAAGGTTTTCACCGCCTAGGATTACTTGTGAAATAAGTGGAGATAGCACTGCTGAAAGTAGGGAGTAGTGCTAGAGGAAGGGAGGGGATATCAGAAAACTAATTGGTTCAAGCAGAAACTTCATCATTTTGATGAAGGAAAATTTTCCAAAGTTTGAAGGAAAATCCTCCAATTTCATAATCATATCTCTCAAATTAGTCAAAACTACAGCGGTTCTAGGTTTTTTTAAACGATTTCTGCTGTTATATATCTTTCGGAATTCCAAACTGTTATAATATTAAATCTAACTAATTATTACTACTTAAAAGTAAATTTTACAACTGAAAATTTACTATTACGTATATATTTGAATATGAGAGGATGCATATCAAAGATGGACATTGTCATTTTCAGAAAGTGGAAGAAGTCAATTTTTGTTTTATAAGTTCGATTCAAACTGTTTCTGATGATTTTATTTAACAATGTTAAAATTGAATCATGAAAATAAACCATTAGATTTGGTTTAAATTGAGCTGCTTAACAAAAATTGGCTTTTTCTTAATTTTTTTTAAATGGCAGATGTTTGTATTTGATATTATATATATAGAAGATAAAGACCGGAGACTGACGATATCAGCCTTAATACCATCTTGTAATGTAAACAAACATGCTAATTGTATATATGGAGAATTATTGAACGAATAAAGCAGTGTTTATTCAGAAGCCGTGAGTGTTGCATCTCAATCCTTTTCCTTCTTTTTTTTTATTTCTGAAGTCCGCCGACGCTTAACTGGTGCCGAAACCCGGGACAATGTCAGGAGAACACAACAAGTAATTTTTTTTGTTGAGCTAAGTTTATTTTTTTTTCTCTAGTCATAAGGAAAAGGAGAGATGTCGACCGAGGGCTTAATTAGACCGGGAGTATTAAGCGCAACGGAAATTCCTCAACCTCAGGAAATTCCTCAGATCAACCAGATATCTCAGATCACGCAGACTCCTCAGGTCCCTCAGATACCTCAAATCCCTCAGGTTTCACAGATTCCTCAGATCCAGGAGATCCCTCCCTTACCAAGGGACACGTTGGCAGAAGCTCACGCCAATGCATTGGAATGGATGAAAATAAGAGCAGCAACTACGTAGGACTTACGGAGGGCCATTGCGGACCTGGAACGCTTCGGGGGTGAGGTAGGTGAGCTCAAACATTTTTTGAAAGGCGGAGATCGCCTCATGTCAAGAATCGAAGTAAAGGTGGCAGAGGACCTAGGGGACGCAGAAGCATTAAAAGAGGCTCTTGTGTGCCGAGTAAGGAGGAACGTCCTGAACCAGATTCAAGCGGACGAGGAGACTCCATGGCCGGTGATTAAGGAGCGATTGAAGAAGGCTTTTGGAGGAGGTAGATGGACGCCGGAAGAGGATATCTTCCAAATGTTTAGGGAGCGGCGGTCCCAACGACAGACGAGGGGACAGTACGCAGGGGTACTCGTGGCGAAGTACAACCGCATAACCGAGAAGATACGTGAAACGATGAGCATGGGAGAGGTTGAAGCCAGGATGGAGTTCCTTCCGACAATACTGAAAGTCCAGCTGGCTAAGGAAACGGGGAGGTGGGACGGACTGCCCAGAGAGCGATCGTTCCTCGAATGTGCCCAGGAGATGATCGACCTAAGCGCAAGAGAGGAAGAGACGTGGATGAACCAGGATGGATCCGAGTGACGGATAGACAACCACGGACAGCCCCGACGGATTGGAGGAAGAGGGACATAAGGCAGCAGAATGGAGAAAAGGCCACGATGGGTGAGAGGAGATCCGGACAGTCGTTGAGGCCGAGGAATGGTCCCCGGAGGGAAGAGAGAAAATGTCACGGGTGTGGGAAGCCGGGACATTTGGTAGCGCAGTGTCCGCGCACTAGATGCTTCGAGTGCGGGACCGAAGGGCACATAGCGAGACAGTGCCCATACATGTTTCGCAGGAGAGAAGATACCCGCAGGCGCTGAGGCAGCATATTTGGGAGGAATTGGACAGCCTAAAGGAGCAAGGGATCATCGTTGATAGTACCTCACCATTTAATAGTCCCCTGTAGGCGGTGAAAAAGAAGGCAGTGCCGGGGGATAACAAGGAAAGATACAGGGTAGTAATAGACTATCGGAAATTAAATGACAACACATTGGATGAGAAGTACCCGATCCCCAGATTCGAAGATATACTCGATAGGTTAAGTGGGGCAGTGGTATTTAGCACATTGGACCTCAAAGCGGGATATCACCAAATACGGATGCACCCAGAAGACCAACACAAAACGGCATTTACATTTGAAAGGGGGCATTATGAGTTCACCAGAATGCCGTTTGGTCTGAAGAATGCGCCCATAACGTTTCAACGTCTGATGGACGAGTTTCTAAGAGGTATTGATGACTCGGTATGCCAAGTGTACATGGACGACCTGCTGATTTTTAGTAGAACGGAAGCCGAACACGTGGGGCATCTGAGATCAGTTTTTGAAAGGCTGCGGCAATTCGGGCTGAAATTGTCGAGCGAGAAGTCCCTGCTGGGGCAAATGCGGATTAATTTTTTAGGCCACACTATCTCTAGTGAGGGGGTCAGACCGGATGCAGCAAAGGTGGAGGCAATCACACGGATGACGGTACCACGGGACGTTAAAGGGATCCGGAGGCTTCTCGGGACGCTTAATTATTACCGGAGATTCGTGCCTGAGATGGCAGAGTATTTGGTACCTATTAACAATTTGCTGAAGAAAGGTGCGAAGATTGTGGTGACACCGGAAATGGAGAACAATATCCGGAAATGCATGAATAGGTTGCAGGCAGAGCCTGTGTTGGCGTTCCCGGATTTTGAAAAGCAATTCAATATAACCACCGACGCGAGCGAATATGCGTTAGGGGCCGTTTTGTCTCAGGGAAGACGTGAGGGTGAGCGTCCGATAGCGTACGCGAGCCGTCGGCTTACGGATGCGGAATCAAGGTACAGCGCTTTGGAGAGGGAGCTACTCGCGATAGTGTGGGCTATCGACCATTTCAGGCCATACGTGTTCGGGAGACAGTTTCGAGTCCACACCGACCACAAACCCCTTCAGTGGGTAGGGAAACTCAAGGAAACCTCAGCTAGGATCATGAGATGGAAAGAGGTCCTTAGCCAATACAATATAGAGGTGGTATATAAGCCAGGAAAGGAAAACGTTGTGGCAGACTGGCTCTCTAGGGCCATCATGATAAACACGGTTGAAGAGGACAGTGGAAAACCATCGCGGGACGTGTGTCAATTCTTGAGTGAATGGACTCCTGATGGCGAAGGGGCAAATGATACCGCAGGTATAGAGGACAGGGAAGAGTCCCCAGAAGAGGAGAGCTCAGCGGAGGAAAGGGCAGCGGAGATGGACGAAATAGATGAAATCGTTAACGACAAACATCGTCAGGTGATCTGGAAGACACGAACAGCCGGGATCATGAAAATAGATTTCAGAAGATATGAGAGGAGTAGGATTCGCGTCATATGGTCGCAACCCGGGGTAAGCGAAGAGCAAATCTGTACGGCACTGAGGGACGCCTCGGAAGCGGGTAAAACTCACTATCTATATGTGGGGAATAATACAGTATGGGACAAGATCAAGCGAATGTGGAGATCCGAGCGAATAGGCGTGGACAGGACATTCATCCGGTGCAAATATGCGGTGGAGACGATACAAGACGAAGAGCAACAGCAAGCAGTCACATTGGCATATCACCAGGGGAAAACCAACCACCGAGGCATGAACGAGACGTTGCAGGCATTACGTCGAAAGTATTTCTGGTGGGGCATGAAGAGATCCAACCAGGAAATCATTGGGAAATGTGAGATATGCATGCGCACAAAATACGATAGACACCCCCCCCCCCCAGAGGAGTTCAGGAGGAGACACCTACAGGGAATATGCCGCTACAAGACCTCCAGATTGATACTTTCACCTGGAAAGGGTTCAAGTGGGTCACTATAATCGACGTTTTCAGCAAAGTGGCGATGGCACATCAGGTCATGGACAAATCAGCCAATGCAGTGGCAGAAGCCCTACAAACCTGGGTGCAGTTCTATTGGGTCCCCGAGAGGATTACATCAGACGGTGGTAGGGAGTTCGATAATACCGCGATTAGGGAAAAGGTGAAGCGATTGGAGATTGTGTGGCATCATAACACCCCGGGACATCCTAAAAGTAGAGGCGGCATCGAACGGTTGCACAGACCACATCCGTGTATATCAGGGAGAAAAAGGGTTGGAGCCGGATGTTGCGATGAAGAAGGCGGTAACAGCCTATAACCACTCGATCCACTCCGTAACGGGATTTTCACCTGTAGAAGTTCTATTTGGGACGCGCAGGCCAAGGCGGGATTATGGGGAAAAAACGATTATCGAACCGTTAGTAGAGCAAATTCAGAGCAATAGGGTAGAGGTAGAGAAGACATGGGGAAAGGTAACAACGAGAATTAAGCGGGAAAAGAAGAAGCGGGTGGAGAGGCAGAATGTGCAGGTATGCGACCGAATGGGAGAACTAAAGATCGGAACAATAGTGTACCGTAGATTAGGAACCAACAGAGGGAAGCAATTGCTACAGTACGAGGGTCCATTCAGAGTGGTTGCTATTAGGGAGCATAATCTGCTAACTATCGAAAGCGTTAATGAACCTAGAAAGAGGACTGATTCACATTGAACAATTGAAGCTCCCAATGATAGAACCGGAACATAGACCAACGGATTCGTAGTACCCTCACCGCTGTATATAAGAAATATGTTTTTTTTTGGCTGTCAAAACATAAATATGGTGTAATTTTTTTTTTATGTAAATAGAATTATAGCAATATAGTAGAGGAAGTTGTATTATTTTTTGTTTAGGTTATTAAGAGTTCTGTTCTTGGAAGCAAGTGTTGTGTTTAGTTTCTGTGTTTTTTAATTTTATTTTCTCGTTCCAGCTGAGTGGAAGTGAGTTTTAGTCTCTTTTAAGGGTATACTATAAGAACAATTGTAAAGTGTTAAGGCTGGTAACCGTTGGCTCCGATCTAGGAATATTTAAGTTTCCGAAAATCCTGTTCGTAAACTGGTGGGGGAGAGATAAAGACCGGAGACTGGCGATATCAGCCTTAATACCATCTTGTAATGTAAACAAACATGCTAATTGTATATAAGGAGAATTATTGAACGAATAAAGCAGTGTTTATTCAGAAGCCGTGAGTGTTGCATCTCAATCCTTTTCCTTCTTTTTTTTTTATTTCTGAAGTCCGCCGACGCTTAACTTAGACACAATCAAACGTATGTATACTTTTTACTTTCCTACCTATACTAGGTAAGGAAAGTATTGTGATTGGGTCAAATTTCTGATATGCGGTTTTCACTATTTCCTCTACTTTTCACAGAAATTATTGTTTGATTAAATTAGGCTATGGCAAAAAGTTTTTGATCAGCAATATTAGATGGTATTGAAATTTTTACACTGATCTACCTTAAGCCGGTTTACATTGCTTTAGTTTATCAAATAAATCATTCTCAAATCTTTTCTTTTATCAATTTTCAGGAAAATAAATCTGATTCAATTTTTTTTTGTTTCTTGATGGACACATGTAACGACATAAAAACTTTTCTGAAATAGACAGGAAAGTTGTGTGAATGGACACACCAGATTTTTTTTTTATTGTTATACAAAATTCATGTAAATAGTTACTGATTGAATATTTTAAAAGTTATAAATAATGCGAATTTATTACCTTCTCATTAGATTCTGATTGTTTAAGAAGAAGTTTAAATTTTTCAGTTTCTTCCCTTGATTTGTTCAATTTCGCTTCATTTCCAGCTATACAGAGATTCAGTCGTTTAATGTCTTGTTTTAAAATTTCGATTTCCTGTAACGAATAAGTTACCAGTTCAAAATAAATTACTTATCTATACATGTAGTGTATATTACGGAAAAGTATTATGAATGTGTGTGTTTCTTTATGTTATTTCTTCTTGCCTTAATCCTCAGTTGCTAGTTCACCATTTTAAACTACCTGCTTTTTCCTAGATTAATGGCTGATTCTACTAGCTGCTAGCACTCTGTGCAACTAGCAAGAATACGATCTTTCTCACCCAGCCTGTCTTAAGGAACACAATTTTGAACAACATGGAAAAAAATACACTTTCATTTGGGTGGGTCCTCTTTATGGCAATAAAAGGAATGAAAAAGCAGATATCGCTACTCCAAATAGATTACAAAAATTAAATATCAATATATCCTGCTCAAAATAGTAATCTCTTCAGCATCCTTTATATTTATACAATATATATATATATATATGAAAAAAAAAATATGGTATTAGAGTACTTAGAAGATATAACCACATCCACACTACACCATCCTATCTGTGTCATATTGAGAATGCCTCTACACCTTAACATTTATCTATAGGGAGAAGTAACAAAAAAGCTACATCACAATTTATCTGTGAACTTGTGTTAAATTGGATTTATTAATGTAAAAATGAAGGAATTGGTCATCGGCCTCTTGTGTAGTCTGGTCTCCCATTAACTTAGGGTTGTAAGGCTCATGCTCATTTCATGTATATATATATATATATGGTAAAAGTTTAACTTGGATTATTAAAGGAAGTTAGTTGACTGTTCTACATATCATGGGTGATATATATTCAGGGCGCAGTCATTATAAAGATTTTATTGGTGCCAATGTTTCAACCCAAATATGTGGGTCATCATCAGGGGGTTTTTCGAGCACTGAAAATATTCAATATTACTGAATATTTATCACCCTTTAATTTGTATTTATTGAAATTCTAAAAAAGTTCCATTAAATGAAAAATAAACAGTAATTGGGCTTAGATTAAAGTAATAATTTGAGTTTTCAATGAATAGTACATGATTTTGATGTGTCACTTTTTTGAGTAACTAAGGATAACAGTAATTTTTTAATTGATTTTTCAGCGAAATTTACAGAACTTTTAAATAAATTTTCTGTAAAAACTTTACTTGAAAAGTTAAAAGGGAAAAAGTTCTAGTCAATAAAAATTCCAGTGTTTACGAATCTTAAAATTTTTTTTTTTTCTTTTTCATACCGTAAGGCCAGAAGTAATCTTTTCTTTTTGTATGATTTTGTTGTTCTCAAAGGACTGTGTTCCAAAATAAAGTTATGTCTTATTATTAACTTCTACCACCTTTCAAAAGAGCAATAACGTGGAAAGTATACATATACCTTGCCCAAAACCATAACGCTGCAGAGAAAGTAGAACAATCTGTGAGAGGGAAATAAAGTCATCCCCATACACTTTTACTTGACCTGGTGAGAGTTGAAATATTTTTATTTTCATTTTACACTGAAAATTTGGAACAGTTCAAATGAAAGAAAAGGATAACAAATGAGTTGGAATATATAAATCTGTTTTTGATAACATATAAACTACTTTTCTCTACTACTTCTTGTGAAAAATTTGTAGCACTGAAAATATATTGTATAAAACATAAATTATTTCATTTTTTTTAACGAAAGAAACTTAAAAAGAAACTTTTTAACTTGTTTGAGAACAACAGTTTAATTAATAACTAATGTTAATACTACATTTGCTCCAACAATAGTTTGCTTTTGATTTCTTATTTACTGTTAAAAATGAAAACAACTTAAACCAAGTTAAAATATTGCGAGTAAAGACAATAGGATCAATTTTAGTTTCTATTAAACATTTTTGATGAATCGTATTGAATTATATAATGTTATATAAATCCAATTGAATATAAATGTTTATGAATATTAATCATAAAATTAATTAAAATCTAAAGTCAGAAATAAAAAACAAAATTTTCAGAAAAAATAAATTAGCATACTTTTACCTTCTTTAAAATAATGTTTTCAGAGTCTCTCATCTGAAGTTTTTCAGTTTGAGAAGCTAAGTTTACTTCCAATTTCTTAACTTTATCTCTCAAAGTTGCAGAGTCTGAGAGAAATTTTTGTTTTTCATCTTCCAGATTTTTTATATCTAGATGGATTTTTTTCAGTTCATCATTCTGTAAAAAAATGTTGGAATATTATCTCAAATTAGAGAACTATAAATAAATGAAATAACAATATTATGCTCATTGTGACTATATAAGTACTCATTAACTATTTTAAAAATTATTATGAGTTGAAAAAAATGTAAAATATTAACAAACCAATATCACATAATTAATAGAAAAATTTTGAAGGTAAGTTATTTTAATACAGGTATAGTGATAGTTATGCCTAAGCATGCAATAACTATTTTTAAAGGTCGTATAGTCGAAATTTTCTTCTGTTTTTCTGTCAGAAATAAAATATTGTTTATAGACCTACCATCTTTCACAGATGCCAAACTATAGAACCTCTTGATAATTATAACAGACCCTCTGACATGTGTACACTTTTATACCCGGGCAGGGTGGTTGAGCGGGCTAAAGCATGTGCACAGCACTGATAACCAAAGTTACAGATGGAAAAGTGATTACGAGTTCAAATCCCAGAGCCCAGTGGGACTTTTAACTCGGCATAATTTCCCGGTCCAGGGAAAACCACAAGGAAGGAAAGAACAAAAAGAAATATATACTTATATACCGATCAGGTTAAAAAATAAATTCAGAACAAGAATTCATTGTCAATATCACTATCATGTCAAAATATTTAAAATCAGCTGAATAAAAATATAGAATTTACACAAATTTAATGTACCTTATTTTGTAATTCTCTTTTTACTTGTTCCAATTCCTCTTGCAGTAACTTTCCTTTTGCTTTAAGTAAACGAACTAAACTCTCTGCACTCATTCCTTTGGCACTACTAGGTAGTAATCCATGATCTGATAAATCTTTTCTATATACAGAATAACATTAATTTTAATATATATTAATTATTATTAAATTAGGAAGGATTATATTACTTATTTTGTCCCTTTCCTTGATTGTAAACTGATTTTCTGCTTCCTCTTAGCTGACATTGTCGAGATACCTTATGTCCATTTTGGTCCAAAAGCTCATGGAAATCATTCTCTTCGGAGAAATATTTTGAATTTCTGAAATAATTCTAAATCAAATAAATTCTTGAGACTAATTTATCAGGGGATAATCAAATTTAAATTGTTGGACATTTATAGTATTATCTGGTTATTCAGATGTGAAATCGTGAGAACTTGTTAAGACCTATAAATGAAAATCAGTCAGCTAGACTAGGTAATTCCTTTTGTCACTTGTATTAATAATGTATATAATATTTATTATAACATTTATTTTGGTTAGCAAGAATAACTAATGTGACAATTCAAGATATCCTGAAAGTCTTACCATTGGGTAAATATTTCAAAGGTAATTGCAATAGTATCTAACTAAATAGAGTGGAAAAAAGGTAAAATGGCAAAATAATACATTAATGTAATGCCCCCCAAAAAAGCATGAAAATGAAATAATAATTTATTTTTAATTTCTGCCCCTGTTTAGTTTATTTTGTCAGTCCAGGAAAGTCAATAATCTTCATAAGGTTTGTGAATGGATAAATAATTTTTGCACTAAAATATCCTTCCTCCAATTACCTTCAGGAAGTCAATAACTGCCCTATGTAAGTCATCCCAGATGAACTACTGACAGTATTAGATTATAGCATCAATTCTGTTTTAGTCCATCCAAAGTTGGAAGTTGGATGAACTCTATATTTGGGTTTAATATTTAGATAACATACCCATTAATAAAATCAGGTGATAATCCATTTCTTTTTTGGGTCCTATTACTTAAACTATAATTTTCCTAAAACAAGAAAGAAAAAAGTATAAACAAAAGAAATAATTAATTTCTTATAATTTTATATTTCATTTCTAAGCCTAAATTGAAAATTTGTAGTCCACTATTTTGATATTATTTAGTCCAAACTTTAAATATTTCAAATTATTTTTCTAAATTGACATTTTCACTATACTAATTTGCATTTTGAATGTGGTAGTGAATCATTTGATTTAATTCATAGTCTAATTTGAGTGCCTTCCAATTATACTCCAAAATAAAATTGTAGTTTTATCTTAGTTTTTCCTAATAAATTCCAAAAAAAAAAATAGATTTATTTATACTAATCAATGAGTAAAAGTATTGAAAGCATTAAAGACTATTACATCAATAATTAAATTATTATTAAATACAATAAAATAAACCAAAATATATAATAAACATCAACATTGGCTGGTCAACTTCATGGATATTCATAAGAACTGTTTACAACAAAAAGTGGCAAAACTGATACCTTTATCTTGTTGAAGAAGGTTAACCCTTAAATTTTAAATGAAACATAAATTTACCCCTGGATCTGGGGCCCAATGCCTGGGGCTTTGTTTGCTTATGACTGCCTCAACATTTTTCATCAGCTGCCGAGTTCTTAATTCGATTTCAGCGTTTAGCTTATGAAAAGCTTCTTCCTGTTCTAGAAGTTCACTGGACTCCATTTACCTTCACTTTACAGTAGGCTGAAAACTAATAATGTTTTGAAGTTAAACCAAGTTCGTTACCATGGTGGTTGCTATAACAAAAATAAACAAGTATGAAACTAATCACAATCACCATTTTCTTTTATAGAAGTTCTCGAAACCAACCAACCGCAACTAAATTGTAAAATCTATATTCTTAAAACAGATTATCATCACAAAAATTACAGATCTTAATTATCCCAATTTTCTAGCAAAATAGATGCCATGAAGAGATAAATATTTCTGAGAAATCCTTTATTCATCGATGTAACAGTGCAAGTTCCTAAACGCAGCTCTGAGATCACTCATGAGAACTGGAAATCGGAATATTACGGGCGTAATAATTTAGCAATTTATCGCCTTAAAACCCCTACCGGAAATCCATCAATGGATTGGCGCTGAGTTTAGACAATTGTCCAAATCCAGCAAGTTCTACTTTTATGGGGTAGCCGCGCACCTATCGTGGAAACTGATAATACATGCTGTTCCGCTTCTACCTATCAATCAATAGGACCTTATTTAAGTATTGGAAAATATGATGGATTAAAACCAGAGCCGGCATTAGGGCGGGGCGCCGACCTGGAGGGGCGACCGTCGGGGGCACCGATCATCAGGAGTGCCCGCCCGACACTTGTTAGAAATTTTAAAAAATACAAAAGTATTAAAACAATTAATTTTAGCCTATTAATAAAACAACTGTATTAGAGAAATATTGAATGAAATAAATACTTCATAGTATAAAACAGCTAAAGAAATAATTTAAATTTTTTTAGGGAAGAGGAAGATGACATCATTGCCCGGGGGTAACGGATGTTTAAGGTCGGCATTAGTTAAAAAATTCCAATTTTGAAGAGGCTATCCAACATAAGGTTGTTAACAGATTCCTAAACTATGTACTGAGCTCAAGAATGACATTTGAACCGTTAATAAATTCATCGATGCCATTTAGCACGTTCCTTTATCCATCTCTTTGAATCACTGATAACTCAACGTTTCCTCTTTTGCGAATCGATGGATCCGTTGGATGTATCTTCATTATGACTTGACTGTTGCTATTTTTAAATTTATTCATATCCAGTTTACTTTCTATATTTATGTCTATTTTGAAATCAAACAAATCAGTAGATTGGTATTTTCTTTTCAGAGTATTTCATAACCTACCGCGGTGTTAATCTCCCGTTGGAGTCCATGAGTTCCTTTATAAACTCAGCACGAATCGCTGTTGGATTTAATCAATTGGCGACTCCAACGATGGAAATAACGCAAAATTTAAGAACTTCTAAACGGAATGAAGTAGAATGGATAACTTAGTAGAACATTGTAATGAGGCGTATTAAAAAGTTTGATGATTAGTAACAGTGCCGGCCTTAAACATTCGACGCCTCTGGGAAAAATAAAAATTATTTCTTAAGCTGTTTTATATTATACAGTATTTATTTATTTCAATATTTGTGTGTTACAGTTGCTTTATTAATAGGCTAAAATTAATTATTTTAATACTTTTGTATTTATTTTTTTTATTTCTAACAATAGGCGATGGCTCCTGATGATCGGTGCCCCCGAGGTAGGCGCCCCGGGACCATGGATTTGTTCAGGCAATGCGGTCTATATTACAGGTATCTAAGTCAAACTCTTGTCAGATTGTGGAGGTAATAGCACCAAACTTCAAGATTTTTCTAACGAAATATTCCCGCAGTTAAAATCTCTTAGAGGATTTAAAGAAGCCTAACCTTTAATTTAATTTAAACCTAGGAGACGATTTTTTTTTAAATTTTGCTGAACATCTTAATAAAAAGTCTTGAACTGTAATTTTATGGACTTATCGTGGAAAACTCATTAATCGTGTTTCCTTAATGGAATATAAGCAAGATGCATCAATATGAAATTAAAAACGTCTGTTAATGTTTATGAGGAACAATTTAAATATCACGAATTGTTAGAAGTATAATATTACCTCATTCAAAAATCATTGAAATAAATTCACTTGAAAGTTGCAGACCAGATTACTAATTACAAAATTAGAAACCCCAACAGAATTGATAAAAAATAACATCCGAATATGACCTCAAATCTAGATTCTGTCGAGACCTGATCAGGTTATGACGCCAACCACACTTTTTCATCTCTGAAACAAATGCAATTTATTACTTGTATTTACAGCTGCCAGTAAAAAGTAAACCGTTCAAATCTTATTTATGTGGCATTCTGTAAGGTCATGCTCCCTTTTTTTCTAAAAGTAAATTGTTAGAATAAAATTATAGAAAGCTACCTGAAAAGTTCACACATTTTTTTAACTAGCTGAGAGGAAGGTCTTGCTTCGATTATTGATTTTGAAATTTTTACAACATATTGAAGATGGCAAACTTATTTTCACAATTTCGCGAGCGTAATGAAAATTATTTTTTCTTTGGTCTTCCTGCAAGGTAACATTTGACCTTGGTAAGGTCAAATCACAACGGAAAACAGTAAAATGTTTTCTCCTGGTCTTTCCTTTTAGAAGCATAGTTTCCATTCATTGTTTTCTAAAATTTGTAAGTACATGATCCAATAAATATACGCAAACGCGTATTTTTATTCGTTTTTTGGAGTACGTATTTAAATAAAAGATGGTCCCTGAATATCTATTTAAGCTATACGCGGTAGGGTGGGTCCTAGCGGCACATAATAGGAAGTGACCGAATAAATGTGGATTGTGAAAGATAATTTCATTTAACGTGATTCAGACTATACTTCTAAAATATAATTTTGAGCAGCCTAATTTTCAAATACTTTTCGGGACGAGGATCGTCTCCAACCACAGGAAAGTTAACTCTCCTTTACTGGACTCTCCCGTAGTCGTTTCGTCCCTCCCCCCAAGTAGAAAGTGAAAATGGTATGCATATGCTTTAATTTTTCTCTTACTAGTCTGCAGCTTTCTATGAGTTTGGAAACTACCCTCAATGATAAATTAGTACCACTAATTCCGTCACGACCTTAATTTAATAAAAATCTTGATTTTAGGAGCTATAGGCAGGACTGAGTAAATCGAAATGCTATGCAGATTTTTTTCCGAATCGGAGTAACATTAATCAGTATTTTAAAATTGCTTAATAGAATAAGATGATAAAAAAAAAACTTGGACGATCAGTTTGTTAGAAGGGTTTGAACGATATCTATGAATGGATGAAACTTATCGTTGAATTTTAAAACATGGTTTTTGGGAAATTCAGTTGAGATAGTACTCCCCTTCCACCCGTCAACCTTTCAACTATTATATTATGCATTAGCATTATTACTGCTAAGATTATTTTGTTGCTTAAGTAAGATTACAGTTATAATTTGATCTGGTTCCAGAGAAAGAAATCTTTCAGCAGTTTTTGACTTGCATGAAAAGGAACTAGATAAGAAGTTCTCCATAGAGGTCGGATAAATCAATACCCCCTCTCGTAATCGAGGTGGAAGCAATAGAAGTCTTTTGGAAAATTCAAAGCCTTTATTATATACATGATATACAAATAAAATTATTCAAAAAAGAAAACTTATTCGGTTGAATTTTATTACTCATTAGCTTACTGTTTTTATGTACCTGGTACAATGTTGATTAATTGTAATTTTGGTGGAAATACTACAATTTTGTTATTAATTTGTTTCTTTGGCAAGGATATAATTGTTGTTGCTCGCTGTTGTAAACTCCCTCTATATTCGTTAGATTGATTTCAGTGATCTACTACGTTTAAATCGAACATTAATTTGTTATAGAACAGTTTTATTGTAAATTTCAATATAGTTGGAACCCAAAGTGAATTAATTATTCTTAACAAATTCATTTTATATTTATTTAGTTTTAGGGTTTGTTTTTGTTGGGGCTTATCTTAGGAATATACATTGACATATTATTTTAAGATGGGGCCTGCCAAAAGTGATGTTTGTCAAAGTTTGGTTTTGGAATATGAAGAAGATGAACTTAGCCCTGCTCAGCTAGAACATAAAGCAAAAATTGAACAAAAAATTGATATATTAAACAAGCACATTCAGGGTCTTCATCAAGAAATCGAGACTAATAGAGCTAAAGAAGCTGCTGCGTGAGTTCATTATTTATATTTTTTAATATTATCTCATGAAGGTTGAAACCCTCATTAAGAATGAATTAATTTATAGCTGTTGTATGATAGTCATTTCTGAATTATTGCTTCTCATTTATATACTAATACTTCAAACAGAAGCATCTATGTTTTGGTACAATTTCATGAAAAAGAATTTATACCACTGGTTTGAATGAGAGTTATTTATATCTTTAGAGACAGGCTAAAGATTCAGACTGGACGTTGTTGCTGATTATACAGATGTCTGAATTCTCTTGAAGAATCACTGCAGGGGATTTAGTTTACGCTGATTAGAGAAACATATTCCAATCCATATTCTTGAAAAGTTTAGTTTAGTTGGTTGCTAATTATATATCAGTTTTAACTGTGATTAAAAAAAAAATTCTTTCCTGCAGATTTATTTCATTATTTCTACAGACTATTTAAATGAAAATAATAAGTGGATAAACATCATCATCTGTAAATGGTTTTATCCTACTATCATCTCTTATTTATATGTTTTGACAAGTCTTAGTGCCCTGTTTTATTTCTGTCACTAGATAAATATGTATGGTAAATTGTTGTTGATAAGAGAGTACTACACCCACTTATTTCTAGAATTAAGTGCTGTGATGTATAGTGATTAAATTGGATATAAGGAAAACTCACTTAAGGTCTTAAACAATAAATATGCCTGTATGAAACTGAAGAATAGACGCCAATAGTTCTGAGACTCGTTTCACAATTTTCATGTTTGAAAAGATTGATGTAATATAAGCATTGGATTCAAGCCAGTTGCTGTGTGCTCCTAAATGCTTCCAATCAGGCTTAAAGGAAGATAAATAGTCAATATCAACCTTTTAACTATTATGTGCATTTCTTTTTTTTTAGTAAACAAAGCATAAAAGTTACGTAATGTAAGATATTCAATTAGAAAATTATATGCAAAAAAAAGGCAGTAAAGAATTATTATCTGCAGTAAATGCTGAAAACAAACAATTAATCAATTACTTTTACATTTTCAATATAATAATAAAAGAAAAAAACATCAATGTCCAGAAGCTGATGAAACTATAACAAAAGATTTTGAACATTTATTTATTTGCTTCCCTACATAGATAGAGTTCTTTAGTTTCCATAGATTATATGGAGATAATCTAAAATTTCAATTCCAAAAACAAAGAAGTGCTGACTTTGCATGTTTTATGATGATATATATGGACAGTACAGCATTCGGCAGTATATTTTCTTGATTCGACCTACTGTTATGCTTCCTGAGGGTCCAGTGGTCTACCTGGTCTTCTTTGGTTCTAAAGTTAAAGTGGTCTGGCCCCACCTCTGCTTTCCATCCATAAATAAATGGTTTGAACCACGGGAAATTGTTCTCACTTACTAATCAAGAAAACTCATTTTCAGTAGGAGTATAGATTCATTTGGTCCTTAAGGTCTCAAATGTGGCTTAAGTCATGACAACGTGCTCTGCAGTTTCTGGAATACTACTGGTTGGAAGTAGAGGATAAACATTGTTGCCAAGACCGTGAAGTTTGGCTCGAAATCCTCCATGCCCAATGATGAATTGGGTAATCTACTAGTCCGGGAGGGCACACTTTGCTTTTAGCCTTAACTGTACCGTGGGGAATGTACTACTTCTGTTCATACAGTGAATCATTTGAATGGCTCGGTTATGTATCTCTGTGTAGTTGAATTAGGAATTACAATAAAATTATTAGCCTGCTCAACTGTGTTGAGTAGCTAAATGACACAGGGCACTCATTAATATATTCAATAATATTTGGAAAAAGACTTAAAAAAGATAAAGTTAATTGAGACTTTCATCATAAATTCCAAATGTTATAATTTTAATATTTACTACTGATTTAAAAATAATTTCTCTCCCTTATAACATTTTTACCTCTACAAAATTATGAAAAGCTTGAAATATTGTAAAAACTTTATTATGTTCAATAAATTGATTTATCAAATTTGAATTGTTTCCCTCACAATTGTCTCTTTATTTTGTTGACAATCTTTTAGTCTCAAGTGTAATTCATTAAAAGATGGTGGCATTCAGAAGTATTAAAAAAAATTTCCTTCATCCTTTCTCAATTTTTCAAAAATTGTTTAGTATAATAAAGAACCATTATTTCGTAAGAAAGCACAATTAGATAAGTTGTCCTTGAAATAAAACAAGTAGACAATCAAAACAAGAATCATCAAAGTTAAATGTGTTTCTTTAGTTTCCATAGATTATAGATCTAAAATTTCAATTCCAAAAACAAAAAAGTGCTGACTTTGCATGTTTTATGATGATATATATACTTTCAATTTGTCCCTCATTTATTTTTTTTTCTTCTGTCAATTATGATATACTTATTAATTTTGTTTTTTGATCAAGGGATTCTTTATCACAACAATCACATGTCCCTTCCCAGATTCCGACTGCACAAGGTGCTGCTTCTATTCAAGCCTCTCAGGTATATTTTCTATATTACAAGTCATGTTATATTATTTTGATGTAAAACCATTGGATATTTCCAGGGTAATTACAAAACTTTCTTTGGTTGATTATATCTTCTTTAATAACTGAAACAACTAAACAATTTTAGTTGCTACATATTTTCTTTTGTGTTACTCTTCAGCTTTGTTTTTATTCTTTAACTTTATTTAATTTGCTAAACATTCAGACTTATTATTTGTTAATATTTAATTCAATGTATAAATGTTTACAATTGTCGTTTTCACAAATAGATCAAAAACTAATTAGTTTTTTTTAAGATTAGCTAATAAATAAAGGATAAAAAAACAGTTTTTTTAAATTTATTTATTAATTGTTTTTATTATTTCTAGAATTCAAGCCAATCATCTAACTATGTTGTTGTTGATTCTAATGTCGGATTTGTGGCGTTACCAACTTCACAAGTTAGGAGAGCACCAGGTATTATTGTTCAATAAGTAGATTAATTGGATTCAGGATATATAAAGTTTAATGCATCATTTCTCTGTCCTAGTTGTAACTCCTGTTCGTTTCCCGCCCCCTTCATCTTCATCTCTACTTCGTGGAGCCGCCCCTCAGGTATAATTTTTATTTGTGTAATCAAATTCATGAATTTTTTAAAATCATGTCTTTTTATAATTACTTTTAACAACTTCATGATTCATTGCACTAAGTTTGGTAGCCTCTAAAACAGCTGGTGTTTTAGACTTTCTAGGTTTCGTTTTTGAACTTTTCCAATTTTATCCTAACAATTAATTTATTTCTTTTTGAGTTCTTACTATTTGTTATTAAAATATTTATCACATTGTCTGATAGATTACTTTTCAGTATTCTGGTGTGAAAAGTCAAAATAATTAAACATATGTATTCAAACTTGTAGGTTAGGACTTAACCTTAATAGTAATAATTAAAACATACATTTGATCACATAATCCTTCTTTATTTCTTTTTCTACTCCAATGTTTCAGTCCTTAAGCCATTTTCAAGGGAAGAAACCTAAAACCTAAACCTTCTTCTTCCTTCTCTTTCTCCTTAGTGACTTTCAGCGTGGAGATGCTGCTCTGTCCAGGCAAACCAAGCTTCTCGATCCCGAGCCAGCACCCTTATGGCTTCCCAGTTTTTTGGTCTTCTCTCTCCCACTTTAGTGATGTAGTCTTTGCATTATATTCTGGCTCTCTCCCTGTTGGTCTAGCCTCAAAATATTTTCTTGAGTTCCTGTCTTACTCATTCGACAGAGATGTCCAAACCATCTGAGTTGTCTCTTTTCAATGGCATCCTTTAATAGGACAACTCCAACATCCTCTCATTCCGTATGCGATCCCTCCTGGTTCGTCCTGCCACTCTCTGAAGGTATCTCATTTCCATTGCAGTAACTCTGCTTAGGTGCTTACCTAGTGGTACCCAGCTTTCACTTCCGTAAAGGAGGGTAGGTGGTACGATTATATAGCCTTGAAGATATGTACTTTAACATTCTTCTCTACCTCCTTCTCCCTATATCTGTGTTGCAGAGGTGGCAGTATATTGAATTTGTCTTCTATATTCTATTGGGTATTTCTTGGTCTCCCTTTCCATTCCTACTGATCAATGTTCCAAGGTAAGTGTATTCGTCCACTATTTCTAGTGGTTCACCTTTGCAAATTATTTCAATGTATTCCTGTTCCCGTCCTATATGTATTATTTTGCTTTTCCTGACATTGAGGGTCATTCCATTTCTTTCCAGGTCATTATTACCTGGGCCAGGATTGTTCTCATATTCCATTTGACAATAGTAGTGTGGGCTGTCCTCCGTTGTGCACATTTTTAGGATTTCATCTATGTAATGAATAGGAGAGAGCTCAAACTATCCTCTTGCTTTACTCCTTTTTCAATCGCAAAGGTATTGGACTCTCTTCCATTAATTCTTATTTTACTTTGGAATCGTGATGGGTCGACTTTATAGCTTCTATCAATCCTTGCGGAAAGAACATTCCACAGTTCTTGTCTAGTGGCTGAATCTAAGGCACCGTTTAGATCTATAAATGCCAAGAAGATACTCTTTCCTCGTTCCCAGCATTTTTCAATGATTGTTCTGAGAGAAAATATATGATCTTGTTTGGGTCTGGGGTTGAGGCCTGAAAGCAGCCTGTTCCTCTTCTAACTCGTTCTCAACTAGCTCTCTCAGCTTCTTTTACAATATTGAGGTATAGAGTTTGTACACAACCTGGAATAGACAGATAGGTCTATAGTTCTTGCATTCGTTAGCATTGCCCTTTTAATGTATCAGGAGAATTATGTTGTATTCTCATTCATTAGGTATAGCTTTTTCAGTAATTAACTTCTGAAAAAGGCACTGCAATGCTTTCAATAGTTCTGTCCCATCATATTTGATGAATTCAGAGACGATGCCGTCTCTGCCTGCTTAATCTCTCCACTGCTGCTTCCACTTCTTCCTCCCATATCACCTCATACTCTCCCTGTATACTTTCTCTAATTGTTCTCTCCTCAACATCTCCAGAAGAAAATTCATTTTAGTGGCATCTCTACCTTTCTAAAAACCTGGTCCCCGGTAATCAATCTGCCTCCCTCGTCCTTTACATTTCGTATGGGTTTGCTTGTCTTTCCTTTCAATGATCTTAATCTTTTTCGAGAAAATTTTTGTTTTTTCATGATAATTATTCTGCAAATTGTGACCAAACCTAAACCTAAGAAAAATAATTAGGCTGTGATGATTGTTTTATTTGTTAAAGATTTCTTCTCTTGAAAATGGCCTAAGGGCTGAAATGTTGATGTAGTAAAAGAAATAAAGTATGACTATATGATCAAATGGATGTTTTTATTGTTACTATTAAACGTCAATTTAATTTAATCATATTATATTATAGCAGGAATCTCCATACTTTTGGTCTTTCCGGGCTATATTGACACTTCACTAAGTTTTGAAGAACATGATTGGTGATGTTGATAAAAACATCGATACATTGTCATAAAAAAAAGAAAGAAAAACTCTTAACTATATTTAATTATAATAATATAAAGTATTCTAATTAACTATTCTAATGTAAAGTATTATTGTATAAAATCTAATTGAGACCTTCAATTTTGAAACCCTTTAAGTTCACTTTCCTAAATTTTACAGTTTTGTATGCAAAATAAATCTATTTTATTTGTACATTATAAATACTCCGATGATAATATTATGCTGCTTTCTGTTATTATCTATTCATTATGAGTTAATGATGCAAACATTTTGAGGAACAAAACTGTTTTTTGGTTTCAGTAGCCATAAATCATTTAGATATTTTTGTATTACGTTCCTGTTAAGAGGGAAATGAATTTTAGCTAGCAAAAGAAAGGTAAAAAAAAAATTGTTTACAATTAAAAGAAATTAAATTTTTACAAACAATAACAAATTAAAATGAATATCTGTGAATTTGAGTAGCTATTTGTAATATTCAAATTCAGGCAATGTAACAGGAAAGAAAATCTCTACTTCTTTTACTATGTCATTTACTATTTTCAAAAGCCATAAGCAATATTAACATTATCTTTGAACAGACAGTTATATAAAAATTTTATTTATTTTTTCTATATCCTTCATAAAAAAAAGGACTTACTTTATGAAGGACGTAGCTAAAAAAATCTTTCCACTACACAAAAATGTATCCCTAAAACTTTATATGCAAAATTTCGATGTTTGATAGTGCATTGACTTCTAAATCTCACGGGCCCACATTCGAATCCGGTTGATGACAGGTATTTATTTATTCTGTTAAATCAGCTGTGGATGTACCCTGGGCTATCTCCAGAGATCCTGGGGCACACTCAGCCTTTATAAAGTGGATACTCTTAATTAATTAATTAATCAAGAGGAAAACCTGGTGATTGAGCGTGCTCTCGCTCAAATCACCTCCTTGCACAACCGTTGACCATAAAACAGTACTTCCTTACATAGTACTGAACCCCAAGACCCTTCATGGGTTGTAGTAGTACAGGTTAAAGTGCTTATTAGGAGACTTTTGAGTGCATTTATCCATTAAAACTTTTCAAATAACAGCATAGAATAATGCTGCCAGACATCCGTTGACCACTTCCGAGGCTATCATGGGCTACCACTTATGTATATGTATGAATTAACAAAGTGATTCCTTTATATCATTAGATGTTTATTTTATTTAGTCTCTAATCAATGCAATGTTAAGGTAGTTTTTTACTAGTCTTCTGGAGAAATTGATAGATGAAACATATCAGAATAAAAATGTAATTTAATATTTTTATTTTGAAGTGTGCTGCGCCAAGGGGGAGGGGAGGTACAGCAATCAGACAAAGGAGGCCAAATATTGTAAGAGGTTCTAATGTTGCTGTAAGAATGCCATTGAAACCAGAGGGAATTCTTAAACGCCGTAAGTTTGATTTCCATTTATATAAAAATACTTCTGAGATTCAATAAACAGTATTTTACTTTATATCTATTAATGTTTTAGTTATTTCATTTAATTTTTTACTTATTACTTATTTTAATTTGATTCCAGAATTGACCACATCTGAAAAGAAGGGAGAGAAAAAAAATGATGTTGTTGATTTAACTGATGAAGATTTTGGACCTGATACTGAAGTAGTCTCTAAAGCTGATACTAAGGAAGTCACTATTTCTCCTTTATCAGAGAAAACATTTCCATCTCTTGTTGTGCTTGCACGACCAAATATGTCTCCTAAGCAGTTCACTAATCAACAAGTCCAGACAGAAAGAGCAAATCTAGGTATAAAATAATTTCATAATATATTTATAAAAATTTATACACCAATAATTTACTTTCAAAGTTAATTTTAATCCTTTGGGTTCCAATTGGTTATGATATTTCATGGTTTTGATTTATTTTATATTGTAATTAAGAGTGAAAAATGAATATTTACTTTCTTTAATAGTGTTTTAAATTGTGATGAGTCAAATTTCCTTGAGTTAATAGTCAGCACTGCTTGGTTCTGTTAATTTACATTTTCACAAAACAAACATAAAATAAATAGCAGAAAACTAAAAAAAAAAAACTGCAACCTAGAAAATGTGACTTATATTACTTAAACTTATCACTATAGATAATAAATAGATAAAAGTTTAAATTGTCATGCAGGTTTTTTGGAGAGGTAAATTATAATTATATTGTTTATTTTAGAAATGGCATAAGCACCAAAAGTAGGTAATGAGTAATACAGAAGAAATAGCCTCTCTATAAACTAGAAAATTGTCGAAATAACTATGTATTCTTTTGAAAAAATTGTCTTATTTAAACAGAATAAAATTTTTGGACTTATGCCTTTTCTAATACTAACTTGGCTACACAAATTATTTAGTGGAGAAAAGATTAATATAGTATAGTAATATAAATTTATGGATTATTTTATTTAAAAGAAAAACATTAGTTTTTTTAACTTAAATGAATTCTATTAATGGTCATAATAATTAAATACAGTGCGCTTGTGGTTTTAGTTTTGGTTTGCACAGGAATCTGAAAAAAACAGACATTTTTAATTCATGGACATTTTTAAATTGAAGTGAATGGTATAAAAAATGTATGCATATTTAAGGCACTGATAATTCCTATCTTTGTATTCATATTTATTACTGATAGCTTTATTATGGATAATTCCTATCTTCGTATTCATATTTATTGTATTGTATTCATATCATTGAAATTGGAAACAAAAAAAAATGGTATAATAAAAAATACTTTTATTTTACAACATATATATATATATATATTAAATAGATGAAAACAAATGTAATAATAACAAAACAGTTTGATTAAATACTTTTATTTTATAACATATATATTAAATAGACGAAAACAAATGTAATAATAACAAAACAGTTTGATTTGAAATTGAAATAGTCAAAAAGAAATGTAATAACGCCCTTAACAATAACAAAACACTTTAATTTTAGAACAGATATATCAGATAGACAAAAATAAATGAAATAATAAAAAAACACTTAAACAACGCATGTACATGTAAAAGAAACAATATGAACACTGTAAACAACATATGTACATAGAAAAGAATTATCCCGGCATTTTGAAAATATTTGATAGCCTCTTCTTCTGAAGATGTCAATTCCCACAATGTAATATTATTTGACACATCCATAATTTGGCGAAAATCACACTAATGGAACAAAAATAAACGATGGAATAACTCACAGCTCACACGAGAAACAAAAAATTAACAATGAAATAACTGAGCTTACATGATATAGGAAGAGAGGTTATGTGATATATCATTAGATAACAAGGTAGATTTCCTCCCGACCAGCTATTTGAGGAGTTCCTTTGAAACTTCATCTTAAGTTTAAGTTAAATTTATAGTAATTTTTTTTTACAGATGAAAAAGTAAAACAAGTTTTGACTTTGAATACTCCCAAATACATCGAATGGTTACTTCAGCATGGTTTGCTTCGCTCTGAACAAGAATGTAATTCTAATATCAAGGGAAAGAGTCACCTGCCTTTGAAACTTGGCATGTATTCAGACACATCAAAATTTCCATACTCAGGTGGCTACGTGTGGATATCTGAATGCTGCCCCTCACATTTTCTTTCAGTAGGTTTCCATATTATTGATTTGTAAAATGAATAAAATATATGTTCTTTTTTATTGAAGTTAGATTATTTATTATTATTGGAAATTCTATTCAAATTTAAATTATATTAATATTCTAAGAAAACGGAATATTGGACATGATTTATGCCCAGCAAATATTAATTTTTTATCTGTTCTATACTTTATTTGTTTTATAAAAATATTTAACAAATGTCTGATTCTTAACATTCCAAAGATTTAATCATGAAGTACTATCAAAATTTGTTGGAAGTTTATTGAAAAATAAAATAAAATATCTCCCATTGAAGAGCAACAAGTATTTGGATTATAAGTGTTCATTCGTAGAATATAAAAAAGGTAAAATAATTAAAAGTAATAACAAGAATAAATAAATCTCTCTATTAGATTATATAAAAAAGTTTTTAGTGCATGTCATATTTTATTTAATTTTAGGAGAGTAAGAGGTTACAGGAGCTCTCCTATTAGCTTTATAATTAGCACTAATTAAACATCCATTTGTTTAATTGTATGCGTTGAGCTCCTGTTACCTTATAATTTCCTAGTACAAAATAATGATTTTAGACTAAAAATTTATACGGTAAATGTTTATTCATCTTGAGGTGGTAGTTTGATTTTATCTGGATGACAGCAGTTTTTTTTTTTTTTCGATCTAGACATTTCCCCTTAAATAAAATATATTAATTAGTATATTGTATACAATATTATTTATATTATATTGTGGTATAATTATAATTATTGTGAAATAGAAAAGGAAGCACAATATAACAGACAATGAAAATATTAGAAATTATTGTTGGGTGGGCTTATATGAAGCTGGACAAGTTAAATATATATTATGGTTACAAATTTGAAATAAGAGTAATTATAATTTTATAAATTGGCGATGTATAATATAGATTTTCAAGGAAATTAAAAATTTGTCCGGGCTGTGGTTTAATTCAGTTTATTTTTATGTTGATAAAAAATAATACAATCTGAACTTCCGAATACATGTAAATTAAAGTTATACAATTTGAGCCAAGAGTAGTACAATTAAATGAACAGTTGAATAATTTGTAATATAGGAGCTGGTGAGACAGGGGTTACCCTCTAATAGTATACAAAAAAATAATTTTTTCATATTTTAGACAATAAAACTTCTAATTTTCTTCATATTTTTTTATTTATGTTTGTTGTCTCTTACGTTTTGGGACAATTTTCCCATCATCAGAGCAATCTTTATTTTTTTGATGTGGCATCATTTGTCAAAAATTAAATATTTGTCACATTTTTTAAAAACTATTTTTTGATGTTACACATATTCATTGATACACTAATCAACATCTGTGTGTAACACCAAAAAATAGTTTTTAAAAAATGTGACAAATATTTAATTTTTGACAAATTTATAAACGGAAGCTTCCTAATAAAAAAGAAAAATAATAGTTGTGGGTTGATGTGGATTGACTGTAGTGAATAATTGAAGAGAAAGATGGTTGGCTGATCAGTCAAAATAAAAAATATTAAAAATAAATAATTACATTTATTTTTATATTTATCGACGTTTTGGCTCGAAGTTCCGGTCTTCATCAGGGCTAAAAAAAAAAAAAAAAATTACTTTATAAAAGACTTATCCATTTCCGTTCAACTTTCAGTTTTCTTTTTCTTTAATCTCATTAAAGAAATTATTTTTTGTTTTCTTTAATCTAATGTTTCACGTAGATCAGGTATTCTCCATTATTACTTAACATTTATTATCTTTATACTATCTCCTTAATTTATTCTATATTATATTATTATACTATATTTTCCTTAATGTATACTATATTATATAGTAATACCTCTTTAATTTTAATTCTTTTTCGTTTTCTTTAATCTGACGTTTTACCTTTATTTCAGTAATACTCCATTATTATTTAATATTTATTATCTCGTGTATTATACTATCACCAGATACCTTATTTCCATCCTCTTCCAATTGCACATTTATTTAATAACTCATAGAATTTATCTATAATAAATATCTCTTCCATCATAGACGATTCTGTGCTTTAGTTCACGTATTTCAGTTAACCGTTACAAATGGATGGCGCTGTTTAGCTCTATTCTTTCCTGCTACAATACCTTTGTCTTTCGACGCTTCTTGGATTGAATAGGTCTGTTTATCTTTCTTATCTTAGTTTTCTCTTTTTTTCCTCCTTCTTGTCACTCTATTTTCCATATCTCCATCTCTATTTTGTACATATTGATATCTTTGCTCATTCATCTTTTTTACATTATTTTAACTTTTAAATTTTTCTCTTATACGTAGTCAGTATATTTTGATAGATTTTACAATATCTAAATTTTCTATTTATATCTATTATTTCCTTATATAACTTCATATTCCTTTTCTCTGTTTTACATTTTATTCTAAGAGTACCATTTTTCATTTCTTATGTTACCTTATTTTGATTATGTTTATTTCATTGGTCCGTACTTTGTTGCCGTTATTGTTATTTATTTCTTAGTTCTCTGTTACTGTTATTATTCTACCTACTTTATTTTACTTTAATTTTCACTCTATCTACTCCCTTTTACTTTAAGTTTATTCTATCTACATTTTTTTTAGTCTACACCTTTCACCTTTTCAATTTTAATTCTCTATTATTCAATGTTTATAGTTTCTCATACCTATTGTTATCTGTTTTCTTCTTAGCCCTGATGAAAGCCTGTACTTCCGGCCGAAACTTCGGCAAATATAAAAATAAATATAATTATTTATTCTTACTAATTTTTATTTTGACTGATCACACCAACCATCCTTCTCTTAAAAGACTAATAGATTTGAAGTTGAGTACAAATGAAGTAATTCTTCTAAAAACATAATCATACTTATGTGAAATATTTCCTATTAGCCAAGGGAATCAGGCTTATATCTCCACAAGTGGAGACAGTAGGACTGCAGGAATTCTCTGTACTACTCTCAGTTGCACCACTGGTACTAAAAGCCAGATTAAGTGAGAAGACTATAGTCAGATTCACATATGCGTTCAGTGGAGAATCTGGCCATTGTCAAATTCCATTTATAAAATGTCGCTGGGTCATTGCCATTTCTACCTATGAATAGAATTAGACAAGGATTGTACTATTGGATTAGGGTGTTGTATAAGATTTTGCTGAAATTTGAAGTTTGTCAGGGATAAGGTCTGGAACTAAAGGGATATTAAGGTCATGCATGATGTGTAGGGTATATTAAAAATTAGTGAGAAAAATGTCAGAGGAGGGAAGTTCTTGTTTATGAAAATGTCATTGCAAAGAAACTATTATAATAGAATTTTACTCTTTTCCAACAATTTTTTTAAGCAATCAATTAATCTTAAATTGGATCCAAGGTGGCCGAGTGGGCTAACATGTGTGCACAGCAACCTCATTGGAAGATTAATTTGATAAAATAATCATGAATTCACGTCTGAATGGCTTTTAACTCTCCATTAATCCCCCGCTCTCACTCCCTGGCCCAGGAAAATCCCTTATAGTCTGAAAGGTGATGAAAAAAATAAAGAAATAAAAATTGAAAGAAATGTCTACATTTTGTATCATTAAAAGAATAGCTTGGACAATCTTATAATTATTTTTTATTAATCAAATAATTTATTAGTTATTAAATACCAATATAAAATTCTAATTATCTTATTGTGTTAGTTGATTGATGTATCTTTGTTGTTCATTGATGATATCGTTTGTTTATCGCTTAAAATTTATTGTTTTTAGGTATTTTCTGGTTCGCTGTTTGAAGCTACACCCCATTCACCTACAGTAGTTTTAAAACTAATATATCATTGGGCTTGTCAGACTGCAGTTCAAAATGTAATACAGTGGGTAAAGGTTGATAACTTATTTATTAAAACTCTGTTTACCAATCTTAGAGCAATATGTACCGCAGCCATTCATCAAAGATTTCCAATATTTGGAGGACCCAACAAGAAAGTACAAGTATGCAATATTTAATTGTTTCTATTTAATCTATTTTCTCGAGAATTTTATATTTTAACAATCTGAGATTTTGATGTTAGTTATTCAATAAATTATACAATATATATATATATATATATATATATATATATATATATATATATATATATATACATATACATATCATAAATACACTATTTAATGCTTTTTAGATAGGGGTTATAAGTTTGGGTACTACAGCACAGGATGGTACTTCAAGGCAAGTTAAAGTTGAAATTCTTGGAATATTCGATGAAAGTACAAATATGCTGAGAATTCGAGCAATAGAACCAGTAACTAATGTAAGTATCAATTTTTATTTTAACTAATATATAATGTTTAATAGGAAGGTTATTTTAGTTTGGATTTTACATATCAATCAATTCATGATTTTTTAAAATTCTTAAATACAATTTATTTGTTGTTTCTCTGTATTAATATGCCTCAAATTTCAGTTTGTTCTCAGAGCTCAATGACATATTTGTTTGAGTTGTTGATGGACAGTTTTGGGGATGATGATCGGTTTGGATCAGATTATGAATGTAGATAAATCTTAAAAGTCAATATTTTTCAGGATAAAAATGAAGATCAGGTTACTATAATGAAGCGCAGATTTCAAAAAGCTCTTGAACCTCTTTTGAGATGGGTTCATAAGAGTTCGGAAGTAGTTATTGATTGTACTGTCGACAAAGGTACCTTAATATCTTATGGCTACTCGAGAGTAATGCAAGTTTCTGGTGATCAAAATGCTGCTGGTTATAAAATTATGGACTACTTAAAAATAGTTATACCAAGAATGTTTCAGGTATTTTTTTATTTTATCATATGAAATAATTAATTTTTTTTCCTATGTTACCTAATTTATTGATTGATACAAACGAAACAAAATTTCTGCTTCATATAGTCACATAAATTAAATTTATGATTCTGAAACTTTTTGTATTTTTATATATCCCTAACAAAAACAGAAGTGTATATAAGATTTAATGCAATAAAACTTTTTCAATAAATAAATGAAAATTCTCACCCTACCCATGCACATTGTAGTGAATGATTCCCAGGGAGTCGATGACTATATTTTCAGCCAACATCACTACCTCTTTAATGTAGACACCTAGTTCCTCAAGAAAGCTCCTTGTTCTTTTTGGAATTATTCCGTGAGACCCAAACCAGAGGCCTCTCACGTTGAACTCTCTCCAAACATCTCATGGAACTTCTCTTTTAGAAAAGGGATACATTTATCATATTTGTTTTTCTTTTCCCTTTCCACCTCACTCGCATGATCGAGGTCATTGCTCTCAAAGCGGACAGTTGGATCCAAGATCAGCGCTGTCCTTCCTGTCTTGGGAAATGCGACAATATCTGCATATCTTGTAGAGCCTTCACTGACGTGTTATGAGGAGGGAGTTCTTCTTCATTTCTAGGACCTATTACATTCTTCACTAGTTCTTAAAACTCAAAAATGTTCCAACCAAAAAAAAAAATAATAATAATATTACGAGTTATATTATTTTCAACAAAAAATTTCCTTAGTTCTACAAAATTGATTTTTAATTCCATTTTATCTTGAAAACAGTTATCCTCTCAAATGCCCTGTAGTATTTCTTTTTAATTTTTTTTTTTTAAGCACAGTTATACCATTAGCTCTCTTTCTTGGCGTAAAGTTGTATATAATTGTCCGACATCTTTAGTTCCTGAAAACTTTAATTTCAGAATCATCAAAACAGATTTTTCTTCTTTATTTAAATCGGTATTTAATTATCCTCAGAAGCTTATGTATTATATATATTTATTGTTTTTTATTTATATTGGTTTCTTATAATTTCTTGGTGTGATTATTATAAATTTTTCTTGTGTTTGTGCAGAATACTTTGTCGTTGCTATCCCGCCAGATTATTCAACAATTTTTGGATGAGTTGGTTTGGAGAGAAGCATATGGGCCAATACCTTCTCGTGCTTTTCATTCAATCATTGAACACATAAGCGAACAGACTAGACTGAATAGTGGTAACTATCCTTTATTTTTTCCTGTTATATCATTAATTCCTAATACACTATGATTAATATATTTGTCATTACTATTCATCTAAAATAACTGGAATTTCATTAGAATTGTTTCTGTTATTTATTTCTATTTCCAATGAATCTTATTATGGACCCACTGCTATATAAATATTCACTGTGAGGGATTTTTTACAGGGTTACATTTTTTTATATGGCAATGCTGACATTTTTTAAGGCAGTACATAATTTTACAGAACCTTCAATTTTATACTTCTGTCATTTAAAACTATTGTGCAATAAGTATAATTTTGAAAGAGAATGATAAGACTAATAACTCCATATCCCAATCGGTGACACAGGTTATATTCAGACAAATACTATACTGATATAAAAAATATTGAGCTTTATTTGAAAAATATGTTTACTATTTATGTATTTGTTAGGTAAACCTCGGTAAAGTAAATAGAGGTTGTAATGTAAACAATTTAGAAATGGGTAAGTAGTCGACTGATGAATTTTAAGCATGAAACAAAATTGTTAGGGATTTCAATCAAAATTTCTTCAATGAGTTAGCTGACGCTCCTACCAAACATGTGGACCATCAGGGCTATCCTCAGGAAGACGAGACTAGAACTCCATATGTTTGGAGTCGAAATTGTTTGGGTCGAAACAATTTTATTTCATCTTTAATTTAACAGCATGTTCTAAGTGAAATAGATAAAAATAAAAAAAAGGGACTTGTTGAAGAAAACAATATTGTAGATTTAGGAAATCAAAAAAGGAATTTATAAATTGCATTAATCTCTCATCCTGCATATGCAGAAATGAAAAATTAACAAAAGAAAAATTACAAAATCATTTGTTGTTATATAGTATAGTAAGTACTATCTTATAACTGATGAATTCTGACCTGTATAAGCATTATGAATTAGTAATCATAAAAAATTATACGTGTATATATAGGGTAAAATTAAGATTCAAATCTAAGAGATAAACTTGGAACAACATAACTTCTCCACCATATTTACAATGAAGTAGTTATAAGAAAGTGGCATAAAAGAATTATTCTGGCTAAAAATAAAATGCTTTTATCTTTTGGTTTATTATTTTAAATAATCAACCATTGTGATCAACCAAAAAATTCAAAACTTAACCCCCCCCCCTCAAAATTTGAGGTTTCACGTTTCAGGAAGCATAGAATTCGAAAAACGAATAAAAAATTGTTTGTCCCTCCGCCGTCCGCGCATTTTCTCCGAAACTACAGGACCGATTTTTTTTTCAAATTTTGATATAAAATCAGAGGTCACCCGAGGATGACCCTCCTTCATCGACATTATTATCTGCCTTTTATTTTCAAAATGGCGGCCGAAAAACCTGCATTGCTATAGACTGTAGCGCCTAAACGAATGTAGCGATTTCAATGAAACTTCACTAAAGTCATTTTCTCTACGTCCTTAAAATTTATCTATACAACATACTTCAACGAAAAGAAGCTAAAAAAAAAGTTACGAGGGATGGTAAAATTTAATTCCGAATAACTCAAAAAATATACACTTTTTTGGAGATGCTATATATGGTTTTTTAAAAGTTTACGAAATTTCCTAAAAACCAAAAAAAAAATCATCAAAATCGGACAATTAGGAGCAATGATATGGTCTCTGGTTTTTTTTTTATATGTTCTACTCCAAATGTTATATCCGTTGTTTAGTTTTTAAATTTTGAATGTGTTACTGAAGTAATGCTATTTTTTTTTAGCATATTACTAATGATTAAAAAAAAAAATTGTCCAATAATTGGAATCACCTTTTATTTATTTTTCTTTATAACTAGAAGGTAATGTTACTTTAGATGTATAATTGGAAATAATAAACCATTGTAGAATAATTTGCAGCATTTTTTCATTTGAAATAGTATATTTTAATTTTTCAAATAATCATTGTCCATCAATTCAATTTTTATAATTGAATGTTTTTAATCAGACATTGTGTTATAAAATCAACTATATTTTACAAATTGTTATTTTTTCATGTTTAGGTGGAACATTGGTAAATAGGTTATCTCGGATTTCATTAAATCCTTTTAGAAATTGGGAATATGAGCGCTGGGTTCATAATTGTCGACCTACTGTTGTTCAGTCATCTAAAAATGAGGTAATTTATATTCTTTCAATTTATCTTCTATAAATTTTATGGTCTGTTTAATGTTAAAGCTGTTTATCTTTGCCTTCTTCTTTTGTTTCCAAGTGATTAAACCCTACTTAATTTGAATTTTAGAAGTATAATATGTTTATAATAATACTGTTAAATGTCCATCAAATACTTGTAAATAACTAGGTGTAGGCTATTAAGAATAGAAATTCTTTGGGATTAATATGCATAAATATGTACCTTATGCTATCCATGGAAGTCTTAGGTCCAGTATGAGGCTTAATGTACCCTAATTTTATGACTTGTAATTAGTTCCAGGGCTTATATCTGTTCCTGGGATGTGCAAATATTTAAATTACAGATTAGGCATGGATACGGAATACCAGTAATAGCCAGGCTATTTTATTATTTTTGAAAAGCCAGGGAATTTTCAAAAAATTGATTTAATAACTAATTGAAAAAATGAAATGAAAAGTTATAATTTAGAAAAAATAGATCAAATTTAGAAAAAGCAAATTCCCAAACAATTTTTCTATGATCCGTCCTCATGACTTGGTACATCTTTGATTTCATCTAGTCTTTTTGATTCTCGACTCTATAGTCTGTGAACCAGACCCTTCTACCTTGCACCCTCTCTCCCACTGCATCCATATAAATTGCATATTGTTGTGTTCCTTGTAACTATTTATTAAAAACAAGTGAACGCACTGCCCCAAAATGGCGTCCAAAGATGGTGCTCTGAAGACTTCGACTTGAGTTAGTTTTTTGATCACTGAGAATCAGCATTTGGCTGAATTTCGTCGTAATTGGCCTTTTATTAAAGCTGGATAGTCAGATAATAATAAAACATGAATAAGTATTAAAAAATAATTAGCTTAGGCAATAAAAAACACCAGTAAAGTCAACATGTTAAAAAAAAAAAAATTCTAGTTGAAAATCAAACTTCGTTTGTAACTAAACGGCAAACAATAACGGAAAACATCTTGAAATAAAACATCTGGAGAATATATTTAAACATTGAGAATATATATGTCTTTCAAAAACACTGATAACTTTTTTTAAATATTTGAAGCGGTTTTGTAGAAAATGCCACTTAATCGACGGAAAAGCGGTAATGGCATAGGCGCCTACAGGCCTCTGTCACATCCTCCAGTACTCATAAATGGCATAGTTACAGTGATATAATAACGTTTATGGTTCATAATATTGATTGTATTAACAAAAAAATATTAATGCAATAATTTAATTGTCCAAAAAAATGAAACTTTTTTTAATTCATTTTTTTAAATTTTAGTATTACTTCCTTTATTCTATATGGAGGTCATTTAAGAAGGTGTGTATTGTTAAAATGATATGATTATGATAATAAAACTTAATTCAAGAATGCTTCGCTGAATATCTTGAATTTTTTACTTAACATTTGCAATTTAATGCCTTGTTTTGAACATTTACTGATTCTTAGAAGTAAGTTAAATTGTATATACTTTCCCTGAAATGAGTCATATTAATACTATACTATTAATAATAGTCATATCAAAATGAGGGTAAACGCGAAATCGAATCCAAAAATTGGAAGAATACATTAAGCAAGCGAGAAAGGAATTGCCTAAATCTCGGAAATGAAAACAAGGATCAATATCCATTATATGACTAAATGAATGTATAGTAGACAAATGAACAGACATTTTCAGGAGCTGCTATGAAGGGCGCGAATGCTGGGGTTTAGATGATATTAAGGGGATGATGGCAGTGGTGAAGACCATTTTATCAGGAATCTAGATTACTTCGAAGGTATTGGCTAGTCTTACCTACAGACCTATGGTAGGTCTGCAAAAAATAACACGAAATACTGCGCGTACATAGGCAACAAATGTAAAGAAGTGTTTCTCCACTTTTCAATGTACATTGAATAACATGCCATTAGAAATAGAAATATGATAGGACTGTAGTTTTGTCCCTTTAAAAGCAAGAATATACCAGGAAATGTAATACCCATCCAGATTCATTTCTGTTCAGTGAAGCTCTTTATACTCAAGAATCGTAGAAGCTAGAATAAGAAATATTGTCGATTGCCAGAGTGATATGGATTGAGAAACTCAAATTGCACATTGGTACTATCTTCACTTAAAGGCAGGTTATAAAGAAGTCCACTGAGAAAGGGCCAGAGAGAAAGAGCTCTCTGTGTGCTTAGTGCCTCACACTTTAGATTGTGCAAATATCAACTTGCCTTCCAGAAAAGCTCGTATCTTTTCCTTTTTGATTACTTCAAAGATCTTTTCCAAATCCGCTCAACTGAAGGAGAGCTACTTCGGTATGCAATTTATAGGGTAGGGATGTGGAGGGGGAAGGGAGTGAGAAGAGAAGATGTGCACGGTAGGAGGGTATGTACTAGATTTTGTGATAAACGATTCATTCCCATTTAGATTGTTTTTTCATTCTATATTTAAAAATAAATTGTAAAAGCTCAAAACATGTGAAGCAAATGTAATTTATAACCAATTAACGAATTGAATTATTAGAATAAAGAAAGAAGTAGTTATATGGTATCAAGATTTTTCCTAGTGCTAGCACCTACTAATTAAATTGACTAGAATAAAGATTTTCTTGAAATTATTGATGTAACATTTAATGTATATCTTTAAAAAGAAAGTTAATATCTACTAATCAATATTTTTAATATTGTGACTATAGATTTTTATTGTGCTTATTCTTTTTTTGTTGGGAGTGCAGGGAATTTTAATTAAGGCAGGAAAAAATCTTGGAATCCAACTGACCTACTCGCTTAGATTCGCTGAAACTAAATTTAAAGTTATGTTAATATTTTAATTTTGTTTGCCAGAATAGAACAGAATTTATATCGGTCCTTTTAACAATCAATAAGTATTTACTTTTATTAATTATTAGATATTGGTTCGTGTAATACTCTATTCAATTTGATCATCTGTTGTCAGTAACTCAGTATTAATGGTTTTAGCAGCACGTAATAGATCACACTCTTCTGATCCCACCAAGCACAGAGCATTGTATTCTTTCCATAGCTACTTTCATTTAAGAGGTGGTTTTCCAGGTTAATTGCTGTATTTCATTCAGTTCATGTGGAATCCATTTTCCCATCTTCTAGATCTTTCTTATGGCTTTCAAACTTATAGGGTGGTTGTTTATTTATCAAGTCAAAATTGACACTTTTGGATTTTTTAAATTAATCAAATCACTGTGGTTTACCCAGAGCCTCACCATAAGCTGGTGTGATTTATATGAAATGTATTGTTGTGAGTTGAAAATCATTGCTAACTTTCAAAGAAACAAAATGGTGCCAATAATGCGGTTTAATGTTTACTACATTAGTAACTAGAGCCATCTATAGACAAATCGGTTTCATATATATACACGTTGTAAAGGAGAAATAGGTCTACTAGACGTAGTAGTTCCCTGCACCAAGGTGCCCATATCTATCTCTATTGGATGGAGTCAAAGCTACCAGATGTACTTGAGCAGCATTGCTTGATAATTAAAGAATTTCTTTCGTAATATTTTTAAAAAAACCTTACTTTTTTTTCTATAACTCTTTTTTGTGATATAGGTTTTCAGGCTTTTAAGTCCCTGTTTATTGTTTAAAAATGTGTATTTCTAGAAAGCTGCTGTTCCTGTTTCTGTTTCAACATACCAGTCTAAGAAATCCAATGTTCAGTCTTCAGGGTCTGAAGCCAGTGGATCAGTAGGTTTTTTCTCTTTATTTTAATAATTCATATTTATAATGACATTTTGTACTTTGACTTTTGAGTTAAAAAATAATTTTGACTGTGTCATGGTTGGAGGAGAGGAAATTTAAAATTGATACTGCATAATATATAAAGTTAATAATTAACATGGTATTTTTCAAAATTTCTAAGTCTGATAATTATAAAACAAAGTTGGGTTCTTTATTAACACCTCTTCCTATCTTTGAAATATTAGCGAAATCATTTAACTAACTAGAAAAAATTGCCCTATAGTTGAAAATTAATGTAATGAAATATAACATATATTTTTTTTTTTTAATGTTGGCTTTAAGCACGTCGACCCCTTTGGGTCCATTGTGCGCCAATATTCGCTAGGTCGTCTTATTCAAAACGTTAGTCCTGTCGCTTCCGCGTATCTAAGTAGGCTGGTTGGGTTAACCGACTCAAATCTACTGGGGAGATCCATCTGTTCCTCCCCAAATAACGCCAGTCTCAGCCTTGTAAACTTGTCACATTTGCATATGATGTGAAAAGCTGTTTCATTCTCCTCCTGACAGAATCTGCACAGCGGATTCGTCATTACTCGGAGATTGAACATATGATTATTTAACTTACAGTGACCTGTGTAGATCGCTGTGAGTTTTTTAAGAGCTGCTCTGTCCATGTTCAGTAGCTGTTCACTTCTTTTTTTACATGGGCCTTTAAGGAACAGCTTCGAGTGTCTCTGTTTCTTGTCGGTCCAGTAATTCCTAAATTTGTTCCCATAGATCTCCCTGATCCTGTCCTTGGCAGTACTAAGGCTGATTCCACAGACAGGCTCGGGAGTTATAGGAATAGTATCTGAGCCCAACCTGGCTTGCTCATCAGCCATCTCGTTGCCCGGTATGCCAGAATGGCCTGGCACCCACTCCACTGCAACTCTGTTGTGCTCAGTTAGCTCGTTAAGTGCTCTATTGCATTCCTTAACGACCTTTGAATAAGCATAATAATTGTCAAGAGCACCTATTGCTGCCTGACTGTCATTAAAGATGGTGATCTTTTTCTCAGTCACATTGGTTTGCAGTAGGTTTTGTACACAGTGGCAGATTGCCAGTATCTCGGATTGAAACACTGAAGCATACCTGCCAAGTGGTATAGAAATTTTTTCTTTTATATCTTTGCGATAGATGCCTGCTCCAGAGCCGAAGGCTGTTAGAGAGCCATCTGTGTAGCAATTTATTCCACTATTTGGTTTATGACTTCTGCTGCTATCTATCTCAACCTTATATTTTCGGTCCTGATATTCTCGGATTAGAGTGTCAGAGTGCATAGCTAGCACTCTTTCACTTCCAATCCTGTTCAGCAGTGTTGTGTGTCCTCCCTGACAGGGGACTGTTGAACAGTAAGTTGACTTGCTTATCCTGTACAGTGTAATTGTTGCCCGAGCCTCCACCTCCAGCTGCAGCGGGGGCATGCCGAGCATCACCTCCATAGCAGCCGTCGGTGTCGTGCTCATTGCGCCTGTTATCATTATACAAGCAAGCCTTTGAATCTTTCCTAATAAGGATAAGTTGGCTACAGTCTTTGCTTTGTGCCACCATAGCAAAGCTGAGTAACATATATTAATTTAATTTCATTATATAAACAACTTTTAAAAGCGACTACGCTTTCGATAAATTTTTGTTTTACGCTTTAGTTCATGCTCCTCTAACAGAGCGAAGAGCTTTAAGTATAGCTGCCCATGCGAGATAAATGAATTGCGGTGCAAAACGTGAACGTGTGAAAATAGTCTAAAGGTGCTATTTCGCTGGGGCTGTCCACGACCACGACTGCTCGCGGTTGACCACTGCTTTAGTGGAATAGAAAGGAACTTATTTCGCTGACGCTGCTCGGCATTCTAGGTGTGACGTCATATCTAAGCTGCTCCTATCTGACCGCTCCTGAAGCAGTGGAGCTGTTGGCGGTTCGACGGTTGTAGGTTATGTTATCATATCAGAGCATTGTTTTGATGATAACAGTCATGTCGATACGTTTTATTTCCTATGTTTCTTTCAAGTCTGGCAAAATTATATCAGATATTGTTTAAAACTGAAACAATGCATTAGTAAATTGTTTTTTTAAGGTTGAAGATTATTTATTTATTTATTCCACCAGCAATATTTTACAGCGAAATACAAATATATCTAAATCCAAACGATATTAAATAAATAAATAGAAGAATCCAACAAATTTTATCGTCAGGTAAATACTAAAATCCACCCATTGAAAAATCGATTTGTATTTTTTAATTAAAGTGGTGATTTACTGATCACTATTGATAAAACTATAAAACATCACCTGCTAGGATTTAATTACAAATATATGATATTTATTACTAATCAATTATGTATTAATTACTATTACTTTTCAAACTAATAATATCTAATATCAGAGGGACTATTGTTGTTAGTACAGCATTTCCGTCTTTTTGTTCTTTTTTGATTGTTCATTTAGACAATAGCAAACAATGTCCAAGAAGGGATTTGAAGATGAGCATCACATCGAAATACTGATATTCCTTCTCTTTGTGAACATTTTCTCTTCTTTTTCCTCCTCAAATAAAAAGCGGTAGTCAGAGATGTTCATTATTATAGGATTATAGGATGTTCATTTTAGCGGTCGCTGTTGTGGACCGCGGCAGCGAAATGATACCTTAACAGGACTTAAATGCCAAATTTTCAAGATTTCTTTCTCTAAAATAATTTTATTTATTTAAAATAAATTTTGCTTATTTAAAATAATTACCATTACACATTGTAAATAGCATTAAAAAATGGTTAAATATAAACCATGAACAAATTTTATAATTAACCAAAAGAGAAATAAGGACTACTTTTGCTAGCCATATAATCATTTTATAAACATATAAAAAAAATTGGAAACAATGCTTTCACGTATGAAAATAGCTGTTGCTTTAAACTTATTAATAATATGGAAATCTACCATTTTTATAACAGAACAAATATTAGTTTGAAGTTATCTTGTCAAAGTTTTGAATATACAGTTGAATTTGGTAAAAGTTACACTTATAATCTTAAAGTCTGTTAATATACTTTTCTTCACTTAAGTGAGTTGTAGTATATTATTAGCTTTAATAAATTGATTGGTTGCTTAACAATCATTTACAGACATGTACCTTGTTGTTAACTTGTTTCAAGATTATCACCACTATTATATAATAATAACTCCAATTAAATACCTTTGTTAGTTCTAATTTTGTTTCTGTTATTTTTATTGAAGATATTAGAGTACCTTTATTAATGTACTCATAATTTTATTGTTGATAATTTTTATGCAGGTTGTTAAAATAGAGGAAACTATATCAACCCCACCTCCGTTAGTTTCCATCCCAAGTAATAAAAGTAGATCTTCAACTGTCGCTCATGAACCTGCCATGATAGCTTTGGAGCCTTATTATTATGGTATTCTAGAAGGTGATAGTTCAAAGCATAGATATGTGCCATTTTTTACTCAGGTAAAAATCTAAACTATTACATTTAAAACATATTTATATTCTTACAGTTCAATTATGGTAAATAACAGTTGTACTATTAATTATGAAAAGATTAATTTTTGGAGTCCAGATTATTGGGATGCTGTTCGAATTAATTTTAATTATTTATTTTTTTAATGTATTTATTTATTCTATTCATAAACATTATTTAATAATGCTAGATTTCAATGCATGAAAAAAAAAAAAAGACATGTATATGTAATAAAATTATATAATACAAATTTCCTTCATTTCTCTCATAACATTTTTATTTCTAGTGCTACTTGTGCCGCTCTGATTTTAAAAGTGTTTTGAAGTTAACTGATCATCTCATTCTCCATGCTTTAAACAAAGATCTTGAAGCAGTTAGTGATCCAAAAGATATTTGTAAAATTTGTTTGAAAATCAGGCTGCCCGGTAGTAAGCAACATCACATTCAGGTAATGTTTTATTATCAATAATATTATTTTATTTTTCTCTTCATTCTGAGGTTTATTTATAATTCCATTCCATTTGTGTATATTACCATGCAGTTTTTTTTACATGGTTACGTTGAATTTCAATACTGCCATGTTTCGATCTTATTAAGCTGATTAATATTTTAATCTTATAGCGATTTTCAGAAATAATACTGTTCTTTTCTGATTTTGGTTACATTAGAACTATCATGATTCCCAGTTATAGACTGAGCATTAATAATAGGCTTAGTGACAAACAAAAATTGTTAAGCTAGTCAATTTTAGGCTTACTAAATTTCATTACCAAGACTAACAAAAGCCTGCTAAATTTCACTATCAATAACTCAGTTAATCAAAATTAATGATTTTTGCTCTTTTTTTTTTTTTGATTGGTGCTAAGACTGTTATTGATATAAAGTCTTCCATTATTCCATTATAAACTGGTTGGACATGGGTAGAACACTGCTCAGATTTTGTTTCATATTTTAGTTTTTGAAATCACCACAGTATTAATTATTGGTTTATTGCTTTTATGTACTTGCATGCCAAAAGTCTGTTCCAAATAATTTGGATTTTATGTTCAAATGTCGAACAGTCATCTGAGTTGGGCTTAAATTGTAGATCTACAGTTTTGACAGTCATTATGTTTCATTGAAAAAGAAACCCATCTTTCTGAACAAAGCTTAGGATTTTTGTTATTCTCTATGTTTATCTTAGTTTCTGTTTTGTGGATAATTCACAGAAGTTGTTTTGATTCTATAAGTCTCCACCAAATGTATTTTAAGGTTTAGAAAGTCACATTGTAATGTAGGTTTTGGAGTTGCATTTAGTTGTTTCCATATAACTTTCCTTGACATGGCTTTTCTTATTTGTATACAAAAATGTGGGCAGCTTATGAATCAGTGGATTATTTTGTTTTTCAGATTGGTGCAATGGATTTTTATTTTCAGCTTAAATGCGTTTTTTCTTATGTTACAAAATTATTGATTCACTGCATATGTTTACATTTAATTTGCATTTGATTATTTGATCTTATTATCTTTACAGATGTGTCAACCAACCACTATTGGCCTAAGCTGTAGAATTTGTGCTATGAAAATGAAAGACAATGGTTCTCTAATTTATCATATGACCAAGACTCACCATCAGTTAGATATGCCTTATTTTTGTAGTAAATGTAATTACAGAGTTTCTGAGCTTCATATGCTGAATGCACATTTTGCTAAGGTATTTGTTATTTTAAAAAATATTTTGCTAATTTCCTAATTTAGATTAATTGATTTAAATAACATTTCTTTTTTAGGCTCACTTCAATGCAACTAGTGGCATGTGCCCATTTTGCTTGAAAATAGTAGATTTTGCTACTCCATCTGGAGATGATCTCGAGCATAATCAGCTTTTCTTTATTAAACATATTCAGGTAATACGAATATATTTAATTCTTTTTTTACTTTATTATGATTTATTAAATAGAAATAACATATCATTTGACTTGGTATGGTCTATTTCATTTCGTGTAAATGACGAATCTGAAGGTTTAGTGCTTATTACAGAAATAAAATTTTCTTTTATCAGTTGGGATTAAAAGGAAGATTCTAAATTATTCCTCCTGACACCCAATTTTTTGGATTGCATTAGAATATCATTCTTTTAATTTCCTTCTGATGACTAAATAACTCTATTCTGACATATTAATATTAATGTGATTTATTGATTATACCAATTAGTGATTTAGTTGTATTAACCTAACAGTGTTATCTTTCATGATGAATAAAAGAGTTGTAATTACTAATAGTATAGTTTTGTGTTTTAATATTCAAATACTTAACAGTTAGACCTTATTTAAACGTTTTGTGCAAAGAAATGCATTAAGTGCTTTAAAAATTAAACTTGATCAAAGAACTTTTACATGAATACATTTTTTTGAACAAGTCAGTTTGTTATACTTGACCATAATTCTTTATTGTATTAAAAGGTTTTTAGTTTATTCCAAAATCTTTCATGTATTAAAAAAACCCTGATTCAAATCAATGTATTTAAAATGAAAATGAACTTATAAATAAAATAAGTTTGTTTAGTTGAAAATTAGCAAAACTTACTACCCTCACCTCTAATTGGTCTTCAATTTTAATCTTCTTAATAATTATTATTATTAACAATTTATAATTATTTTTAGAGTGATAATTTGTTTTTTTTCAGCGTCATGTTTTGCCTTCATCAAAAAAATGTTCCCGTTGCCTCTTAAATTTCATAAACAAATCACTTCTTGCAGAACATGAGACTGTGATGCATGCTTCCTGCGTTGATAATGGTAAATAGGATAATGATTTGGAAATTTCATTATTATTACTTTTAGGATTTTCAATGACGAATTATATTTTAAAAACAATTAACTTTAGTATTTATAAATATATATATATATATATATATATATATATATATATATATATATATATATATTACGTTAATGCCATTACCTTATATTACATTATATGCATTATTATATTACATTACTGTCATGTTTGTTATAATATATATATTAAAAGTTTATATAGTTTTTAGAATTTTGTACCAATGCTATTAACACGTAAAGCACCTTAGGACAACAAAGGGAAATTTTTCTATGCATCTTTTGAATTTGATTTATACCTATTTGTCAATGAAATTTTGTTTATCTTTCTAACTTTTCTTTATACCCAGATTTCACAAATCAATTTATCAGTCTGTCTCTGAGTAGCATATTTAAAGGAAAAAAAAAAATCTATTAATAAGTATTTGTTAATATTGTGACAAAAGATTATAATAAAAACGCAATAGCATTTCACTTTTTTTTTTTTTTCAGTTTCTTATTTTGGATGGAGGAACAGAGAATTTTATTTAAGATAAAGAAAAGTCAGTTTTCTTATTATTTTTTTAAAAATGATTATTAATCATTATGAGTGCTGAACCAAAAAGAAATTCGCCTCACAAAAAATAAAATAAATAATATTAGGAGGACCAGAAAGTAATGTTGTTTCTGCTCATGTCACTATTTGATTGTCATTTGACAGCTCATTGTGTACATCTAAGTCGCGGCAAAGACATTCTAAGGTTATAGTGACTTGTTTAGTTGTAAATAATTTAATTAAATCATTTTTTGTCACAATTTTGGGAGAAATTGCCAGCCAAATACCAGAAGAGGTATATATCCGGCAATGCATACTTTTTCAGTTTTGCAAGGGCAGTAACGCAACAGTTGCTACCATCAACATTTGCGATGTTTATCCAAATGCATTTGATGTTTACTAATGCCAAGGGTGGTTTTCAAAGTTGAAATCTGTTAATTTTGATCTTTCTGACTCATATCAATCAGTAGGAAGACATTAGACAATGACTTGTGAGCTGAAGTGGAAGCAAATCCATGTCACAAAATCGAGGAATTGTCAATCAGTCTTAACCAACCTTGGTCAACTATCCAAGAACATATGGAGCAGATTGGAAAACCATCAAATGCAAGTTATTCCTTAGAAGTGTGTTTTGATTTCTTGATCACTGGAGATGAAAAATGTATCCTCTATGATAATCCAAAATACAAAAGGCAGTGGCACTCCAAATGAATAATGTTAAGCAAGCCAGATTTAAACCAAATTTAAGCTAGGGTCCCAAGAAAACCCTTTTGTGAAGTATTTCACGGCTTTAATCATTTTGAAATGCTGAAATCTAGACAAACTGTGAATGCAGACCTTTACTGTGAACAATTGGACCTTGTAAATCAATCTTTAATTGAAAAGTGGCCAGCGATTGTCAACAGGAAAGGCATTATTCTGCAAGACAATAATGCTTGACAAACTCTGCAAAAAATCAATGAATTGGGGTAAGAGGTACTGCCTCACCCACCATACGATTTTCATTTATTCCGATCACTTCAATGCTTTCTGAGTGAGAAAAGATTTGCAAATCGGGATGATATCCAAAATGCCATCTCTAGATATTCTGTTAAAAAATGATTTTTATTGATCTGGCATCGAAAATTGTGCACGAGATGGTGAAAAGCTGTTGAAAATGAGATTGATTATATCATTGATTAAACATAAAAACTCATTAAAAATTTATGTGTGCTGTTCCGAGCATCACTTCTTTGAATTAGTGGGCAGAGCAAGAAGCTATCTGAGGCATTGAAACTGATAAGAATACTAAAGAGGCCTAAAAACTAACATTGTGTTCCTTACTGATGCAGCATCAGTATTACAATCACTCAGGTCGAAGTGGAGCAAAAACCTGAGAAAACTTGCTAAAGATCTTGAAGACTTGAGGTCCTTTCACAAGAAAGTTGTCCTGCAATGGATTTCTGGACACTGCAGCCTCTCTGGAAATGAAAGGGCAGACCAGCTGGCAAAGAAGGGGGCGTTGAGTCCGTAATTTGATTTTAAGATCAGCCTAGACAAACTAAAAACAATCAATAAAGCTATTATTAACCAACGTTGGCTCAGAAGTCATCTACTTCACGACCCCAGAGATGCCATCTACGGACTGATTCGACGAGATCAGGTCTTGATCTTTCGCTTACGAATGGGGCACAACAGGCTCAAAGCTCACCTATTCCGTAAGTTCAAAATTGGTCTGGTGAAATGGTCAAATTCAAAATCTACAAGTGCGGTGAGGATGTACAGAATGTGGGACATACACTACAAACATGCAGGGTCTGCTCCAGCAAAGGAAGGTGATCTGGCCCTCTCGGGGAGGAAACTAAATGTGGAAAGGAAACTATATGGAAGCCTGGTGGACCTTAGGAGGACTACCGAATTCTTCATTTTAGTTCTTGACCTAGTCATATAAGAAAGAATGAAGAAGAATGTATGTGTATGAATTTAATGTAAGAAAACAACATTACTTTGTGATCCCTTAAATATTAATAAAATTAACGATGAATTATAATTAAACCACACTTATCATTAAAATGTCATGAAAGAAAATTTTAATCTATAAAATTTACATAATGACTTCTCTATAATTAATTTTAATTTAGTGAAAAATTTCTCACTAGTTATTATAACTTATCAAAGACCAAGATTCTTTAGGAGAATAATTTCTGTTAATTACTTGAACTCGATATTGAAACAATATAAAAATTGTGAAGTTTAACTGAATAATGTTATCTTCTTTTCAAATATTTGCTTTGTTTAATCAAGCCTTAATTAGGCAAATAACTGCTCTGTGGTATTAAATAAATTTGTTGTTTTGGAAGTATCATTGCCAGATGATATTAGGAATTTAGATGTTAAGTGTAACTATTGATTTATGTATGTATATTTTTTCAGACGATGTAATGAGATACTTGGTTGACAATCCAATACTTATGCCTGCTCCTATAGCTGAACCCCCACTTGTTCATCGACTGCAACCAATGGACATGAAACCAGCTTCTCAGTTAAAAGGAATCAGTACGGTCTCTCTAAGAGTCTCTGCTTTCATTCCAACACCTGATGTTTGCTGTCATGAATGCGAATCTCCAGTTACTTCTGATCACTTTTCGTAAATATTTTAATTGTTATTTTTATATAAACTTTAATTATTCTGAAACATGTCCCATTTTTATCATATTATAATTATTCCTTATAAGAAATGCCCACGAATGGTGTATATTATTGAATATTTAATAGTTGACCATTGCATTATAAAGGAAGGAGATGGTCGGGGCAGTCATAAATAGGCTAAATAGTGTTAAAACTATTTTATTGAAAGCCGATGTCTCGACCCGACGGTCTTCTTTGCAGGTCTTCTTCAGGGCTAGAACGGATAAGATACAAAAAGATAGAGAATTGTGGCAGTTACATATTATTTAGACAAAATTTATAAACAATGTGAATAAGCTTATTAAAATTATAAACAATAAGTACATTAAAATATGAACTAAGCTAAGTAACAAGATCCTAAACTGAAGTAAATAGATGCTAACAATTGTTGTAGTGTAATATATAATAAATGCAAATGTGAGTATACTTCTACAGATCTACAGGAGAGATTGAAAGAAAAGGAAAAAGGATATAATATGAAATAATAGACGTAAAGAAATGTGGAGAAAGAAAACCAAAAATTAAGTAAATAAATGGAAGAATAAAATTAGAGACTTACAGGTGTGTTCAGCTAGGAGTTTTCCTTAGCACTGGAAAACCAAGGGTAAGGACAGGTATAGGGAAAGCTGACTTGTTTGGGTAATGGGGAAAAACCTAGGAAATTAGAGTATCTAAATTATGAAGATATGGATGGATACTATGGAAAAATACTATATCTATGAAATATTTAATTATAAATATATACATATACATATAAAATGGAATTGAGAGATTATAGATAAGAGTACAATGTGAATAAACCCAAAATTGGCAAAAGTAAAAAATAAATATAGAAATAACTTCATTTACATACATACATTACAGAACTAACTTAAAAGTATAGAGAGGGAAAAAATTAATAATTATAATTATATTTGGTTTTACATATGTAAGAAAATTACATTTGAATATTAGATAATATTGAGACATGGTTAATAAGTAAAATGAATATAAAGTGGAAAAAGGATGATCATACATTGATGTAGAGTGCAAATATAAATTTAGAATAAAATAAAAGAGAGATCATACAGAGAGGAAATATTTAGAATAATGAACAATTAAATGAATAATCAATAAAAATTTAGAGTAGATAAAAATATAAATAATATAATATATAAGTTATTTTTCACTTATAAGATTTAAAATGTGTCTACATGTTAAAGAAATAAGTTTTTGTCTACTTTATGATTTACAGGATTCTGTTCTATGTGAATGTGGATAGATTCGGAAATGAGTCTTTTTTCATGGTTAGGGACCGTGGCAAGGATAGAGGTTTTTTCAAAATCAAATGAGTGGTTGAGGGTTAAGGCATGTTCTGATAGTTTGGAGGCGGAAGGATTCCGGGAAGTTATGGATGTTTTATGTTGGGAAATGCGGGTTTTGAGATGGTTTTTGGTTTCACCAATATAGGAGCTAATACAATTAGGAGTAGAGCAAGGTATCCAGTAAACTACATTGGATCGGTGTTGTAAGAGTATGGGATCCTTCAAGTTGGTGAAAAGGAAAGAAAGTTTGTTATGGGACTTAAGGCCAAGGTGTAAGTTGGTTATAGTCGATTTTAGGAATTTTTGTATATTATCTGAGAGGATAGGAATATAGGGGAGAGATTTGTATATGAAAGGAGTGGTAGATGATTGTGGGAAGTTAGGAGAAGGGGAGGTTGTATTCTTTTTGGTTGTATAGCAGTTTAAAAGTTTAAGTATGATGTTAAGAGGAAAATTATTAGAGAGCAGTATATTTTTGACACGCTGAGTGTTGGCTTGGTGGTATTGTGGATCGGATAAAGAGAGGGATCGGTGAATGAGGTTTTTAGCGGTATTGATTTTTTGGTGATATGGGTGTTGAGAGTAATAGTTGAGTAGTCTGCCTGAGTATGTGGGTTTAATGTACCAGTCAGTAGAAACAAAACCGTCAGTGGTTTTTATTATTAGGAGGTCTAAGAAGGGGAGCGAATTGTTAACTTCTTTCTCTATAGTGAAACGGAGACGGGGGTGGTAGGAGTTGAATGAGGAAAGAATTTGAGGGATGCTATCAGGGTTAAGAACAAGGAGGAGGTCATCGACATATTTTTTTATTAAAATGATGTCTTGATGAAAAGAAGGGATAACAGAGTCTAGAATGTCATTGAGAACAATATTGGAAATATCTGGTGCTAAATAATTTCCCATGGCTAGGCCAGAAATCTGATAAAAAGAAGTTTCCTTGGAAGGTGAGGAATCCGGATCTGCAACAAAGCTCAAGGGATTCAAGGTATGAGGAGAGGTTAAGGGTGGTGTGAGGTTCGATGATTGTCCAGTTTTTCTGTACAATGTGGAGGGCTTTGTCTATTGGGATGTTGGTAAAAAGGTTTTCGGCATCTAGGGAAACAAGGATGAAGTTGTCAGGAATATGGAGAGAAGATAACTCTTCTTTAAGGTGGAACGAATTATGAATGTCGTAAGGATTATTGTGACCAAGCTTTTGGAGAGAGGGTAAAAGGAATTTGCTGAGTTTAGCTGAGGGGGCGTTAATATTGGAGATGATATAGCAGAGGGGATTTCCAGATGTATATTATTGTTGGTTGGTTGCAGTCACAATAGAATACACACACAAAAAAATAATATTTTGTACCAATGTTTCACCCTACATTTCAAACCTTCTTCAGAACTAAGAAAAGACAAGATAACAACCAAACAAAACATATTACCAAGAAAATAAAAAGTTAAAATTTTATGAAAAGAATGTTATCTGCTGATTATTACCAAGAAGTGAATAAAAATATGTTTTATAAGATAATATGTAGTAAATACCCTTAAGTAATATACAGTACATGTATATCTTTAATTTATCTTTCACAACATAATTTTTATTTACTGCTTGGTATTTATTTATTATGATATATATGCTGTTTTGTATTTTTTATCTTATCTTTTCTTACCCCTGATAGAGAAATTAAATTCAAGCCAAAATACTAGCACAAATTAATAATTCTTTTGTTTCTGTATTTCAATATTATTGCAAATTTATTATTTACAATCAACTATTTATTATATTGTTAAAATATACAATAAAAAAGTAGATTTGTTAATCTTGAAAAGAATTTTCTATTTTTATGTCCAATTTAATTTTTTTTTTTTTGGAATAATACAAAGCACAGGTACAAAATAAAAAATCAATCTTTTTCTGTTTACAGAAATTTCTTGATGTGCAATAAATGTTCCTATCGGACGTGTTGTCCTCATGCGATAGCCGAACACGTTTCTCAAATGCATCCGCCCTATCCTCTTTCTAGTCCTGTCTATATTGGAATGAAGGTTACAGTCAGCAATAAGATGTTCTGCACTTCATGCTTATTCTCTTGCAGAGATGGCAATGTTATGAGTAAGACAATGTTATTTAAAACAGTTTATTTATTATAAAATTCTTTAAATTTAAAAACTGTAATTTGAGCAGATCTTTGTTACATAAATGAAAAGCCGTTATATTTTAATAATTTAATACCAGAAATGTGTTAAATTACTTTCCATTAACAGCTCATTCAGAATTAAAAGAAAAACTTCATTATTTTACAAATTGAGTGTGTTGTATAATAAATATTTATAAGTATCAGTAGAATATAGACCTTTTTCGTCTCAATAATTAAAATACTTTATTTTGAATTAATCCAAATTTTCGCCTCTTCAAGGATAAAATCTACTTTTACAATACATTGTGAACTTTCATGTGAAAATATTATGTACAAAAAAATTTTCAGAAGATTTACTATTAGACATTAGCCCATTTATAAAACTCACGATAACATTAAAAACAAATATTAACAAGTCATCAATATGTTTATAAAAAAAAAAAACTTTCTTGCTTATAGCAGTGCACCATCTTGCACACCTAATCACATTACATAATAGAAGATGTCTGACGAGGTGAAAATTTGAATAAATTTAAAATAAAGTATTTTAATTATTGAGACTAAAAAGGCCTTTTTTCTACTGATAATAAATATTGCTCAACTCAGAAGATCATATTCCTGTTATTATTAAATCTGACTATAAATAACAACAACAATAACTGTATATTGAGAAGTAAAAAAAACTGAAGTATTTTTATTTTTAGCTTAAAGTAGATATCTAGGAAATATACATAAAAATTCATATCTCGTACTCTTTGTACTCGTAGTTTTTAAAATATCGAGGTATTCTAATTGAATAATGTTTCTAAAATATATATATGTGTTCCAATAAAAGAAATTTTATATATATATATATATATATATATATATATATATATATATATATATATATAATTCTTAAATATTAATTAAAGCAGAATACTAATCTCTCGATACCTTAATATGATTAATTCTAACAAAATTTTTTAAGTGAAATGATTACTTAATTTAAATTTAAAAAGTTATAAATATCAAATATTTTTACTTTCCCACTACTACTACATAAAGAAAGTACTGTATGTATTCAGGTAAAAACTTTTAAATATATTTTAGGTACACACTTGGTTACTTGCGGAGATGGAGTTTGTATTCTTGGACGTAGGCGATCTATAATTAAAACAGAAGAAATAGAGCCTCTTCCGATTGTTACACCTGGTTAGTAATTTATTATATTTATATTTATGAAATCAGGATAATTACAATATTGTATCTATAAGGAAGCCAAAGTTTTTTTTTTTCAAGTATTTCTATTACATAGAAAATAATTTATAAGATATTGTCTGTTTTACTTTAATTCTATTGCCAATCATTTCATTTAATTATTTTTCCTTTTCAAAATATTTTTTGGGCTTATCCTGAAGTTTTTATTTCTTCCAATGATCCTAAAAAATATTATAAAATGAGATTTCCTTAGATAGTTTATTTTCCAGATGAGTTAGTAATTTATGCAACTCAATATGGCAGCTTACTGTACTTTATTATTGTAGACACAAATTACTCCATTTCTATTTTATAATATCAGTTTCTATTCCTTAACAGCTGCATTTTGGCGATCAAGTTGGGTACAATCAATTGTATTAAAGGAATTGTTGGTTTTTTACTTTCACTTACCTATATTTGAAATATATAGTTAATGAAAGTATTGAGATCGTGAAAATTTTTGTTTCTTAGTTTACAGCGGCAAAACACGGTTTGAGGTCTCCTAAATCCAAATAACCAAGTCCTGCAAAATGATCTGTGTGTGTTTGTGTTAACAGTCTAGCTAAAAAACGAATTCATAATGAAATTGCATATCTAAAGTTTTTATATGCCTGGGATGTTACAACTTTTTCGTCAAAAGCGGCTAACAGGAAGTGGCGCTTTATATCATCGATTTAACACATTTTTATGATTTTCTTGAAAACAGCTCTAACAATTTTGATTAAATTCATTACATCAGTGTAAAATTAAGGAGCTTTTATTATATTGCAGGTTATTCTCATTGATGTTCTCTAACAGGGCTTAAATGGCTAATTTTAAATATTAGCTTCCCCTAAAGTAGTGTTATATTAAGCTCATGTGACGTATGGAAGCCTGTTCAGGCGAGTATAGCTTCCCCTTTAATTTTGTTTATTTGAAACAATTAACCATTTTACATTAATCTCTGATATAAACAATAGTTAAATATGAAAGAATTTGATTATTAACTAAAAGAGAAATAAGAGATCGTAATGGAGAATAGTTGTAATACAGTAATCAAAAGAAATACAAGCTCGTCCAAGCTCGCCTGAAAGACTAGAACAGGCTTCCATACATTACATGAGCTTAATATAACACTGCTGTATATTGATATTGTGAAAACAGCCTCATTCCATGTTTTTTGGTTTGAGAAATTCGAATTTTCACAAAAAAAAAATCATCAGTTAGCTCTTGTTTCAAAGATATAGTTATTTTTTGCGTAACATAGAGAAATTTCCTGCTCCTGAGTTGGTAGGATTGATTTATGTCTGTGAATTACGGGAAACGACTAGTTGTGAATCACAGGACCATTTCGCGGACAGTAGTATACAGTGTTTACATTTCAAGTTACTCTTTTCAATACCACATGGGGACGAATTGCCTTTTCCAAGGCCTCCTGAACAATATGACTTGAATGAAGATGAGGATAATGAAGAGGAAAATCCTCTAGTAGAAACCCCATTAGATGATTCTGATTTTTCTTTTGAACAAGAAGAATGAAAATCTCACTTGCTTATTCAAGCTGAACTCAGTGTCTTGATTCAGGGCCTGGATCTGCCCAAAGAGAAAGCAGAACTTTTGGGTTCAAGATTGGGTTCAAGGTTAATGGAACTTCTTACAACCTGGTGTAAAGATTATAATGTACAGAAATTGTCAGTTTTTCAGTTGTCAGACTTTTCTCCAACAGATCTATATTTTCTAAAGGTCTTTTAATTATGAAAAATATGCTTTTGGTATGGTTAGTAAGTAAGCTATAAACCTATTCCATGGAATAATTTGAATAAGTTGAATTAGTGTATTATATATTGTAGATGATCTAAGATAGAAAAAAAAAATTAAATCCTTAATGAATGTTTTCTTATGATTTAAATTATATATGTTTGTTAATTGAATTGAAATTTCAATGTTTAATTGTTGCTAGAAATTAAATTTACCTAAAGAAGTTATGTTGTAGCACGGAAAAGAGGCAGAAAAACACCTAAGGCCAAAGAAGAAAAACCAAAAACCATCCTCAATCTTTTGGGTCTTGTTAGAAAGGAAGATGATCCTTCTGGAGCTGTTGTAGAGGCAAGATTATTTTTTGTTTTCATATCCTATGTTTCATTATTACTCAATAATTTTATTTTTATTTTTCTTAGAGTGAGGAATCTAGCATTAAAGATATGTCCCAAGCTTCAACAACAGCTGAAGAAAACGTTCAAGTTACCGCTCCTGAAGATGATGATTGTATGGAAATTGATTAATAAATAGATTAGATTAAATAATTACAATGTTTATTTTAACATTACTTTTATTTCTAAATTATGTACAAATATTAAATTATTTTATTTCTTTATAAATATATTAAGAATTATACTGAATGGAGACTATCTCAAAAAATTATTAGTATTGTTCCTTTGTTAAAAATGTATTATTTTAATACATTCTATATTTCCTATATATGTTATTTTACGTCTATTTGTATAAATTTTGATAATTATATAAGTATTTTTAAATAACAGTATTTGTTTGTTTATTTTTTATTTCAACTACTGTGGTTATTTTAAAACCTTCCAAAGTATTGTACAGAAAACTTTATAAATTAGATTTATATTTAATGGAAAAAAAAAAGAAAGATGTGAAAATTTATGAATTTATGAAACGCTATCAGACTGAATATAATGTACTTAGTTATAATTTTGAACTCATTGAAATCAGAATGGATTTAAAAAACTAATCTAAAAATGTCAATTATGCTTTAAAAAAAAGAAATTAATTGTGCCTTATGACCTGCTTATGTCTTTTCAAATTATAGAAAAGTAAGTTTGAGTCTTTGTTTGAAAAAAAAAAAATGAAAAACTAATGTAAGACTATGTGTTTTTCATACAGTATTGATATAAAATAAATTTTAAAAAAAGGAAGAATTGAGTTCTAAACTTGGCACTGTTGAAGATGAAAATTTCACATTTTCCATCCAAGAAAAAGATCTATTGGTGAACACTTATTATCTAATTAAGGCCAATGATACAATTTTTGGTTTTGACCCCTAATTTTGCTGGAGGAGAATTGAGTTGGGGTCATGGTTGATGCACACCGAGTGTTCCCAACCACATGGTGGTTTTAAAGCCAATTCATTTAGTGGTTCTGACTGCCTCCTGAGTCAGTTTTGACTGTTTTTAGATTTATTACATCTTTTTATAATTGATATATTAAATAAAATTACATAATTTAAAAAAAAACATTTTTTTTTTAGCCAGCCTTAAAACAAGCAACTTTATGTCTACATAGAAAGATTAATTGCTGTACATCTTCATGTTAGTGCAAGACATAAGAAATGCATCTTCATGTTAGTGCAAGACATAAGAAATGCAACAATTCCTGTCTCATTGAAGCAAAGATAATTATATCACAGTGATAATCAAGTGTGTGCCAAATGAAAAATTGGAAAGTTTAGAGCATTTATCTCATAAGCCCTAAGAGATTTGAAAGGAGCTTTTCATATTTTTTTTAGTCTAGTATGAAGATTCCATATTTTCTATACATATTCAGGGGAACAACCAACTAGCCTAGCAAGTCTAGGCAGCTTCCACCACATGGCTCTTTCTTATGCTGCAGCAATCAAGTTCCTGGTTTTCAGCAAGCTCCTCACATTAAGGTACACCTCTTCCTTCATTACCTTCTAGGGATGTTTGAGTCACCCATTGCACCACATGTCCAGCCCAATGAAGTCGCACCCAGCTTTATAACCTGTACAATGTTGGTATTATAGAATCTTTTTTTTTTTTTGTCCAGAACTCTCCATCTCTTCTTGCTACCAATATTCACTGAGCACTTCTCTCAAAAATCAGTATTCTGTTCCATCTTGATGGTGGTAGATTTTTGTACTAGAGAAGAGATTTTAAGCCCTAAAATGCATGGACAGGCCATGGAAGCATCTATTAGCAGTATTGATCTGCCTACTGATATCCTGAGATATATTGTTCCTAGTGTTGATCTCAGATTCTAAGTACACAAAAGTCTCCACTTTCAGGAACTTATAGTGGCCAATGTATAGGCCACTTTAATAAAATAAAAGGACTGTGATATGGTTTCCACCATCACCTGCTTACATATATTTAGTTTTCTGCTCATTAACTGTGAGGGCAAGTTTTCTAGCAGCTGTTTCAAAAGCTGTCACATCATCAGTATAATCCACCAGCTGTACAGTTCTATTATTTATAGTATGGATTAATTCCTGAGTAGGGGATCTATGGTACAGGAATTGTAACATTATCATATTTATTCATTTTTTTGTTCTTCCCTACCTCGCCCTTTTTGGTTTACGGGGGTTTCCCAGGCCAGAGGTTAAGGACAAGAGATTAATGCTATAGTTAAAAGAGGATGAATTTAATAATGTAATATAAAAAAAATTACCCTGACCAGCACTAGCGAATTCTGCCAGGGAGGGAACCCGCCTTCCTTAAATGGAAAAAAGTGACAATAAATACCTATTTCATACTTCATTATTCATATTCAGAGAAAATTCAATCTCATTCACGAATTTCCTAATGTATTATAAAAAAAAATTATCATGACCAGCACTGGCGAATTCTGCAAGGGGGCGCGCCCTCCATTGGATGGTGAAAAAAAGACGAAAAAACACCCGTATAAAGAAAAATGTTTCCCTGTCCTGAGCAGCACTAGCGGATCCAGCATTTAATTTTGGGGAGGGGGGCTTCAGCCCGAAACCTTTTTTTTTTTTCATAAAAATAACGATAATTACTTTGGAAAAACAGAAAGAAACTACCTATATGAAATGGTGTTTAAGTTATTCCTTAAGTACTTTTAAATGTAACAACACGAACAATAATACTTTAAGAGGTATTTTTTAAATTCTTTTCCCATAAAACATGATTATATTTTTCCATTTTTGGGGGGGGCTTCAGCCCGAAAGCCGAAAGCAGTTTCTAATTGCATAGATTCTGGCATTAGCACTTACTCCATTTTCCATCTCAGTTTCGGTCTGCCCCACTTTTCTTTTTCCACTCAGCAGCTTCTTTGGGATTGAGGTCTCGTCTATCCTTACAACTTGGTCCTCCCAGCTCAACCTTATTATCCGAATATATTTCACCACATGCTTCTCCTGGTGTAAGTTAACTAGTTCTTGGTTGCGTCTAATTCTCCATTCACTATTATTCTCCTTAACTGGGCCAAATATCCTCCGAAGGACCTTCCTTTCGAAAACTAATATTTTAAGCAGCTGTTTAATGAAAAGAGAAACATACGGAAAAGTCATCCTCATAGACGAGTTTTCTAATTTAATATATACAAAAAAATTACTATCGTGACCAGTACTAGTTAATTCTGCAAGGGGACGACCTTCCCCCTGGATGGTGGACAAAAAGTTCCAAAAACCAGCTATTTGAAGGAAAGAGTGATGTAGTTTTTGGGCCGCCGTGAGATGCGAAGGCTTATGCTCCTGTCGCAGTTGACTCCGAACTGACTCTCGCATGTAAAATACATGATGGAGGAAAATTTATAAAAAAAAAAAAAAATTAACTTCATTTATTCCTTCGAACACAAGGAAATACGGGTTTTCTCCTGGACCCAATTTTTATTCATTTCCAATAGATCTAGCCGCATTTCAACCTCCAGCTACTGTCGTCTCCTTGAAGAATTCATCTGGTTCATAAAACTGGTCAAAATAATAATTTATATATTTCTCATTAAAAAGTGTAGTTCTTTTCTTAAAATAGCTGCTGTGGGGAAAGTTTTCATGAAGGGAGGTACTACTTATTTGGTCTCCGATTTTATCGGAATCGGAAATTATTCTAATTTCTTTTTTCTTAGAGAACTCATTTCCAAGCTGCAGGACCATTTATAGTAATCTTTCTCAGATTTTGACAATGTGGGTATAATTTAGCGTTCATTGACCGTGGTTATCGACCATATCACTTAATAAAATTATTCAGTTTGCACTCGTTCTGCGCACAATTTGGCGTTCTTTAATTTCTTAAAAAATATGTTTTTCCGCTTTGATGCACTTTTTATTACTAATACATGAAAAAAAAATCTGGTGTGTCCACTCACACGACTTTCCTACCTATTTCAGAAAAGTTTTTATATCTTTAAATATGTTCATGAAGAAACAGAAAAGAATTGAACTACATTTACTTTCCAGAAAAATGATCAAACAAAAATTTGAGTACAATTTATTAGATAAACTAAGGCAATGAAACCGGCTTAATGTAGTTCGGTGTAAAAATTTCGATATTCACTAATATTGCTGATCAAAAACTTTTTGCTATAGCTTAGTATTTTCAAACAATAATTTCTGTTAAAAGTAGAGGAAATAGTGAAGATTTTGTGATGCGGGCTACAGTAAACTCGTAATCTTTCATTGGAAATTGAATAGCTGTAACTTCGTTAATAGTTGTCCAAAATGAACGATTTTTATATGGCTTTGTTTATTTGGCAAGCTATTGCGCATGGAGCACCGAATTTCTGTCACAGGCATCGGTAGTCAAAACGCAACAAAATAAAAAAAGAAGCAACGAAATCGGTTCAGTAGTTCCCGAGAAAATCTTGGCACAGACAGAGAGACAATTGGCTGAAAATGTATTTTTCGGACTCAGGGAGCCATGAAACGTATAGATCCGTCGAAAACCGCATGTCTGAAATTTGATCCGATTGCAATACTTTCCTTACCTAGTATAGGTAGGAAACTAAAAAAGATCAGATAAATCTGGATTTTTTGGCTGTAAAAAGTTTTCTTTTGATGATCCGTGTTAGCAATTTAGTTTTTACATGTCTAAACCCATACACAGGGTGTCTCGCAAGTAGAGGGAAATATTTTAAGGAGTTATAGCAGAACTCAATAAATACAAAAAAGTTTATATAAACAATAGTTTGATTTTCAGCAGGAAAGTAGGGAATTAAAGTTTTGTGATTTTTTATGTAAGTCACGGTTTTTACTGAATAGGAAGTGATAACAAAATAAAATATTTAATTCAAGTAACTAACGATTGCTTCACTGTAAACTAGACAAAATTTACTTTAAATAAAAATAGTTGAAGAAAAGAATGGTTGGGGTGATCAGTCAAAATAAAAATAAATAATTATATAATGCCTCTATAATTATTTATTTTTACTATTTTTATTTTGACTGATCACCGCAACCACCCTTCTCTAAAATTATTCACTGCAGTCAACCATCAACCCAAAATTATTAAATAAAAATAGAGATCGCTTTTGTTAAAACCATTTAAAGAGGACTTTTGATCAGCTAAACTCAGCAAAGGAGTGGGGGGGGGGGAGATGAGTAGTGTTGGGGAAAGCACTTGGTACAGAGGTGCTCTCTCCCCCTGAGAAAATTCCTGGATTCGCCACTTAGCGGATTCAGGATTTTATTTTTTGGAGGTAGGGGGCTTCAAAGGGAAAGCTTTTTGTTCCATATACCAAGAAAGGAATGATGGAGGAGTTGCACCTCGCTAGACGAGTAGGAAGGTCGAGGATGAGATGGTTGGACAGCGTGGCCTATGATACGAGAAACGTGCTCGGGGTACGGAACTGGAGAGTTACAACAGAAGACAGAGCCAGCTGGCGGAAGCTCTTGGAGGAGGCCCAGTCTCGGTGACGGGATGTCGCGCCACATATAAATGTATTTACGTGAGAGGAGGAAGGAGGCTTCAACCCGAAAGCCTCCCCCCGTAGATACGTCTGTGCTCTATTGATTCCGATACAATAAGTTATTCACTAAAAACGCAATGTTGTCATAAGCGTATAAGATAATTTCAATATGAGCTCCGATTTCTTAAAGTGATACAGGAAGCTCAGAAAACTTACTAGCACTATCTACAATTTCTGACGATTCACCAGATTATAACTTGCCTATATTTTTGAGTATTAATTGTCAAAATTTTATTTATTAAGTACGGTAAAGCGAGGAAACTTCACACTTCGAAGTAGGTATCATTTATCCAAAACTCGGTACATTTATTTCTTTCCTGTCTACTTTCTGTTGCGAAATTGTATGTATGGCCATGGGAAGAAATCTGTGGATCCAGGGAACCATTAGCGACCATTCAATCATTAGCGAGCATTCAGAGAGGTCAATGAGGGACCTTGGGTCAAAATTGAAGAATTATTTTTCATATTATGTTTGAAATGAAATCTAATATTCAACAATTATGAAGATATGATATTGGGTATTATGAGGTATATTTCCTCTTCTTCATAACAGAATAATTGACACTGAAATAATAGTAGACATGTGACAGTGCAACAGACAGATCTGTCACATATGATAATACAATTTTTATCGGAAGGGGCAGAGGTGCCCAGAAGGGGATTTCATGGCGCAAGTTGCGCCATCAAAATTTTTGGGAGGGGCACATTTTGATTGGGTTTTGTATTTTTGAGGGGGGCACATTTCGACAGAATTATGATTATGATGTTTTGGAATGAAAAGTTTCAAACCAGAGATCAAGGAGAAAACATGTAACAGACCGCTGTAAGTTTTATTGTATATGATCTAAGATTTTTTGAAATTCTTCTTTAGCTTGCACTGTTGTTAAGAAGAAGAAAACAATAAAATATTTTAGGAGAGGAGAGGGGGGTATTCTTGCGCCATTGACCTTGTTGGGGCATCACTGGGAAGAGGTTCCCCTCAATCTGCTCTTGCTAACTTATAATTAAGGAGAGCCGCTTAGGAGTCTTCCTGAGAAGATCCGGAAAAATATAGAGATTCAAATGTGACATGTCACTTCTGTCAAAGACGGGAAGGTAACGACTAAAATCAATTAAAGAATGCAATCGAACTATTTAGATTAAACAACAAATTCAATAAAATTTATAACAAATTGTAGCGTACCAGGTATAAAATGGAAGACCATGAAAAACTATCAAGGCTGGAGTTAAAACCTGTAAAAGGTTGTTCTTTAGGCTGGTTTTAAAAGAATGAAATAAGTATGAGATGATTGTCATGGTTTAATGAAGGTCTAATTATTTCTATTAAACCAAAACTAACTAGAGCTAGAGATCGGACAATGTTAATTCATGAAATCGAATAACTTTTGTTGGTAGACATCCCATATTTATCGTTTCTTTTTCATATATTTTTTAAAGACAACTACAGAGAATTTCGAAATTGTTCGTACTTTAAAATTTACGTTTAAAGTACTTTAAAGATTAAGGTATAAATATATTATGTTTAATTGTAATGGAAATTAAAAAATATATTTACTTGAAAATTTTATAAATTGAGAAATGGCGCAATGACATTCAAGATTTCCCAGAATGCTCTTCGCCTGATTTCAGGTGATTGCAGATGTCTTCGTCTTTGTTTTCTTATTGAGATTTCGTTTTGTAAGTGTTTAATACCTTGATTGATCAGTAATTAGTTTAATTTATAATTGGAAATTATTGTTTTTTCATAAGTTTTTAATTTTAGGTACAACTCTTTTATTATATTAACTTTTTTAAGGGACCCTTTGTTTGTTTACAAAGTATAAAAGCCACCTTAGGCCTCGGTGTTGAAGGAAATTATTTTGACAACTTAAGAACATAGTACAATAAAGTGGAACTGTAATCATGATTCATAATACAAGACACAGAATTGAGGTAAATAAATTATTTTCTAGTACTTTTATGGATTTCTTACTTTATTATTTATTTCTGATAACATTTTGTTTTGATTTTGTAATTTTTCCTATGGTTATTTATTATCAAAATAAATGGCAAAAAAAAAGTGAATATAAAAATAATAAAATGAAAGTTATTAGATTCTGCCTGTTGTTTAAATTATTTCTTTTAAAGTATAATGTACTTAAATTGTTTGCTACTGCCATCCTTTTATTGATTTCTGAGATATTTTGTTATAATTAAGATGACAGAAATGTAAAATATTTTGTCTTAAAGGGTTTTTGTTTTCCTGTTATCATTTTCTGTATTATAGTGATAAAGGACTGGATTGATGAAGGTTAAATTATACCAGAATTTTGACAGATATGACATTTGTATTTTTGTTATAATTATTGACATTTAAGTTTTTTGGCACTCTGAAGAAAATAGATATATTAAACATTTTCCTGTTGAAGTTGCCTCGTAAATATTGATTAGTTCAAATTAAGAATTGACTTTAGTTCAAACAAGAATTGGCCTATACAACATATTTATCCCTTTTTAAGTCTCATTCTAGTAAATTTTTTCTATGAGTTTTTTTCCTAATCAGACGCATTTATTTTAACACCGTACCTTTCTAATAAACGATACCATGGTTTCTTGTATAAAAATGCTCGTTGTTTACTTAGTATGTTTATTGTAGATTATTATATTAACCAACTACTTTTCATAACCTATGCACATCTTTATGTTTCCATTTATTGTATGTTATACTTTTATTTTTACAGAAAAATTATATTATTTTACATAAACATTATTGAGCATGTTTTCGTTGGTCTTATGTTACATATACATATATATCTCTCAATTACTTAGCAAACAACTAGCAGATGGGTTGACTTAACTAATCAGCTTGAGAAAAAATAAATAAATATATTTGTGTATATATTTATATATACTTGAGGAAAAAAAAAGTATACAGCAGCACTTTAATTTACTCATGTAATTATTCATGTAGAATATTTTTCCAGTCCTTTCGAGCTTTCTGGTATTTTCTGGCATAAGTTTGTAGCCATTTATTAATATGTAGTAGAAATTCCATAGTTAATTTTTATGATGAAACAAGTGGTTTAAGATATTCATTTTAAGTAACAGAAGATGTTTTCACGGAGAAATATTATTTAAAAGGTCGGTATTCTTTATCTTGTTTAGTAAATGCATTGAGTTCAATTAATTTTATTTTTTGATAAAGCATACCATGATGTTTAATTCATGATCAAAGTATGTAAGTATGTTTATAAACATAATCTAAAAAATAAAGATTATTTAATCTAATACATTTTAGTATGTCAGAACTGAAGGATCTCGATGTTTTTGATTTATTTTTTATCAATAATTAATTTAGGACTCACTAGTTTTTTATCATTAGCCATTTTACATAGAAGAAAAATATTTTAAGATAAGTGATTTATTTTAATATTTGTGTATAGATTTTGATAAGTAGTTCATAGTAAGCTTGTCATTTTATTACTATGAATTATTATATATGATATATGAATAATTTAATGTGTGTAATTAGGGGAAGAATCATAATTGGAAACAAATAATTATTTTAATCCAGCCGATAATGCATTGCGAAGCATTACAACTTGTAGGAGTATTCGGTCCTACAACTGTTCTAATTTTAGGATGCTGCAAGTCTAATCAGCTCTCCTGTTCCACTTCTTTGTTCTCAGTTTTTTTTATGACTCTGGAAGTGAAACTATATTCATCATCTCTTAAATCCTGGGAAACCATCATTCTGAAAGCTGTGTTTTCAAGAGTATTGATATTCAAGAAGCTGACAGAGTACATCTCTGTTTTAGAAACTTAGCAATGCAGATGTGGTCTGTGACTTCTGTTGTCAAAGGCCATGCCGAGCATTTTAAAACAATACTGGTACGCTCTGAAATATTATCACTTAATGTATGTGCATTACTACTTATAGGTGTGTGTTTGTATCATGAGGGTTTTATTTTTTAATATTTTTTATGAACATTCTTTATAAATTTTTTTCATCTATTTCACTTTTAAAAAAATCTATGTATGTTTAAATGGCAGTAAATTTAAGTGGTGTACATTTTACTGTTTTTTAAAATTTGTTTAGCATTAGGAAATACATAAGGCTGTTAATTTAATAGTCATGTTATGTGGTGTAATTGGTTGGAAAATACAGTATATTTTATCATATCATAGGCAAGGTTTTGTAAGTGACTGTATTTTATTTGGAAAATAAAAAACAAAACTATCCCTTTTACTTAAAATTTCAAGTGTTTAAATATAATATCCTGAAAATATCAATATACTACCTTATCATTTCTGAGTCCTAACTGGCGCTGGTTTAAATTTGTTCTGGATGGGTTGAAATTTGTTTTGTGGTGAATTTGTAAATTGTGGTTTTGCCTATGGAACAATTACGTATGTATCTCATTCAATAATATTGATCAGTTAAGGGAAGTTTTAGTAAATCTTCGTCAAGCAATGTTAATTTAATAAAGTGTCCAGTTTATTCATTATATTTATTATTTTATTTTATATGATTTAAGCAATGGAATTATTTGAAGTTAATAGATAGAGTCTTTATGACATTTGGAATGTGCAATTTGTCCTCATTTAAATTTTTTGGATAATTATTGTACTCTATTTATTATGTTCTTTTATATGATTTAATAAATGGAATTAATTGACTGTTTATGGCATTTGGAGTATATAATTTAATTTTTGGATCGATTATTGTATCCTCTAATGGTGACAAATAATGCTATCAATTGATATCTCCAACTTTCAATTCCTGGAAGCAAACAATGCTATCAATTGATGTCTCTAACTTTCAATTCCTTTGTCTCCTTTGAAACTAAATTCATTTTACAGAATCATATCAAAATTTATTTCATCACTAATATTCAAGCGAGTGACCTCATATCAAAGACCTGTCACTTTCAGACAAACTTTAGTTACAAAGCTTTGATTTCAACTGCCATTCAATAAAGGATTAATTAAGTTTAACATTATTACGAAATCTATTCTCAACAAAAGTAGACATATTAAACTCCATTTTGTCCAAATTATCAAATCTCATAAAATAGTCTATATGTGTGTCTGTGAAGGAACTAATTAAAAAATGAAAAGTTATATCTCTATTATATAAACAAGATTTTAGTGACTTTCATATTTTATTTTATTTTAGTATTAGGTTAATAGGAGATCACAAAAGCTCGGCGATTATTTTACCAAATATACAGCTGTTCATTTAATTACATATGTGCTCCGGTTACCTCATACTCTCGTAATATTAATATTAGTCTATCTACTACTACTTCAAATTTTAGATTAAAAATTTGTATGAGAAATTATTGGTTTTTTATGTTAATAAAAATAATACAATCTGAACTACAGAATACCTACATGTAAATTAAAAACATACAATCTGAAAAACGAGTAGTACAATTAAATGACCAGTTGTATAATTTGTAAAGTGGGGTTTGTCCTCTGTTAGGTGGACAGGTCGTATCACTCTAGTGAATTTAAAACTAGGTATTTGATGGTTGATATGTTAAAGCAATTTGTTTTGCTAAAATCAATTTATCAGAAGTGCCACTTCGTATCTTTTACTTATTTTTATAATATTCTAAAAAACATCAAATGATTTTGATTAAACTCATTACATGAATGTAAAATTAAATGGTCTTTAATATGAGGTAGTTATCATATTCATTGAAATAACTGGCAGGGCTTAAATGCTGAATTTTCAAAACGACTTTCTTGAAAGGACTGTTACTTATGTTTATTTAAAATAATTTACCATCTCTTATTGTTATCAGTAATAAAAAATGGATAAACTTAAACAATTATGTTTATGATGGATAATTACAAACATTTATGTTTATGGAAGAATTTGATAATGGACTAAAGCAGTATTAAGGAGAAATATTATTCCAGATTGAAAAGAAATTATTGGAAATAAGTATAATAATGTTAAACTTAAATACACTACTGGAAAGCTAAAAATGTGATTTTAATTTCAAATCTTATCGATAAGAATTGAATGGTCTTTAATATCAGTTAGATGTTTACGTGATGATCATCACTAAAATAGCCTGATGAGGTTTGCCAAATTTTCAAAATTTATTCCTCTAAAATAGTTCTAGTTTTGTTTTTTGATATAATTAAAAGTGTTTTAGTACTAATACAAAATGGATAAATATCAACTATGAATGAATGCGATAATCAACTAAAGTAGTAATAAGGAGATACATTATCCCAGATTGAAAACTAATTACCAGAAATAAGCATAATATTACAAAACTTTAATATACTATCGTAAAGCTAAAGATTTTTAGTTAAATTAAGTAATAACAAATAATAAGTTCTACTTTTATATTGTTTAATGGAAACTAAATGGAATTTTCAGTGAAACCAAATAAAAGTGTTTATAATTTATTTTAAGATTGATAAACAAAAAAGTATTTAATTCACCTTATTGTGATTCTCTGATTGTTTAAAATCAGACATGGGCAAAAGATAGTTGATTATTATTTTAAAATACAGTATTTAAAATAACAAGTATTTTATGTTTTTAAAATATAGTGTATTTTAATTACAAAGTTTTTCATTGGTTTACAGAAAATGTATTTCAAATATAAAAGGCTTTAGGTATGTTGTGTTTTAATTACAAAACACATACATCTCATGAAGTGGTGGTTTACAACTAATTCCTTAAAAAATAAATTTATTCTGGTGAGGGAAAGAGTGGTTAGAAGTCAGTGGATATATTTTTAAAATAATCAATTGGGCAATAAATTGTTTTATTCAATAAATATTATTTCATTCTTGATATTCTCTATAGTATTATATTGCATCTAAGATGTTTAAATTGCATCCTTCCTTTATATTTGCTGAAAAATACTTGAAAATAACAAAAAAAGAAAAAAAATATATACTTTTTTTTCCAACTTAACATATGTCAGTCCACATTTACTTGTTCCTTTCACAAAATATGTACCTCTACCTTTTCCGAAGACAAGACTATGTGGTCCTTAATAGTCTTTTTAAGGCTAATCACATTTATAGCCAAAGATAATTTTATTACACATTTAACACAATCGACCCTAACAAATTTGAAAGGACCAGCCTTACTACAATACTTAAAGAAATCTACTCAATTTGTTCATTTTATTTATGAATTTAGAATACATTTTTGTATTTTAGTGTCTCGGAAAGAAAATACAAAGATTTTTTTTGCATTTATAAAAAAAAAGTACAGTTATAATCTATTTTTTATTTTACTTTAATACAAAAAATATATTATGTTTTGTATTTTAAAATTTTTTATTTGAAATACTGCCCAGGTCTTGTTTACAACTCTATTTTGTTGTGTTTTTATGAGAAAAGAAGTGGAGAAATGTGTGCTGCTGAAAATTTTTCAAGCAACATTTATGGTTAGAAAACATATATAGTAATAATCAGTAATAACGGGAAATCCAATAATACAAAAATATTATCCAGCTCAAAGTAGCATGGTAAATGAAAGTTGTTATTTTTCTAATGTAGATGGCATTTTGTGATTGATTTACATTATAGTAAGTTATTAAAATCGTAATATAAGTTACATTGTATTTTAATGCAATCATTATTTTATGTAAACTTTTCAAAAATGATTTCATTATATATTTATTTTTTTCTGCTTTAGTTGGGCCGTGTTTTTCACGAAGAGGAAGCTGTGATTAACAAAAAGTTGCCTAAAGAATTACTGTTACGGTAGAGTATTTTTTAAAAAATTATTATATTTGATTGATTTTAATTTTACTTACCTGCTCTCTCTCCCATTCTGTTCCTGATCGTCTATCTCTAGCTACATTGTTTATCATTTGTTTCAGAATATTTTCGTATTTAGATGTTGTTTCACTTTGCCGGTGTGCACAGGTTTCAAAAACATGGAATGTTCTTGCCCTTGATGGTTCTAATTGGCAGAGGATTGATCTTTTTAACTTTCAAACTGATGTAGAGGTTAGTATAATTTAAATTATGACTATTTTGTTTTGAGCCTTTGTTTTAAAATCATGCAGTTTTACAGGAAAGGTTATGTATTTGTGGATGATAAATAATCAGGACGCAGTCTTTTTTTTTTTTTTAAATTACTTTTTTATTTTATGCCAACGTTTCAACCCAAACATATGTGGGTCATCTTCAGGGCTGAAAAATTTTAGAGGTTATACAAATTTTTAGTTTATATAACTATTTATATATTTCATTTTTAATATGTGTATTGCAGTATTAGTTAAGATTCATGTACCATCAATCACTATAGTTTATTATTTACCATTATCGATCGTATAATATTATATCTGATTGTATTTTTTAAAAAATTTTTAGCCCTGAAGATGACCCACATGTCTGTGTTGAAACGGCATAAAATAAAAAATTTAATTTTTTTTTATTAAAAAAAAAGACTGCGTCCTGATTATTTATCACCCATGATATATAGAACAGTTGACTAACTTCTTTCAATAATTCAGTGATATATTTGTCATTATTATTCTTAAATTATTGTTGATTTTTAAATTGTATACTTAGTAAATAGAATGGTTTATTAAAGACATTACCATCATTGTGCCATTTTAGAATTACTTGATTCATTTTTTACATTTTTCTTTTTTTTTAATACCAGGTAATGATTAGAAATAGAATATCTTGCTCTAATATTAATAAAGAGAAGAATAGTTGGGGTGCTCAGTCAAAAAAGGAAGGCAAAAAATAAATATTATAATTTATTTTTTGCCTTCCTTTTTTGACTGAGCACCCCAACTATTCTTCTCTTCATTATCCACGACAGTCAACCAATTACCAATTATGAATCTAATATTAATAATAGAAAATGTAGTGATAAAATCTTGCCTAATTGTACCATGGATATGACAGCCCATATCACATTTTTTTTGTTCATTATTTAAGACTTTATTGTAACAATTATTCAGAGCTCGTATAATTTATAAGTACAGTAATGGGAAATTATTATACTTTATTGGTTACTTGTGGTATCACACTTCATTGCATTTTTTTTACTTATGCTTTTTTTAAATGTTTTTTTTATAGGGTTCAGTGATTGAAAATTTATCTCGACGTTGTGGTGGTTTTCTCCGAAAGTTAAGCTTGCGGGGTTGTCAGTCAGTTGAAGATAGTTCAATGCGAACTTTGGCTGGATATTGTATTAATGTAGAAGACCTTAATCTCAATGGTTGTAAGAATATTACAGATGCTACATGTCAATCATTGGCCAGGTAAATTATTTGTTCTTGTTGTTGATTGATAACCTTTGTAGAAAGAGTACATGACTTTTTTTTTGGCATTTTTAAAAAATAAGATTTGACCTAGAATTGCTTGTGACAGGCGTTAATATTTACTAGTGGCTCCTGTTTCTCTACGATATCTGAAAATTTTAGTCACATGTATGAACTACCAGTCATTCCATATTTCCAGCTTAAAAAACTTCCTCTAGAAGCATCAAAATTTCATGTATCACGGATATGAATTTTTGAAAGAGTGATATATTTTATCAACTATGTTAAAGGAATAAATATTTAAACACTATATTCTTTAACATATATTTTCAATTGTAAATGAGAGTTAGGATTTCTTATACCACAGGTGTTCTTATAATAATATTTCTATACTTATTAACACTCTTGTATTCATTTAGTTAAAATTATATGCTTGATTAGATTTTTAAAAATATATTTTACTAGCACACTTACGTTGATATAAATAAAGCAATTTTTAAAATGTAAAAACTATTTGGTCATTCTTATATTATTTGATCATTTTGCATTTCTCAATCTAGATATTTGAATTTTAAAAAATACCAACTTTTTTGAAGAATAATTGATCTCAAATATTAGTTTATATGTCCTAGATAACAAAATTGAGCTTTGATATTCAGTTTTCTTACTTCTTTTTTTAATCCTATATATTATTTCTAAAAGATGTTTTTTTGTCGGTACTCCATAACTTCGCCAATTCTTCATCAAATCCAATGATTGACCACTCATTTTGAAGATATTCTTCTCCTTGACATGCGAAAAATAATCCCATCTCCCAGAAATTTCTGTAAAAAAAGTTATGGAGGAAAAGAAACTTTATTTGCGAATAACTACAAAAGTATGCATTTTTTTATGGATTGTACCCATGATAATTATGAAAATAAAATTGTAAAAATCTGACAATTATTAACAAAGATACAGTCTATTAGTTTTGGTATACTTATTAATGTCTCCCTGTTAAAAGATATTGCATTTAGGAGTAGAATAGTCTACTACACTTTTTTTCCTGTCTGATATATTAATTTTATTATTTCTTAAAGACATTTGGTTGTTCTTACATTTTATTTTTTTTTACTAATTTAGAATATCCCATAATTGGGGAATTATTTTGCCTTTATTATCTTTCCAGTCAATGTTTAAAAATAGGTCCTAGTAAAGCAATTTGTACAAATATTTTGGTCTATTATGTTTAATGGAATATTGTAATCGACCAAGGTAAAAATATTAATTCCTTCCTTACATAATACATACAAACTAGTTATTTCCAAATTGTTTTGCTATTTTTTCAGTAAGCAACATTTTCTGCGAATTATTCGCACGGGCCAACTAGTTTTTAATTATTTTTTTAAACCATAACTTAGTTAATATGGTCTTAAAGCTTATTAAGTTGCCTACGAGGATGTTTTTGTCCAAACTGGTTTAATAAACAAACTTTATTAGTATATTGAAAAGATATAATGGTTATGATATGAAAAAGATAAAAGTAAACCATAAATATTTCAAGTCAACAAGAAAAAAATTATGATTTTTGTTTCTTTCATCAATGCCTATAAGAAAAACAACTCAAATCCCCATCTTGTTCTCTAAATGTTCATAATAAAAATACTAATATGATCAATTGGTAGTAGGAACAATTAAATGATATTATATTTATACAAATAAGAGTAACATTCATCACGTTTTCTTACAAAATCGCTGTTACTGATTTAACCAAATGCTGGGTAGATATGAAACCTTAACCCTATTTAAATGCTTCGAAACTACTTATTCTGAAATTATCTTCAATTATATTAATGGAACAATGTTAGTAAAATAATGGTGACATTCGTTATGCATACTGTTTGTAACATTGCAAATTTCGGAAGAAAAAATGTCAAGTCTCCAGCCAGCTCTTTTATGCCTCAAGATTACACATGGAATGATAGCTCCACAAACAGATTTTTGAAAACCATTTTAAATTATATTAAATGAACAGTATTGTAAGAAAAGTGGGTAACATTCGTTATGTTTTTCTCCAAATTTTGGGACAAACCAATTTCTGTACTTAATATTCAAAGTATTTGAGGCAACTAAAAAAATTATTTTTAATTTGAAATATCAAAGAATAGTAAATTCTCCATGGTTAGAAAATAATGGATAGATATTATGACATATCAAAGCTTGAAGAACTTTGCATTCTCACCTTGGAAAAATAACATTCATTACGTTATTCTACATTCACATTGAGATATTTCTTCCTGTGGTTGCGATAGATATATTTTAATGTCACCATTCCATTCCTTAGAAACAATACAATAAATTGACTCCATTCTTTTTTTTTTCAACCGTGAAAAACAAATATAAAGCCTAGGGACATTAAATGGTCAAATAATATAAAAAAGACCCTGTTATTCTCAGTTTTATTTTTTACAATAATAATTTAATGAAGAAGACTAAAGAGAAATATAAAAAACTATAACTCGAGAAGAATAGAGGAGCAATGAGAGTATGGCTTGGTTAAGGTGTAGGGAAGGCGTTTAAGTGGAAAGTTTATGTCAATATCACATTGATAGATATATCCGAACCTCTCTAATTCGATCATTTTCCTATATCTAAATTGTCTCTCTTATCTATGTTTGAGCTCAATATCAGACCTGACAGTATGATATTATGATATTGAAATACCTTATCTGAAAACAATTCAAATACTTAGTAATTAAAATACACGTGTTTAAAAAACACAAAATATATTGTATTTTAAAATAACAATTAAAATTCTCTTTGTTGAGGTCTGCTCAATACAATACAGTTGTAATTACTTATTTCATTTTATTTATCCCCATTTATTCTAGGATTAATGATCTATAACATAATATTTTTTTTTACCCAAAAAAATGAAAAAGTTTCATTTTTAGGCACTGTAAAAAATTATCACGACTGGATCTGGGTTCGTGTTCCAAGGTGACAGATTTCTCGCTAAAGACTCTTGCCGACGGAACTCCAAATCTTACAAATATAAATATATCATGGTGTGAAGCTGTCACTGAAAACGGTATTATTTATTTTACATTGTGGTTTAGATCCTTGTTAAGAGCTAGTACTCTTATTTTATTAATCAAATTAAGTTTTACTGCTGAAGTCCTATTATCTTTAATCTTGTCTCATTTCACAATACCCATCATTCTTCTAGTTTTATTTCATTTAAGTGCTAAATGTACCCCATTCACTACATGTCTTACTTGTTCCTAAGAAATTCTTGGAGCTATGTAACTATATGTAAGACATGTCAGAAGATTTTGGATTATAGTTATAATTTAGAATTTGAATAATTCTTTGATTTTACATAATGAATAATTTTGTGTCAGGTCATAATCACAAAGCATATTATACAGAGTTGGGCAAAAATTATCTGTAATTAACAGCTAAAAGCTATAGCTAGATTAACTTTAACAGCAACAGACAATAAATAATTTAAAATCAACTGTTAGCTGTTTGCCCAAAGATAGTTCTTCTAGTTAAATTAGCTATTAGGAGAAACAGGCAACTAATTTTTAGCTATAACTATTTATAGCTATCAAAAACTAGCAGATAAGTTCTTATAAATAAAAAAAATACATCAGCAGCAGAGCTACGTCTTTAAAGTCTTATATAAATTATCTGAAGTTATCTATTATCTTTTTATTTGTAATTCGAATTTTTGAAATAAAATTTTGAATAATTGAATTGTAAATTTCTTTTAGCGAGGCTTTCAGAATTACATATTAAATATTTGTAACTTTTCAGATTTTTTCAATAGAAGGGTCCACTATTATGTAGAAGGGGAGGCTTTTTACAAAACTACTGTTGGATTTAAATTTGTGCATCAAATATTTCTAACTTTTCATGTTTTTTCGATTTGAGGGTTCTCTATAATATTGTTAGGAGCGTGTTTAATGAAATTGCTATTGAAATTAAGATTGTGCATCGATTCTTTGTAACTTTTAAACTGTGAAAATCACCTACAATCCAGCAGTTATTAGCTAAATTGACTGCATATTTATCATAGATAATAGCTGTTTAGCTGAATCTTAAATAACTAAAAATTAGTTTGCTAATGCCCAACTCTGATATTTGAGAAGTACTCTGGTAGATGCTTCAGTAAGATGAGTTTCTGGTTTATGATAGTCTACTTTTGTTTCATGTTAAACCAAATAACAAATCTTATTTTTCATCCTTTGGCTAGGATTGGTTGATAACCTGTAGAATAACTTCTATATTTAGAGTTAAAGTATACCAAGGTTAATTCATTGAATTATTTTTCTTACCTGCTTGCTAATATGTTTAAACTTTAATATTTTTCTAATTTCTGAAGTTTTTTTGTTCGATTTGGTTTATTTCCATTTTAATTTATGGGTTACTTTGTATCGAGATCTTTCAGATATTTAGCAAACTTAGTTTCTTTTGAATATCTTAATTTCAGTTTATATCTTTTATCTGTAGATTTGATATGAACATATCAGTATGAATATTTAAATGAAATTTTGATTTCTCAATTTTTCTTTTCGTTTTATTTTAAATCTGTTTATTCATAGGCATGTTGGATATGTTACTGTTTTAGATTTAAATATTTTATTGTATAGAGTGAAACTCTGGCTTTATTCAAAGGTATGATTTTTGGTGATCAGGAGTTGAGGCCCTAGCAAGAGGCTGTCCTAAACTGAAGTCTTTTGTCTCCAAAGGATGTCTTCAGATAACGGACAAAGCAATTTCTTGCCTAGCTCAGTACTGCCCTCTTCTTGAAGTAGTCAATCTACATGGCTGTGTTGTAAGTAAATACTCATTATTTTTTTACAGAGTGTTTATTTATTGTCATGAGGGAGGAGAATGTACACTTGAAGCTTGCACTTCCGGTTTTTGTATCACTTGTAATTTCTTTTTTCTGAAGAATTAAGTTTTTCTTCCTGGACTTTTGTCCTTATTTTTTTAAAAGTAAAATGTTTACCTTCTAAAGGACTTCTTCAGAGACTGATTACAAATGGCAAAGATCTTATAGGTTCATAGGTCAACAGCCTCTTGATAAATTTTACCTTAGGAGTTGATGAAAAAATATCAGGAAGTTTATGAATAAACCAAAGCAATTCATGTTTGTATTTTTCAGCAAATATTCTCTGTTATTTTAATTAAGATCTGACATTAAAACAACAAAATAACATGTTCCGAGGTAACCTGAGTGCAAATAGCCAAGTATATATAAAGATCTATGTGTCAGTGTGTATGTGAATACCATGCAAAAAAAAAAACATGTATGACCCTAAAATAATGTATTTAAATTAGGTATATGTCTGAGGTCTCACAGCGCTTTTTCACTAAAATCAACTTACCAGAAGTGCCACTATATATTATTGATTTTACGCTTTTCTAAAAAATGGCTAAAATGATTTTAATTTTAACTTCTGCTATCAATTAAAATTAAATGATCTTTAATATCAGTGAAATATTTTCACAGGATGAAAACAAATTTCAGGAAATAAAAGTAGTTCTATAGATGTATGATATAATTTTGGAAAGCTGAAGATTTTAGAAAAATAATATCAAACATTTAAGGTCATTGGAGATAATGGAGGGTAATAAGAGCTAAAAAAAAAAAGTCCATACAACTTAGAATTGCCAAATAAAAATTTAATTAAAATAAATTTTAGCGTATTAGCAAAAACTTCATAAGATATTGATATAAATATTATAAAAATTCAAACCATAAGTTTATGGTTGAATTACTCAATACTTCATACATTGTCACCTCAAAGATACTTTTTGTTGCAATAAAGTAGTTTTTACTCCTACTCACTGTCCAAAATACTCTGTCCTTCCTAAGTTTCATGCACTTCATTGTCCAACTCAGCCTCCAGTGCTCCCTATATGGCGGTGTTGCTTAACACACTTGTAGTTAATTGTAAAAGTAATAGTTGCACTGAAAAATAAACTTGAAGCAATGGTGCAAGGCAAGGCTTTATTCCTGGAGTATCAGTTTTTGTTGCTAGCTTGGCTACAAGTGCTTGTAGTCTCAGACTCGTACTTTCTGTTAAACTTATTTTATTGTTTCCATCCTCCTGTTTGATTCAGGTTGTGGACCGAGTCTGATGGACTTGAAATTTGTTTTTTTATACTTGAATATTTCTTCTTCTTCTTAATCATTTCCTCTTCTACAGCTGAGCGGTGTGAGGAGCCTTCTTGTAGAGCCGAATCCACAACTCTCGATCCTGAGCCAACTGCCGCCTCCTCCTCCAGTCAATATCCCTTCTGTCAAAGGCCTTCTTCACACTGTTTTCCCAGGTCTTCCTGGGCCTTCCCTGAGGTCTTCTTCCCTCCACTCTACTTTCCAACGCTATCCTGGCCATTCGATTTTCTGGCATTCGAGAGACATGACCAAACCATCTCAAACGATTTTCCTCGATCACAGTTTCGGCTGATCTTACGTTAAGATTTTTCCGTATTATGGAGTTTCTTATGCAATCTCTCTTTGTTTTTCCTTCGACTCTGCGCAAGAATCGCATCTTCATGGCCTGAATCTGGCTGATGTGCTTTGTGGTGAGGGTCCATGACTCGCTGGAGTAGGTCATTATCGGGAGGAAAGTATTTTTGTATACTGTCGTTTTGGTCTCTTTACTCACTTCTCTCTTGTTCAAGAATCCATTCTTGATGGCGTTGAAGCACCTTCCTGCAGACTTCACTCTTTCCTTTAATTCTCCGTCGATCCATCCATGTTCATTGATGTGGGCACCGAGGTATTTGAAAGTTTTCACTTGTTCCAATGGGACTCCATTCAAGTGCACTATTCTGTCTCCTCTTCCTTGATTCCTGCCAATCCTCATAGTTTTGGTTTTTTCCACATTTATTTGCATGTTTATCTTGTTTAATTCTTCCTGAAGAATGCGGAGGTTGAATTGCAGGTTTCCTCCATTGCTTCCGAAAACCACCAGATCGTCTGCATAAGCTAACAGAGAGAAAAATACAGGCTGTAGATTTCTGTATCCCACTTCATATGATCTCATATTTTGTTTTGCTATTTTTGTTGCATTATCTAGCACTAGTGTAAATAGCAGAGGACTTAGACTGCACCCTTGCCTAATACCTTGATTAGTTGTGAACTCTTCTGATATATTATTGCATGTTCTCACAACATTTCTTTGGGTCTTATAGAGACTTAGAATTGCCTTACGAAGGCCCGCTTCGATGCCTTTTCTCTTCTAAGGCTTTTGCTATGTCTGGAAGTGGCACTTCATATAATCGATTTTTCACATTTTTACGATTTTGATTAAATTCATTATATAAGTGTAAAATTAAGCAGTTTTTAATATAACATAGGCTTTATTCTCATTGATGTTCTCTAACAGTGCTTAAATGGCTAATTTTCAATATTTCTTCCTCTAAAGTACCTTTAATTTTTTTATTTGAAATAATTAACCATTTCACAATTACTTCTGATATAAAAATAGTTACATATAAAATATAAAAGAATTTGATAATTAACTTTTAGAGAGGGTGCTATGGGAAAGGTTGGCTGCAAAATCGGCTGCTATTTCTGAGAACAAATTAGGTAATATAAAGCCATTGTTCTCATCAATGGCTAGAAATAAAATTACCAATAATTGGGTGTTAGAAGTACATCCAATGGTAAGGTATAATCTACTCAAGGAGGAGATAATTACAGGAGGTATGATGGAACTGCAGGTAACTGCTAACTTCTTAGATTACCCCGATGCTCCTCCCTGTCTAAGGTGTCAGGGATATGGACATACAAAAGCTACGTGTGAGGCAAATAGCATAGTATGCAAGTGGTGTGCGGCGAGTGGGCATATTGCCAAAAACTGTCCTGCAAAAGGAAATAAGACCGAACCTACATGCGTTAACTGAGGGAAGGTGTTCAAACAAGTAAGGCTAAGCACCAGGCAGGAAGTCGAGAATGCCCGGTGCACATCAAGAGATCTCAAGAATTAGTGAAGAGAACTCACTATGATTAGACTCAACATCCTGCAGCTGAATATGGGCCGCCCTCATATTGTGGCTGACGAGCTTCGGGCTATAGCACAACGCTACGATATCATGGCGGTCCAAGAACCTAGCTGCTGTGGGAACATGGGGTTTGGCCTCACGTCAAGGGTTATAGCCCTGAGCATTGGAGAGAGGAGGCCCAGGGCTGCTATAGTGATTAATAATCCTAACCTTGACGTGATGGATCTGAGACAACACACCATCGCAGATTATGCATCTTGCTATGTTAAGTGGGGCAAGATTTCCTTCACTTCGGTATTGGCATTCCTACCTGTGAATAGTGATGTAGAAGAAAGCATATCCGCTATGGAGGCGATCATTAGAGAGATGAGGAATGTGATCATGTGCTCAGATACCAACTCCTGGAACACGCTCTGGGGGTCCAATATTACTGACAGGCGAGGCGCTAAAATGGAAAATTTCATAGGGAGAAATCACCTTGTCGTAAATGTGGCCTTCTAAATGAGCCAGGATGTTCCCACGGTACTGATAAGGGTTTCGTCACTAAAATAAATGACTGGAGTGGCTTCAGGTCCAGTCTGGAAGGAGTGATTGCAGACGAGGAGTGGGAAGCGGCAGAGATGGATGTAGTCGACAATCTGGACTACAAGGTGTCCAGGATTACCAACAACATTCGTGATGCTGCCGAACACTCCATCAAGCACTGGAAGGCGAGGGTTTGACTTGTCCCATGGTGGACGCCAGCCTTAACTGTTCTAAAACGAGACCTCTACAAGGATCGGTGGTCATATCAGAGATGCAGATGCGACGAGAGGCGCACTGTACTTCGCAATGAGTACAAGTCAAAAGCCAGGACATCCCGAAACGAGGTTTGCTCACAAAAACGGAAGTCTTGGAACGATTTCATCATTGAAGAATCCCTGGGGTATTCCGTACAGGGTAGCATTAGGTAAGTTGTCTGGGTAAGTTGCTGTAGGCAATTGCAGCCTTGCGGTATCATAATACTCAGGCAACCACCCTTGAAGAAACTGCCAATGTATTCATTGAAGCAATATATCCCAGAGATGACCCAACCCAGTACAGCGAAAATGATGATTTTGTGAGACGCATCACGGTATATCCACCTGGTTCAGATTTGTGCCCACCATGGGACATTCACGATCTTCGTATTGCTGTGGATAAGCAGAAGACTAATCGTGCTCCAGGACTTGATGCAATAGATGCAGCGATCTTGAGGAACAGTATCACTTATATTGAAGACTGGTTGTTGAGTATTTTCAAAGAATATCTGGATATGGGATACTTTCCAAGAAGATGGAAGATCACTGATTTGAGACTACTCTACAAGGGAGGAGATAGGGTCTTGGAAAGTATCCCATATCCAGATACTCTTTGAAAATACTCAACAACCGGTCTTCAATATAAGTGATACTGTTCCTCAAGATCGCTGCATCTATTGCATCAAGTCCCAACTTCTTTTTGTTTTTTCCACTCAATTATTTTTTTCGCATGGGCATCCTCATCTACACAAACTAAAACTGAGCCAGCTTTGGTCGCCCGTACAACCCTCGCCTTGACTCCTAGTTCAGTTGGAGAAGGCAGGTTGTTGATGATGTCAACTACACTTTTACCTTGAAAAGCGATGGTAACATAAGTTGGTCTTGTAGTATCCATCGGTTTTAATGGAAGCCCTTTAACAATATCGGCCATCGTAGTCTTATGTGTAGACCTCTTCTTGGCCAAAATTTTCTCTGCTATAGGTTTAGAGGCCTCAATCTCTTTGGCCACTTGTAGAAGAGCCTTTTTCCTTCTTTGCTTTTTCTTTGCTTCCTGGAAACTTTCATTCTCCGTGGTCTCAATTAGGGCATTGGCCAATTGCGGTTGTTCTCTAACGCATGAAAACTCCCGAGATGTCTGAGGTTCTGACAGTGGTCTTTGTATGGTTTTACTTTCCGTCTTGATTCCCTCGATAACTATAGGTACTGCTTTTTCTACTAACGCAGTTACTATGATGTACATTTCAGAGGATGCTAATGTGTCCATTACCACACGTTGTACTAAAAACGTTTTTTCATAGTTTTTATCATATATTGTCTCCATTATATTTAACAATTGTTAAATTTTTCCATTAATGTGCTTTTGTACCTTCGCACTCATGTTCCTGTATATTTATTCATGTAGACCCTGATGTTTTCTTAGATTCTACGGGCATCTTGCAGAAGACTATCGTCTACACATTCTTTATCCGTTTCTCGGGCATAAGGAGATCCTTTCCTTTGTCTCTTTGCTGAAGGCCTTGGGCACTTTATAGCATGTTCTTCCACCATTTCCTGCTCCATTGCTGATGCAATTTCATCAGCCATCTTACGCAATCCAAAATTAACAACTTTATAAGTTGAAATAATGGGTAAACAACAGTATAGTGAAATATTTAGTACTCAAAATCTAACCTAAGTGCGAGAAACTTATAAATTTCGTATCTTCAAAAGTAAGACTTTAATATGAACTTACCTTAGTGCTCCACCAACGTAATAGTCTCTAAACGTTTCCTTTTGGTTAGATTAAACCTTCGTGAAAACCACAAGGTTAACCTTAACCTCCACTGTTCACTCAAAAGGTTTATAAAATTAACTAAATAAACATAAAATAAAACTAAACCATGTTAAAAAAACTATAAAACACTAAAATAACACAAACAGTAGGAAACGATACAACAAAACTAACAGAATAAACCTCAAAAATACAAAACACTGAGAAGCACAATAATACTTTATCATAGGTAGATAACCTCTCTGGTAAATTTTGGTAAATTTGATAATAAACTAAATGAGAAATAAGAGATGGTAATGAAGAATAGTTGTAATATGGTCTGTGGGCCAGACCCCCCTATCGTGCACTCCTCCCTTCCCCCCACATCCCTATATGGCTATAGCCGACTGAGGGCAGGAGTGGGGCATGTCAACTATAGCCATCATTAGCAACAGAGGCGTGTTCTGTTGCATTGGGTATAGCTGTTGTTTGCAGTTAACTCTTTGACTGCAGGAGCTCTTTCGTGAGTTTCTACTATACGTTGCATCCTGAAATCCACAAGGACATAAAAAAAAAAAATGGAACTTTTTTTTTGCATAAATTTGTTTAAAATGCTATTTTAATTAATTTTATTTACCCTGCTGGATTTAAGCTTTCAAAAATGCATTTTAATGTTTTTATTCAATTTTTAAAAAACGGGATATATGCCTTATCGGCTACATATGACAATGCAAAATCAGAGCGGCAATCCTGCAACACTTCACTTCCTTTCATCTTTTCTCATTTCTGAAAAGCAAAATAAATGAAAATTATCATAAAGATAACTGCAAGTGATCATAAAAATTAAATTATATTATTTCTAAAAAAAGGACACCAACAGTGGGATTTGAATTATATATTTCTTTGTATTCAAATTCTTTTCTTTCTTAAAAAAGTTCATTACTATGGGAACATAGTGCAATCATAAATTTTATTATTGCATTTACATTTATTTTGAGTTTCAAACGCTTTTATATCATATGAAATATATATGTTGTTTTTAATGATGTAGAGATGGTTGATTGTGATATAATATGAGGAGTGGATCAGAGGGGTGCGGTCAAATAAATACTAAATTAAAAAAAAAGTATTTTTAATTATCACGCCCACTTTTCGACCCTCCTTGCAGGTCTTCATCGGGGTGTGGCTTGTCTATTCGGTCCAGCACTGAAGGACAGCAAATTACCTATGTTAAAGAAGGATTCAAGGGGGAGTTTTACAATCTTGTCTATTAAAATTTATATCATATAAAATATTAAATTATATATAATTTAATTTAATAATTATGATTTAATACTTCATCGTCAGTACTCAGCTTAGAAACTTGTCCAATATTAAGTCAATGGTTTATTGACTCTGTTAATATATGTATATTATTATTATTATAAAATATTTTAATTGTAAAATAATTTTTTTAGAGTGTTGAAGATAGTGGTGTTTCAAAATTGGCCTTATGTTGCCCCGGCTTGCACAATGTATGCTTATCTGGCTGTGTCCGCTTGACTGATGCCTCACTAGTAGCGCTGGCTCAGCATTGCCATTCTCTTTCCACCCTGGAAGTCGCAGGATGTGCTCAGTTCACTGATACAGGATTTCAAGCTCTCGCTAGGGTAATTACATTTATTCAATATGGATTTATTCTGAAAATATAATTTTTGAGTCCTTCGGACTTGTTTTTTGTTTCCATTTAATTATTCCAGTAGAAAATTTAGTTTTACTTAAGTATTAAGACCTATATACTTTTTAAATGTATATATTGTTTTATTATTCATCTAAATTATAAATCCATGACCTTCTTACATAACGATAGTAATTGGAGTGTTTCTAATGATCATAGTCACATTGGTCAATGGACCTATAATAAAATTTCAAGCTTTGTGGTTTTAACAACAAATTTAATCTTGATTAAATAAAATTAAAGTTGATATAATGAAGTCGAACAAATATCATTAATAGTATTATGACTAACATGCCTTTGAAATAGCTATCCGAAATACAAGAATAAAGGTACAATTTATAATAAAATGGTCCAACCGCTTGCATATTCTGATAGCATTGGCATTATGGGACACTCATGATCTGGTGCATGGAAACCATTCATGACTTGAGAATGCTGTCAAGATACTGGGGCTTACCGTAAATGATGAGAAGACAAAATATATTGTATCAGAAGTGCCCAGGCATCAAGGTGAGAACATGAATTTTGATCAACACCAATTTGAATAAGTTTCTGAGTTCTTATAATTTGGCTAGTAATAGATCACAAATGACAATAAGTTATCTTTAAAAACAAAATGAACAATTCTATGTGCAAGGTGATCCATGTTAAACCTACAAGAATGGCTTTCAAACAGTCTTGTTTCTTGATGGACCAAGACTATTCTTTATATATAAGTCATCGATTTTCCAAGTTCTAACATATAAAACCTAGAAAATATGGAACAGTTAGTGCTGGAAAACCAATACTGCAATGGTGGGACTACTATATGGCCAATTATGCAATATTCCAAGTTGGCTAGTAGTCGCACAGAAGAAGGATCATTGCTGTCACAACGCCAACTCATAGTGAGGTGTTGAGGTACATAACATGATTAAAACTTATTTCGAGACAATAACCTTTCTAGTTACAAATGAAATTAATATTTTTCATCAAATAATCACTTATTAATTTATATTTATCACTTACCTTATTAACTTACTAAGTTATTAAAATTTAGTAGAGTAAGTTTAGGTAAGAACAAAGTTATTCTGTTTTCTACATCTGCGAGTGATTATTATATTTTTTATTCTTTAAAATGGCTAGCCTAAATAATTATTTTTTACTAAAGAAAAATATTCTTGCATCAGAAACATTTATTTTTGTTATTTGTTTATTTGGTGTATTGAACTTTGATATTTTCTTTTTCAAATCTTACACCTTTCTTTCAGAACTGTCGTCTATTAGAAAAAATGGATTTGGAAGAATGTGTCCTTATTACTGATCAAACTCTTATTCACCTCGCAATGGGTTGTCCACGTCTTGAAAAACTGGCAAGTTTTTATCTTTTAGAAAAATTTAATGGTGTGTAATTTAATTTCTGTTATCAAATTATTAGTTTTTATTATAACTGATATCCATGCTAATAAATTCATAAGTTACAACTAAATGTTTGTTCAGATCTATAATTTCACTTGATTCTTTTTTTCATCCCCTCCTTAAAGAATTAATATACCTTGAGTAGAAGTCAAGAATCTTTAGCATAATTAGTTTCTAAGTAAAATATTTCGTGTGGTTGCAGGTCTAGATCTGATATTCAAGGGTATTACCATTTTTTTTTTCTTTTAAAATATTAAATGTGTATTAATATTTTATAATTTATTATGTGATGTTTTCTAAGTTATATGTTTATTTATAGAGTCTATCTCATTGTGAACTGATTACCGATGATGGCATTCGGTCCCTGGGAACATCCCCGTGTTCAGCCGAACACCTAACTGTTCTTGAATTGGATAATTGTCCTCTCATCACGGATACATCTCTCGAACACCTCATCACCTGCCATAACCTACAGCGTGTAGAACTATATGATTGTCAACTCATAACGAGGGCTGGTATTAGAAGGCTTAGGGTAAGAACATTAAGCATATTTTATCACTATTAATAATGTTAGCTCAAGGTCATACCTTTTTCACTTTAGATTATTGTGAAATCCTTCCCTGTTATAACTCCACCCTCCTGAATTAATTTCTGAACCGAAAATACTATTTTTAGATGTTGTTCTGAGTTCTAGTTTTATCTGTATTTGAACCATCAAATACATAATAATAGTATATTACCAATAATAGTAGCTAGGTAGTAAATAATAGGAGCTATTACTAAATAGCTCCTAAATTAGGTAACTCATTTAACAAAAATTATTTAATACATTTTTTTTTAATATTTCAGAATCATCTACCTAACATACGTGTACATGCTTATTTCGCACCAGTCACACCTCCCCCAAACACCAGCGGATCAAGGCAACGATATTGCCGGTGTTGTGCCATTCTTTGAACTCAGCTATATATAGCCATAATACTGACTTGCAGTTTATTGTTTGTATATATCACTTTGTGTATATATAGTGGGTAAGAAAAGCAGAGGTTTCATATTGTTATTAATTTTTAACAAGGTCATTTTTTTTAGTACGTATTTCGAAAAATATAATTTTGCCAACTTTATTAGTTAATTATCAAGTACTCGAAGTTGGTTGGGGATGTGGTCATAAATGAAATTACATGCAAATAAGAAGTCTTATTTGTGTGGTGACTCTTCAATCTAAGTTAAAAAAAAAAAACTCAAAAAAATGAGGTAAAATATATAAGAAGAAAATGATTGATCAGGAAAAAAAATTATAATAATTACAATAAGTAATATAACAAGTAATAAGTAATATAATAATTACAAAATATATTAACGTAAAATATGATAAATCAAAAAAGATTTATATAATAAATAAAGATAAAAATATAAATAATAATGATACTTTACTCTTACGTATTCATTCATCTTGCTATATCATAATTTTTCATTCATACCTCATTTAATTTAATTTTTCATTATTTACACCTACATGTTTTGTTTATCATTAGCATTTTCAGACTGATGAAGACCTAAAACTTAGGCTAAAAATGCAAAAAATAAAATAAGACTTCTTTGTGTGTAATTGTTTGTTACTTTTACTTCACCCCCAACCAACTTCTACTCATCAATCTACTGCAACAATATTTCCATCATTATGGTTAACTATTGAGTTAGGTATTATTTCAGTTTAAAATTGTGCGGTCTTGCATATATTTGTTTAGTTATTTTATTATTATTATTTAGTCAGTTAATAAAGTTTTTTTTATATGTGTATAATTAAAGCCGACTCTTGCAAACCTACAGTCCCCCGTCATGTTCAACTTCGTGTACATATTTTAAAATCAGGTTAAAGTTGATTTATGACGTCACAATATTTTTATCATAATTATTTAAAAAATGAAGTTTTTAATCATTTATTCATTTTGTTACATCTAGTGTTAATGGATTCATAATTTGGGTCGAGTAAGAATGGTTAAAGATAATTTTGATGTACATAGTTTCGAAATTTACTTTTACTGGCTATGCTTATTGCTGTTTAAATTTCAAAGGCTGATTAGTTAACAATATTTTTATATTGTACACATTGAGACACCATTAAATGTTGTTGTTCACACTCTTAGTGTTAAAAATACTAAAGTTGATAGTAATAAAATATGTGATGTTATAGAGATTTATTGCACATAATTATAGTTTTATAAAATTTATAATAATTTTTTTTCACATTCAATCATCAATGTAGGAAACAATTGTTGTATAATATTTTATTTGTGATAAAGAATGATGTCTTGCAAAATATGTCGAGTGCAATTCTATACTTATACCAAAGGTATATATTTTTGTTCAGTTGTTTTTTTGTGCATTTTATTTTAAAGTTAAAATATTGATAATTGGTATGTTTTTTTTTAATGTTTCCTACATTTTATTTTATAAATTTTGATATTAAAACATCTAGATATTAAAGTTTATTTTAAAGAACATAATCTGTTAACAATGTTTGGTTAAGAGGCTTGATGCCTCATAAAGTTTATCATATTAATAAATTATAAATTTAATTATTTGATGTTGAATGAAATGCTAATACAAAATGTAATTTGTATTCCACTTAAATTATTTGTTTCTCACCCTTAAGAATTATAAATAATGTAACATTGCTAAAAGAAAAAAAAAAAGCCATAGGTCAATAAAGAAAAAATGTTCATTGCATTTTCACAAGCAAAATGATAGTTTTAAGACTGATTTATTTTTAATTATTATTCTTGTTATTTCATGTTTTTAAAGAAAAATAAATAAATATTTTTACCTGTTATGTATGTTTAATTTATTCATAATTTTCAGTTGATTTTGATAAAAAAAAAAATTAATTTATAGTCCATGGTACAGACCCCTTTTTATCGAATTATTAACATCCGCCTGAAACATCATAAATAGTTTCATCTCATCGTAACTTACAAGTATTTTATTTTCGAAAACTCTTGGAATTGTGGCGTTTTCAATCTATAGGGAGGCAAACTTTGTCTATTTAATTAGGTACTAAAAACTCATAAATACATATTTGCTTTCTACTTGGATCGTAAGATAATTTGATCACAAAATCGAGAAAAAGGTGACCTCAAAAATATTGAGCCGTTTGGCGTTACCTACAACCCCGAATTTTCAAAATAATGAGGTTATATAGGACAAATGGCCCAATATTTTTGTAGGCCACCTTTTTTATCTATTTTGTGATCAAATTATCTTAGGATCCAAGTAGAAAGAAAATGTGTATTTACGAGTTTTTAGTACATAATTGAATAAACAAAGTTAGCTCTCCTCCAGTAAGGAAAGAAATTGTAAAAACTAAAACAAAAATAATGATGTAGAGATGGTTGACCGTTGATATGATATGAGAAGGAGTTAGTCGAGGGTGCGGTCAAATAAATAAAGAAAATTAAAATATATAAATAATTTTAATTTTTGCCGACGTTTCGACCCACTTTGCAGGTCGTCTTCAGGGCGTTGGATGTGGCACTGCGGGAGGCAGTTGAAACACTGGCCAGTGTTTCAACTGCCTCCCTCAGTGCCACATCCAACGCCCTGAAGACGACCTGCAAAGTGGGTCGAAACGTCGGCAAAAATTAAAATTATTTATATATTTTAATTTTTTTATTTATTTGACCACACCCTCGACTAACTCCTTCTCATAAAACAAAAATAAACAAAAAAAAAAAAAAAATAAATGATATACATATGTTCCCTAAGATATTTAAGTGATTATGCGAAAAGATTAGGAGAAGAATATATAAAATAAAGTATACATGTATACACACATAGCGAGAACTGTGTTGAAGATAATTAGAAAATAAAATACATTTCACTGAAATACATTTCATGAATAAAAAAATTAGAAATTAAAAAAAACAAATTTTATCTACTCACAACTATCTACTCTGCTTAGTGAGTGGTTATGAAAATTCACTTTCAACACAGAATAAAACAATAAAAAATAAGAGAAAAAAAATAATGTCTAAAGAAAATTAAAGCCTTATAACATAGTATGTATTTAACCAGCGTCTGATTGGATTGTGAAGAGGAATTGGAATAAGAGGGTTTTAAAGGTGGATAAGGATGATGCATGGCGGATTTTTAGTGGGATGGAATTCCAGAATGCAGTGGAACGGACAACGAAGGAATGTTTAAATGATGCAGATCTGTGGAAAGGAGTGTAAAGGTCAGGAGGACGATATCTTGTGGAGAGGGTGTGGATAGATGATTTGAATTGTAGGAGATTGTATGCGTAGGACGGACGATGACTATTGATTATTTGGTAAAGGAATGTGCCTAGGAAATATTGTCTTCGGAAGGAAGGGAAGAGCCATCCTAATTCAGCATAGTGGTGCGAAGCACGGGAATACCTCAGGGCCCCTGTGACAAATCTTACTAAGGCATTCATAATTCTTTTCAGTCTCTCCCCGAGTTCTGCCGAGAGGCCACCGTACACCATGCAGCCGTAATCAAGGTGGGGGAAGATGAGAGAAGTTACTAGGAGTCTACGTATGGAGATGGATAGGAGATGGCGGAAGCGATGGAATAGTTTCAAGGTATCAATTGACTGTCGGGAAATGTGAGCAATATGGTGTTTCCAGGATAGGGTTTGGTCTATGAAAAAGCCTAGGTTTTTTACTGAGGAGGTGAAGGTAATGGGATGGTCATTTAGGTACAGGATAGGTATGTTGGTATTGGCTCTGAGAAGGGGTTTGGAACCAATGACAATGGCTTGAGTTTTTGCAGCGTTTAATCTTAATCCATTTAAGTTTGCCCAGGCACTGATCCGATTCAAGTCTTCTTGAATTTTGGCAAACGCTTCATGCAACTCTGAGGGATGGAAGGAAAGGTAAATTTGGGAGTCATCGGCGTAAAGGTGATGGGAGCATAGACTCATTAACAAATTCCTTCCACCTGCTGAACTAGAAAATGAGACTGAATACCACAAAAATGTAAGATCAATAGCTAACTCGATCCCCGAAACTGCAGTAGATGACCCATTAACCGAATTAGAAATTGATGTTGCCATAAACAACCTACATGACAATAAAGCACCAGGTATTGATGGGATCTCACCTAAAATTTTCAAAAATGTCTTTAAACTACTTCCAAAATTTATTACCGAACGATATAAGAAATGCTTCATTACAGGATTGTTCCCTAAACCTTGGAAAGTTTCTAAAATAGTTCCTATTCCTAAAGGGTCTGATAGCAAGCAGTTCAGGCCAATTTCACTCATTCCCGTGGCAGGTAAAATTATGGAAAAACTTATAGCCTCTCGCTTGACACTACATCTGACAAGGAACTGCCCTCTCAACAACAACCAATTTGGTTTTACTCCGCAGAAAAATACAATTGGGGCTTTATACAAGCTAATAAATTTCGTCGAAACCTCCTTCCGATTGAAATTGAACGTCCTTGCCGTGTCACTGGACATTAAAGGTGCTTTTGACCATGCCTGGTGGCCATCGATCTTACGAGCATTGCATGAGAGATCTTGCCCTCGAAATATTTATTTAATAATACAAAATTATTTATCCGAGAGAAGTCACATGCAGGTAGGAGACACGTGTTCTAGTAAGTGGCAAACCAGAGGTACACCGCAGGGCTCATGCTGCTCTCCCCTTCTATGGAACATTATTATGGATGACATTTTCAAGACAGTCGCTTCGGATGAAGCTGAGATAACTTTATTCACAGATGATATACTAATACTTTTTAAATCCAAATTGTTCTATTAATTACAGGTACAGTGCAATGAGGTCTTACACAAACTGGATATTTGGGCACAAAATAAAAAGCTAACGTTCCAACCCGAAAAAACGAAATATATAATATTCTCTAGAAAGCAACAAATCCCCAACTTGAATATTATGTTAAATGATGAAAAGATATGCCAAGTGAACCAAATGAAATACCTAGGCTTAACACTAGAAAGAAAGTTAAATTGGGAATTGGGGCCAACATATCAGCAACCTCAAAATAGATTGCTGAAAATCGTCCACGGATTCTCAAAAACTGCAACACTCACCTGGGGTCTAAATTCAGAAGTTTTAATGACAATATACAAAGCGGCGATGCAACCATCCATGACATATGCAATAGAAATCTGGCACAAAGGACTCTCAACTAAAAGAAACTTGAAAATACTTGAATCCGTTCAAAGATTGTTGGCCATCAAAATAATTAAAGGTTATAGAACAATATCATATGACGCATCATGCCTATTAGCAAATATAGTTCCGATTTCCCTCCTAACCAAAGAAATAATTCACAATTTTAAATTAATCAAACTTAAACAAAACATCGTTGACTTTCCAATAAATGTCATTGAAGAAACAATTCCGTACAAATGTTGGATACATCCTAAAGAACTGACGAGGCCCGACGTAACAGAAATAGAACGGCACTCTTCTATCAATATTTTTACGGACGGCAGTAAGGACCAGGACAAGGTAGGAGCTGCTATTGTAGTCTTTGACGGAGGACAGTTACTACATACACAGAATTTCAGGCTAGGACCTTACTGTTCAAACAAGCAGGCAGAATCTCTTGCTATGTTACAGGCCATACTCTACATTAAGAACTCTGACAAGACTAATTACTGATAGCAAAATCACAAAACATAAACTAAAGAACATAAACGTACATGAAAACCTTGTCGAGGAGATCAGGCGAGCGTTGATCTGTTGCTACAACCAAGGCATAAATATTTCCTTTAAATGGGTAAAGGCACACGCTGGCATTTTGGGGAACGAGCTAGCGGACGAAGCGGCTAAGGCTGCGGCAAGGGACAACGCACTCCCGATAATATTCAACAAGGCACCGACCAGCGCGGTTAAACACTTTCTAAGAACAGCAACAAGACAAGCGTGGGACCAAATCTGGGCGACATCAACAAAAGGCAGACACACTTACGAATACATTAAAAATTTAGGAGAAAGAATCAAACTTAAAAAATTATCACCTAAACTAGTACAATTTTTGACAGGACACGGAGCAGCCAAAAGCTATTTATTCAGATTCAAGTTAACTAACAACAAAATTTGCAAATGTAATGGCAACAGTGAGCAAACATACGACCACCTCCTGTATGACTGCACTAGACTGGATAAATACAGGTACAAATTGGTCTCTGCTGTCATGGTGAACGGAGACCAATGGCCGCCTTCACAGGAGGATCTGATGGAAAAATATTTCTCAGAATTTGATGCATTTGTGGAAAGAATTGATTTCTTTGAGCTTAATGATCCAACGGCTGCCTAACCACCTCTCAACATTTTCTACATCAGTTGTTTTACCAAACCGTACATACTCTGTAACCCTCAATTTTTATCCTAAATCTTTATCCTTTGTTTTTATCCTACCATATCACATTTCTGCTGTAAATATTCTACTTTTCACTATCTAATCTCTAATGTATCACTGTTGTTTATTATTTCAGTTATTGTATGTTATATTTAATTATTTACTTAGATTACTATAATTTGTTACATACATTTATTTATTTTATTTACTAATTATTCAAAGAATTGTAATATATCAATACTATGTTACTTAAACTAACTATGTATCTCAATACGCGTTATGTCGCAAGATGGCACGCGTAGAAATTATGCACCCATTACAGGGTTACTGTAATGTGGGGGAAAAAAAAAATAGACTCATTCAAAAATATTTAATTTTCATGTTAATCTATGTGTGTTATTATCACAATAAATTTGTTGCATTCTTCTCAGCTGCAACTGTCACTTAGAAGTTTTAACTCTGAAAATGTCACCAGAA